ATGCAATTTGAACTGAACATTATTCATCATTTGGATCAATCACAATGAACACAATACATTATTCTATACTTCTTCTGATTATTCGCGCCAACTTCAATTAAAAAAAACGTTTATATCGAAAATAAAATTATATATATAAAGGATAGAGACAGGCCAGGCGGCCTGGTGTTTTTAAGCCGCCTGCCTGCCTGGACGAGGGTTCGGCCTGGCCTGCCTGTGACAGGCCAGGCCTCAAGGTCATGTCCTGTGCCTGTCACAGGCAGGCAGGCCTAGTGGCCTGGTTGATGCTCTGGTGCACATACACTTCATTATTACTTGGATCACAAAAAAGACGAAATTACGATTGATTAACTACTTTTTTTCTTCTATTGTTTCTAAACATATAGTGACAAAAATCTCTCCTGTTCATTCGTATTAGTAAAAGAATCTTATTTTTGACAACATTTGAGACTTTTCGCTTAATTTTGTCTAATCTAATTTTCTTATTCGATTTCTTTAATAGTTATTTATTTACTCTTAGAAAATTGTCTAGTTTGCTTTTTAGAGAGTTATCTATGCGATAGCCTTCTTTGTAACATTTTGCTACCCAACCCGACGAATTATATAAATATTGTTTTGACATAAGTTCAAAATATCACGATTTGTCAATAGAAGTTTTTACCTTAGTTATCGGCAAACATACTAAACAACTGAAGATTACGATTTCAAAGCAAATTCTCCTGATTTGAGAACAGGTTTTAAATCTTCTAAATGCGGAAATACTATGTTGAAGTTAGTTTTTCTTAAATTTGTTCAATTAGAAATCTTCAAAAGAGTAAATTTAGGATTTTTTCTATCGTGTTTATTGACTAAAGTTGTAATTTTAAGAGGAATCTATAAATAAATTGAGCTCATACAAAAAATTCGATCGATGAAATCAATTAATTATTAGATGTTTGCCACACATAAACAGAATAAATTGAATGTGTTTTTTGTTAAACAATTCAACATTTTTTGATATTAATTCATTTTTTTACGAATTTTCGATTTGAAAGTTCGAGTTTAATAAGTCTTTTTAATTTGTTAACATATTTTACAAGAAATAAATTGAAAATTAACTTGAATTTCGTTAAAGTAGATCTTTTTTTTTGTATAAAATAGACTCCGACAAAAATGAAATTTGCGTTTATCGAAATGGTATTTTTTCATAGAATCTTTCGTATAAATATTCAACATAGAACATAGTTTTTACCGTTTGATGAGAATATGTTCTAGAAATAGAATAAAATGTAAAGAATGCTTTTTCAAAGCAAAGAAGAGAGAAATAATGATTGTTTTCGTATTTTTTAAACTAATGAAAAGACAACTCAGTTTTGTTATTTTATCTATAAGTGTTAATAAATGACTGGTGATAATTAATGTTTATCTCTTTGCAAATGAACAATTTTTCTTTTGAGAAAGATCGAAGAAAAGAAGAAAAAAACGGAGAAGAACATATAGCTAGAACATGAATATGTTGACCGATAGACAAGTAACATGTCTTTCTTTTTTCTTTTTTTTTCGTTAGAAAGAGGAATGCCACTGAGATTATCAGTCAGCTGAATAAGAGACTAACAATAGAAAAAAAAGAAAGAAAAATGAGAGCGAGGGAAGAGAGAGAAAAGTTATATTCATAGATTATTGTTTGAGGTCATTTTCTGTCTTGTTATTTTATTTAAAACATTATTAGAAAAAAAAGAACAACTAATGGGTGGTACTATATCAGATATAGTTAAAGTTGTTGATGATGCTGTTAAACAAATAATATTACAAATAGATCCATCAATAATCAAATTTAAAAATACAACATTAACAATTCTTGACAATATTGAATCAAGATTTCATGCTAATAGTTCTCAAGCATTATCATCCTTACGTCAAAATCTTCTTGTTTGGCTATTTTTAACATTAATTTTTTCAATTCTTGTGTTAATTTTAATACGTTATTTAATTGATATATTACATAAATTAAAATTTGGTGTTTTAACTCGTCAATATTCAACATTATTAGTGTTAACAATAATTATCTTTTGGGTTTTTTTATCTTCAATATTTGGAGTTTTCATAGTTGAAGATATTGATTGGTCAACATTAAAAATAATTGTATTCAGTTTACTTTTTGTATTTATTATATTATTAATATTAATTTGGTTTCGTTTTCTTTTAATTTATCAAAGAAGAATTCGAAAAAAATTAAAAATATTTTTTTGTCAATGGAATTTATTAAAAGAAAAAAATAATCGTTTACAACAATCAACTATGACTTTACATATGTTGGCTCTTAAAACAAAAACACTTAATGATCATATTGATCAAATTTTAATATAAAATAATACCTTTCCTTTTCCTTCTTTAACTTATACGTATATGAATATAAACAATTTGCATTTTGTTTTTGTTTTTGTCAATAAAATCATCAATTTCCATTAGAAAATTTATCAGAAAGCAAAATAACTTTGATAAAATATATTTAAATAGCTGATTGATGTCTAAGGAAGATTAATTCATTGAATTGAATTGAATTGAATTATTTTTACCTAGTTTTTATTAGAGAATAATTAGTAAAATTTTCATCTTTTGTTTTATGACAACTATGGAAATTGTTAGATCTAAGTCGAACAGAAGATTTTACTTGAAACAGTACGATATAAAACATTGAATAATGGTTTATTATATTGATTAATTTCGTGTTATTTGTTAAATTAGAATAATAAAAATAGACTTCTATGAAAAAGGGTAAGAAAAAAAATGAGTAAAATCTGCTTACTGTTTTCTTAATTATTTTGAAATATTTTACGATTAGAGTAATTCGTTTGAATGATCACTTTTTTGAGAATATTTTTCATAGTGAGACAACATCAATATTCAGACGTTTGAAAAAGAAGTTTCTCAGCTTTTTAATAGAATTGTTGTTTGTTTTATAAATAAATAATTCATTTTGTTATACAATTAAAAATAGTTTATTTTCTTTATATTCTAAATAAAAATAATCAAAAATATATATCTCTATCTAAGTCTTCAATGTTGAACATTCCTCTTGATTTAAATATAATAAACAAAATTTATTCAATCTCTTCCGACCAATAATAATTGACTTCATCATTACATGATTTAAAAACTTGTATTTGATTATTTTTTCGATATTTATTTTAATATTGAATTATATTTGTTTCTGAACTAAATAAAATATGTATTCTGAACTATTTTCAAATAATTTAATTTGCAAAAATGTATTATTATCTACCAATTATTCAATTGAATCATGTTAATTGAGATCGTTATTATACAAAATCTCATTCTAGATATTTTTATATGAAACAAAATCTTCAATAATTACAATGCATTATTATATGATGGAAACAAAAAAAATCATATTTTCGTTTGTGCTTATCTTTAAAAAAATCTAAATTAAATAATTTTTTTCTTGTCTTCATCAAATTAATAATTCTAAATTATCATAAGATGTAGACAAAACAATTTATAACAAAAAACTGTTTTTTGCATTGACCTCTTTTTTTTTAATTTTGTAAAAATAAATATTTTATGGTTTTTCTTTATTAATATTTTTCTGAAAATAAAATAACCATGAACAGGAATAAAGATGAATCAAAGATTTAACGAAGTCGATAGCGAGTATATTGCACAATACCAGCAACAACTGCTCCGACACATGCGATTTTCAATGACAATGAAGCATAAGGTAACAATGATGAGCGACCTGTTGGTTTATCGTCGATTGTCCTAAAAACAATATATATTTAAAGAAAAAAATATGTTTTTTGTTTTTCGAGAGAAATTTTACAAATTCATTAAATGTTGAATATCATTAATAGTTGGTTGATTCCATTGTTTAATAATTCCTTGTACATGACCAATTCCAACAACTCCAACAACTGTTGCAGGCACAAAACCAGTTTGATTTGTTTCAATCGGAATTTTTTGCGTACATTTTCTTAATGAATATGATAAAAATTGATCACGTTCAGTTACAAATACACGAGATAATTCTGGATATTGGTCACTCATTTCTAATAAGAATTTTTCGAGCATATCTTGTTCCATACATTTTTCAACATCTTCATTTCTAAAGAAAGAAATTTTAATTCATTTAATTAATGATAAATAATAAATAAAATAAAAACGAACGTTATTTTATCTTTTGATGTTAATAGAGACCAAACAAGACGAATTTTTTTCCATGTTGATAAAGAATTAATCGCTCGTTTCAATGTTATACCAACTGGACGATCACCAAGTACAAGATTACAACCAGGTACTTTTTGAGCCTATTGATTGAAAATCGATTTAATATCGATAGAAAAAGTGAAAGAAATTTGTTTTGTCTTACTTCACGAAAAGCTGTTCGAAATTCGCCACCAGGTGCCATTCCTAATTGTTTAGTTAGATGAGCTGTCATACTTAATAAAAGTACATGAATAATTCCATGAATAACTCCATTCTAAAATAAATTCTTCTTTTTTTTACATTAAAATCAAATCGATTAAATAAAAACAATCTTACAGCTTTAATTATGGTTCGAAGTTTTTCATAATTCATTTCTGACGCTTCTTTCATCAATGTATTTTCATCGAGTGAAAGAATATTAACCTATTTATGATAGAAACTTATTATTTAATTTAATTGATGTATAATCGAAAAATAAACAAAGAAAGACAAATAACATACACGACTTTGACATAGTTCAACCATAACAATATCTGGTTGAGTCAATTGAATAATCTTTATTAAATTATAAATGAATTTTAATTAAAAAAGAAAAAAAGAAAAGCATACTTCTGCAACTTCACGTTGACTTTTTTCACTGAAAACAAAAATATTTAATTAAAATATGAGACAAAATAAACTCGATGAAATAAATCGAGTAAAAACCTAAAATGTGCTGTTCCAACAAGATAAATTGTTCCGTCAGTTGTTTCATCTTTGAGTATTGTTATTGTTTCAGGTAATTCTGATGGTTGACAATGTTTTCGTTTTGATATTTGTTCTGATTTTGAAAAATCATCATAAGTAGTTATTGTTTTCGATGATTTATCGATTAATTCAATATCTTCTTGTTCATTTATTAAATATTCATCGTTTTCTGATTGAAGAATATGTTCTTCAGGAACATATGTATCCATATCTATAATAAAAGAACAACTTGTTTTCGTTTTATTCGTTTCAAAATATAACATTTCTTTTCTTTTATTCTTCTATCAAATATTTACAAAAAAAGAAGATATTTCTATGATTAAGAATTTTTTCTTTCAATCGGAATAAAACTTTGTTTTATTTGATTAAACTCGAGGTTGCAATTGACGTAATAGTTTATTTTCAGTTCTAAGACGTTCGATCTCATCGATTAATTGAGCATTTAATGAATGAGATTCAATTTGTTGCATTAAATCATTCTAAAAATTGAAATTTATGATTTACTTTAACAAAAAGAACAACAAAGAAATCGATCAATTATCTTACACGAAGTTTTTCTAGTTCAACAATAAAATTCATTTGCATTGAAAGTTTTGTTCGATTGAGATCATCTTTAAAATCTTCACGTAAACAATTAACTCGATCATCTAACATAATTTTTAATGATTCATCAATATCACTTGAATTTACATTTGCTCGATCTAACTTTTTTAAAATAATTCATTTATCAAAATCATTTTTAAATAAAAATAAACAAAAAAAATACATACTATGACCATTTTCAATTGGAGAACGAACAGAAATACCACATAGTTTAGTAAAATCATCAAAACTCATACAATCATTATTGTTAACACTTGATATTGACTAAAACAAAGCATTCAATCACTTTTGGATTTCAATTCTATATTTACCTTGTCTTCGTAGCGTTCATTACGTTCTTAAATATAGAAAATAATATAGTTAAAGACATTCAATAAAAATAATAAAACTTACGCTGTCTCGGTGATGACAAGCCTTGAAAAAGGAAAACAAAGCAAATTAAAATCTCAGCTTTACTCGTACATCATAACTTAAGAAGAATTCTTCGAAAACTTCTTATTTTTCATTCTTTGCTGTTTAACATAGTAGATTATTAAATTCAAGATGATTGAGAAATCAAAGGAGTTTTTTTCTTAATGACATTGATTTATTCATGTTTTTCATTGAAAGAATAATGATCATGAAACAATGAATAAGTCTTATATATTATTTATATGAATGTTGAATTTATATTAAATTTCGATGGAATTACAATTACTTAACGATCGAATTTAGCTGATAGAAGGATAATAGAGAATTATTAATGAAAAAATCAAATAGTTTCGTTATAACAACAATTAAATTTATCTTTATTCTATGAAACAAATTTAAAAAAGATATGTTGTTTAACAGAATTTCATATAAAATTCAATATGCTTATAGAAATACATATTTTTCTTTGCTTTTTTCTTGTCCGAAAATGATTCTATTAGTTTATATTCAATATTGATATCGTTTTCATGATAGAAATTCTATTTGAAGATTAACACTCAGTTGTTCAGTATCATATTTTCTATGTGATTTCTTAGAGAATTATGAAAGACAAAACCTTCCAATATTGATAATGATAAAATATTAATCAATTTTCATTTTTCATTTTTCAGAAATAACTAATCTTAGCCTTTTTGGGTTTCTTCTTTGAATATCTGATAATAATAATCTTAAGAGATTCGTCAATCGTAGTGATAAAATAAAAATACTTAAATATTATAACAAACATAGACATACTTCCATCAATAGTAGTCGAATTTTCAGTTGTAATAGTAGGTGTATTCAATTTATTTAAAGTTGTTGATGAAAGTGATGAAAGTGATCTTTCACGTGATTGTGCTGTTCGAGGTTGTGTTCCGTATGAGCGATTTATTGGCATTTGTTCATCAACAGGTGTTGTAGACTGAATTGATGACGATGATGTATGACGAGAACGTGTTGTTTGTTGAGCAAATGTACTCAAACTTTTATTTGTCTACATTTATATATAATAATATATAGTTTTTAATTAGATGTAAATTTCTGAAAATACCTCTTGTAAAAGCGTTGTTGGTCTTTGAATATTTGTTGTTTGTCCAATATCGAATTTAACTGAATAAACATTTCCATGTTCTGAATTAACTAAATGAGCCAATTTATTTTTTGGATCACGCAAATCATAGACAGATGCATATTGACCCATTGTTCCCACAGCAACTAATGAACCATTTGGATGAAAATCAACACTTGTCAATGGTGCATATATACTGATGGTTGATAAAATCCTTTGATTTAATCAATAATTAAATTTATAACAGCAATGAATGAATAAAATCCTTACTTTTGTTGTATGACATCAAAACAACATAATGATCCATCCATACCAGAAGTAACAAGAAATGCATCATGATGAGGAGAAAAAGCTAAATCAGTTGCTGGAGCTTTATGTGAATGTATTGATATAATTAATTCTTTTAAACGATAATTCCATAATGAAAGTAATCCATCATTTGATGTTGTTGCTATCAATTCTTTATGTGGAGACCATTTTATTGATGATATTGAACCAAGCTAAATCTTTTGTTATTTAATATCATTTATTTCAATCTTTTTAATTAATATCAATACCTTATTTCCATGTTTCATTGTAAATGCAGCAAATGTTTGTTTTGTTAATTGATTATAAAGAAAAACATTTCCTTTTCGTGTTCCTGCAGCAACATATGAATCTCCATTACCCCAACACACACATTCCATTGGAGTTTGATCAACACTCTAGAATAGAAAATCTTATCATTCAATTTATTGATCTTTAATTTCTAAACTTACATTAAATGTTTGGGCAATTCTTCCTGAATTAACATCCCAAATTTGTGCATGACAATCTTCATCGGTTATGCTTAAATATTTTCCTGATGTACTAAATGAAGAACATTGAGCTTTTGTCTAAACCAACAAGTAAAATACAATTAAGAACAAGAAGAAAATATTTCATGTGGAAAATTCGTTTTGTATTTACAGTCGAAAGTTCAACAGATTTATTTTTTTGTAAATCATATAGTTGTACACGTCCTGTTTGTTTGTATGTAAAAACAAGATAGTTTGCTAAAAAAATAAAACAGGTTAACAAAAAGACGAAAAATTGAATTAATTGTACAATTATCTTTTTTCCAATCAATAGATTTAATTATATCTGTTGATGGCACATGATCATGACCAAATTCTTTAACTACTGAATAATTTTGACTATCCCATATTTGTAAAATATTACTGCATGTAGCTAACATCTTTCTCTATTATTCGTTGTCGATTACTTAATCGATTTCATACGAATTTAATCCAAATCCAAATCCATGGTTTATTGATTTTATTATTTTTGCTACGTTTTTGGGAATTGTCAAATTTTATTTCATTGAAAAAGAAATTAACGAAGAAAAAATAAAGATATCTAAAATAAATTCAACTTTCAAAAATTTCAGCGACATCTATAGAATTTTAGAAAATAAACTTTATTGGTGATTTTAATCAAGAATGACCTTCTGTCTTTCCAATTTTTTTTCGTTCTTTCCTTGTCTTTTTTTATGTCACATCGGGGAGTTTTCAAAAAAGAAAAAGAAATCTTTTCAATTGTTTAGATCTGATGGAATACTCTTGGCTTTTATCATTGATTTCATTATTTATTCCAATAAATTTTTCATCGACTCAATTTAGTGCCTATGATCTAAAACCTATGCCATTTAGTATCTATAATACAGGCGGAAATGCAAACAATCTTATTACAAATAGTAAGATTTTCTAATCATTTTTTTTCGTATACCTTTCGTCTTTTTCTCAATGCAACAAAATAAGAAGTAGCACTACGTAGAAAAATAAATCACCTATAGAACTTATCTAGAACTATTCATTAGTCATTTTCTTTTTATCAACAAATCTTTACGTCTTCAATAGAAAATTACTATCTCAAACGATTTTGATTAATGAAAATCTACCTGACATTTTTCATGTAAAGGTTACATATATATATATATATATCTTTAAAATCGATACCACTCATAATTATCTTTGTTTTTCATTCATATTATGTTGAAATAAAAACAGGCAATAGATGAATTCACTAATTTCTCTTGCGTAATTTCGTTTTAATATGAATTCAATCATATTGAATTGATTGTAAGTTCATTTTAAGCGTTGATAGCAATTTTAGTTTTTGAGAATATGTTCAAATGTAATTATATTAAATCGAACAAAAATAGATTTCTTTTCAGTTTTTTCAAATATTAAGGAAAACAAATTTGTTTTTCATTTTATTTCTTTTTTTTCATAAAATAATAGTTCGCTGGTGTTGTGTAAATGAACGTGAAAGTACAAAATGTTTAGCATGGTCCAATGCATTGTTATCATCAAATATAACAACATCATCGTTAGCTTGTATACCTGGATCAGATAAATTTGATTGTTATAGAAAAATTTTCAATGATGAAGCTGATTTAATGGCAGCTGATTCAGGAGAAATTTATACAGCTGGAAGATATTATAATCTTGTACCAATTGCAAATGAACTTTATTCACCGATGTTTAATGGTAGTGCCGAAGAATTTTTTTTGTCTCTTTTATTTTCTTGTTAATTAAAAAAAAAATCTAGGTCCATCAGCAAATACATATTATTCGGTTGCTGTTGTTCGTAGTGGTTCATCAATAAATTTAGATAATTTACAAGGTGCTCGTTCTTGCCATTCATCAGTTGGCTCATCATCTGGATGGAATCAACCCATAGATCAATTATTACGTGATCGTCGTTTAAATATAATTGATTGTAATAATCATGTTAAATCAGCAGCATTATTATTTGGTTCAATGTGTGCGCCTGATGCATTGAATAGACAATTTAATCCAACTGGTGATAATCCATCAACTGTTTGTGATCTTTGTCAAGGTACAAATGGAAATACATTTTGTACGAATCAAGATCCATATGCAGGCAATATTGGTGCTTTAGTTTGTTTATTAAATCAAGGTGATATTGCTTTTGTAAGACACACTGCTCTTATTGAAAAAGCACGTGATCCAAAATTTCCAATTGATCAACTTCAATTATTATGTACAAATGGACAACGTTCTCCATGGCAACAATTTCAATCATGTAATTGGGTAAGTTTTCAATTGTTTTTTTCTTTCTTCATATAAATAAATAATCGAATTTCATTTAATAAAGGGAATAGCTCCTGCATCAGCAATTCTTGTATCGCATCGTCGCCCAAAACAATTGCGAGATATTTATCGAAAAGTTTTAATTGAATCAGCAAGCTTTTTTTCATTACAAAATCCATCATTTCAATTATTTAATTCTCATCGTTTTCAATCAAATGATTTACTCTTTTCGGATGCAACAGTTGATTTTAATTTACTTGATGATCGTACATCGTATTCAAATTATCTTGGTAGGATTACTTGAGTTTTTCTTTTAGTTTGTCACATCTGTTACTAATCGATTTTAAATAAACTAGAGAAGAAGAAGAAAGCAAAACATTCTATTTTTCTATCTTCTTTATACTAAAATCTTTCTTCTCGCGAAAAAAAAAGAATAAACTGAGTATTGATCTAAAGAAATATTAACATCGATTGAAGTTGAGAATAAGATATAGAAATAATTTAATCATGAATATTTTTATCATTTATAAGAATATAAAAAACTTCTGCTTTTTTCTTTAATTAATTAATTTATATGTTTCTATTGAATTAGATAAAATATTAATGAAATCATTCCTTAGTCTGATTATTTACACATTGAAATACGAAAAATATCCTTTGAGAAAGATTAAAAATTCGTTTAAAAATAAAAATAAAGCGAACAAACTGATAGATTTTTTCATGATTAACTAGAAATTATTTGAATTTAATTAAATAATTAAGGGATTAGTGCGATGAATTTCTTTTTCAAATAATCTTTCGGTATTTTATCAATCAAATTATTTATACATTTAATAGGAAGTGAATATTTATCAATGTTAACTCGCTTATATAATTGTCCATTACGTTTGTTACGTTGGTGTGTTATATCAACTTATGAAAAAGAAAAATGTCGTTTAATGAAAAATGCATTTGCACGTAAAAATATAAAACCAGATCTTGATTGTGTATCAGCTAAAAATGCAATGGAATGTATGTCGAAAATTTATCAAGGTATAGCTGATATAATAACAGTTGATGCAGCTGATGCATATCGTGCTCAGCGTTATTATCAATTAGTTCCATTAGCTGCTGAAGATTATGGTGTTGATATGGAATCAAATGTAATGTATGCTGTTGCCGTTGCCAAACGAACCGATTTAACAAGTAACTTATGGAACTTACGTGGAAAAACAATTTGCTCAACTGCTATGGGTGATCTTGCTGGTTGGCATGTACCTATTGATTATTTAAGTGCTATTAAAGAAGCATATGTTACTAATTGCCACATTAATAAAGTTATCGGTTTGTACTTTTATTTTATTTGTTTATTTAGATTAAAAATAATTTTCAAACTGAATTAATATTAATTTTAGGTGAATATTTTGGTCAAAGTTGTGTTCCAGGTTCTCTTGATTATGATTATAATCGTTTAAAAACAAATCCACGTGCATTATGTTTAAAATGTTATTCGAAAGGATCTGATTATTGTTCACGTTCACATCGAGAAATGTTCTTTGGAAGTTCTGGAGCATTTCGTTGTTTAACTGAAGGTAACCATTTCGTTTTTCTTTATTAATTTCAATTTTATTTTAAATAATAAATGGATCATTTCAAATAGGAACTGGTGGTCATGTTGCATTTGTAATGCATACAGCAGTTATATCGAATACAGATGGACGAAATATTGATCAATGGGCTCGACCATTACGTGCAATTGATTTTGAATTATTATGTAAAAACGGAACACGAAAAACAATTGAAGCTTATAAAAGTTGTCATCTACTTCGAGTTCCAGCAAGAGTTTTGATGACATCAAGTTAGATTTATTTCTGTTTATTTTTCTTTTTTTTCAAACTTAAATATTTTTCATATAGATTTATTACCAGATCTCGAAAGAAGTTATATATGGAATATGCTCAATTTTGCTCAACAATTATTTGGATCTGATACGTATGAGACTTTTCTTATTATTGAAAAAAGCAGATAAATAATTTGTTTCATTCGTTTGTTTTAGAAATAAAGAATTTACGATGTTTGATTCATTTTATGAACATCCTGATTTACTATTTCTTGATGCAACAGTTCAATTAACACGTTTAACAACAAGTCTTGATGATTATCTTGGTCAAGATGTAATACAATTATTGATTCGTACTGATCCAAGAATGTGTAATTTAGCTTCAATTCAATTTATTTCGTATTCATGTTTTTTTCTTATTCAATTTTTTTATATTTTATAATTCAACTTTGATGAATCTCTTGTAAAAAAAGAATCTAAACATGTAAACATTCCATTTGTTTCTTTTTTATTTCGATTTCGAGAAAAATTAAAATTCCTTCTTGTTTTTTCTTACTATGTGTATATTAGGATTTAATTGTCTTTTTTTTTCTTTTCTCTTGTATACTTTCGATTATTTCTATCGAGAAGTTCGTTTCTTTTTTAATTCTTTGAACTATTGTTCGTTTTTTTTGCTCGAAGATAAAAAAAAATACATTTGATATTAATTTAGAAATCACTTTTATGGCATTGATAGAATTTATTTCTATTATAGATAATATAGAAAAAAAAACTAGAATAATAAACGAATATCAATCAGATTAAGGTAAACAAAAATTCTTTTTAAATCTTCAGATGAAAAAATTAAAAATAAGGATGACAATCTTAATTTCTCTTGTTAGAAAAGTTAAAACCATCAAAGAATTCTGTGCTCATTGTAAAAAAATAAAATTCCATAAGGATAATAGAAATAATTGTACATAAATCTAACTTATTATTTATTCTTTAATATTATCTATTTTTTTTTAATAGTTTAAATTAAATTCATTATTTTATTTAACTTGAGTTTTTTTTAATCGAGTTTGACTAAAATCCATTCAACTGTCAATCTTATAGACATGATTGATCAGGGGCGTAAGTCAGGCCTCAGAGCAGGGGGTGTAACTCTAATTTTTCTGTTTTCATGACCTAAAACAATGAACTTTTGGAAGCAGGGGGGGGGGTGGCGTAAACTTTTTTTGTGTTTTGGTAAGCAAAAAACCTGAGATTTTCAAACGCCGGGGGCGGTACGCCCCCCGCCCCCCCCCCTATTTACGCCCCTGTGATTGATTTTAAAATATTCTTAATTATTTTTATTGTAGTAAGAAAAAAAATCTTTTGCTTTTAACTGAATATTTATTTTATTTGGTTCTGTTTTATTTAAACAATAAAAATTGTTTTATTTATTACGAAAAAAAAGGTTCTATTCGAAAGTATTTTTATGATTAAAAAACACATAATTTAATTATTCTATTAGTTAGATTTGTTTGAATTGAATGTTATTTAATAAAAAATGCTATCTTTCTTTTTTAAATTGAGATTAAAATAATATTTCATTTTTTTGTACGTTTTTCTATCTGGATGATGAGACAAAACATGATCGCAAAAACTAGCTTTCAAAGAGAAGTCTCTCATGTTATTCTATCTGATTTTCTAGTGTCTTAAATAACAATTAGTGAAATAAATTATTCATCATCGGTCAATATGTATAAATTTTGAAGTTTGATTCAATTAAAAAAATAATGATTTTATTTATTTAAAAGAATTTTTATCGATATGAAATGAATTAAGAATAATAATTAAAGAAAATATGAGAAAAATAAATAAATTGTTTGATTAAATTTTGTATTTTAGATGTCTCAGCAGACAAAAAATAAAAATATTCTTCGAAATAATCATGAATCTATTTACATATAAATTAAATGTATGTATTAAAAGTACAAATATCATAAATGAAGAAAAAAAAGTGGGTTAGTTATGTACAATTAATACAACATATTAATTAAATATTTTCATTTTGATCGATTTCAAGCTCACGACTGAACAGATTAATCAATTTTTTTCTTTTTGTAATCAATCTTCAATTTGCTTTTATGAAGCGAACTTAATAGCGTTTTTTGAAATTTTTCTTTTTTTTCTTTTTAAATAGATTGAATGATTATTCGATAAATGAAAACTAAACGCATTCTAAAAAATTCATCATTTATTTTAGTTTTTTTTAGATAAAGAAATAATTGATCTTGATCTTAATTTTAATTTTGAGTTTTTTTAATACATGGTGGAAACTTTGGAAATGCTTTACATAAATGCTCTTGAAATGAATGACAATCAAGTTGTTCAGGTTTCGTTGGTGCTGCTGTAGGTTTCTTTTTAGAACATGATGAATATGTATTTTTAAGGTTAGTCAATAATTCTTGACATTTTTTTTCTTTTCCATTACGAATACAATATTCACCACGTACACGTAATTCTTCAGGATCAATTGGAACTTTAACAAATTCTTCTTTTGTTATTGTTTCAGTTTTTTCAGTTTTGGTTGTTGCTGCTGCTGCTGTTGTTGTTGCTGTTATTGTTGTTTTTGTTTTTACCCCTATAGCAGTAGCTATTGCTGCTTTTTTTGTTGTCTTTATTAATTTAGATATGGTTATTGTTTGTTGTGTTGTTGAAAGTATTTTTTTTGTTGATGATTGACTACAAGATAATGGAAAAATAGCACAAACTTTTAATTTAATTTGTTGGCAAATAACAACTTGTTCTTGTGTCTTGATTTTTTGGCATTTCTTAAGTAATTCAGAAAATTTTAATGCAAGCTGTACGCAGTCGGAATTTGTTGGAGTTCGTTGACATTTTTCCCGAAGTAGACCATATTTTTCAAATTCATCACTGGTACTTATGCCCAATGCGATAAGTAACAATATGAAACCAAGTAAACGCATTGTATTAAATAAATGAGAGTAATCGTTTGATTCTCGTCAGTTTTTATCTCTATCAACACTTAATAAATCGATAGAACTCTTATCTAATCATTCTCAATTTAAAGTGAAAATGAAGAAATATGATTCCATACAGAACAACAAAGAAATAATAGAGAATGACATTGAAAGAATATCACTAAGTACATCCTTTTTAGTTCTGTTTTTTTTATTAAACAAGATAAATTAACTTATTTTAGTTAATCATAGAATTTTTTTATTCTATAATAAATAATTTCAGATAGTATCCACTTGATGATGCTTTCAATAATTCGGTATGAATATCAGTTTATAAATATTAATTATAACTATTGATGAATAAAAAATATTGCTATTAAATAATTCAATTAACAATGAAAAAAGAGAATACAAATAGTAAAAATGAATTACATTCGAATCGTTCATTTTATATTCCAAAACGTATTATTGTTGCTTTATTAACATCATTTGGTTTACTTGTTTCAACTTTTATTCAAACAAATTTTGCAATAACAAACTCATTAATTTTAAATCCACATGATTCAAAAGATATTCCTATTGATGATGATGATCAATTAGCAACGAAGGTTTTTATAGTGAAAATTAGAGACAAAAATGAATTATTAATTATTTAAAAATTTTTGTTTTAGACTCCAAAAGTAAATTGGACATCAGTTGAATTAGGATATCTTAATTCGATATTTTATCTTGGATATTTATTAGCACACATTCCATCGGGTTTTCTTGTTCATAAATTATCAGCAATAAAGTAAATTTTATTTATTTTATAAATTTTTTATATTTTTCTCTTATTAATATTTATTAATTTAGAATATTTTTATTTCCATTATTATTATTATTAATATTAAATTTATTTATGCCTCTATCAATAAGTGTAATAACATCAACATACAAATTGAATTATTATATAACAGGTTTTGTTCGATTAATTCAAGGACTTTGTGCAGTAAACGTTTTTTTTGCTTTTTTAAATTGCTTTTATTTAATTAAAATTAATGAAAATTAGGGTTGTGCTTTTCCAGCATCACATGGTATTCTTGCTAATTGGTGTCCACCCAGTGAACGTGGAAGAATGGGTGGTTTTATTTATACAGGTAGATTATTAATAAAACTAAATACAATTTTGATCTATTTTTAATCGTTAAGGTCTTTATGCGGGACCAGTCGTTGGATTTTTCTTCGGTGGATTTATAGCTAAATATGCAGGACATTATTCAATTTATTATGCATCAGGTATATATATATATATATTTATAAAGAGTATAAAGAATATATTTATTTTTTTATAATTTGTTGGTCCTTCTTATTCTAAGGGATGGAAATGATTTAAAAATTGTTTTCTAGTTATATTCATAATTACATGAATTGAATATAATTATATACATATAATAATCGGGTGGGTTGAATATGCTTGTTGTTTAGTCTTGATACTAATTGCGTAACTGATTGTGCTTTCTTTAAATAAAGCTTTTTATAAATAGAAAAAAAATAATTTATTTAAATGAAAAAAAAATTTAATATTTTTAGCTATTCTTGGCTTAATATGGTCTTTAGCATTTGTTTTTCTTGTCTATGAAAAACCGAGTGAACATCCAACAATATCTGAAGAAGAACTTATTTATATTGAAAAAAGTATAGCTGCTGTTCAATCATTATATGATAAAAAAGAAACACGTTCAATGGATAAAGTTCCATGGAAAGCAATATTAATATCATTACCTGTTTGGGCCATTTGCTTAGCACATTTTGCACGTGGTTGGACATTTTATTTATTATTAACAAATCAACCAGCTTTTTTAAATGCATTTGGTTTTGGTGTTACAGAAAATGGGACGCTTGGCTCAGTACCACATATTATGACAGTTATTGTAGCTTTATCAAGTGGATTTATTGCCGATAATATGCGTTTAAATTTATTATGGTCAACAGCAAATGTTAGAAAAATCATGACTTGTACAGGTATCAAATTTTCTTTTTTTCTTTTTTAATATACGTATAGTTTCTTGTTTGTTTTTGGCGATGAATAGGATATATAATAGAAGGTACATGTCTTATTATAATGTGTCAGGTAACAAACCCATATATTGGAATAGCATTGCTTTCTATTGGTGTTGGTTCAAGTGGTTTAATGGTATCTGGATGGCATCTAAATCATCAAGATTTAGCTCCACGATATGCATCAGTTTTAGCTGGTTTCACTGCAGTTATTGGTACATCGGCTGGAATAATTAGTCCTATCGTTGCTGGAATTCTTACTAAAGAACAGGTTTAGATTTATTAATTGAAAATTAACCTTTTTTTCTAATTGCTTCAATTTTAGGATTTAATCGGATGGCGTCGTGTATTTACGATTACTTCTCTTGTTCTTTTTGTAGCTTCTTTATTCTATATGATATTTGCATCGGGTGAATTACAATCATGGGCAACACAAACTCAATCTGAACAAAAAATAAGATTGAATTCAGAGAAATTACCACCTTCACTTGGTTCATTTCAATATAATGTTCAAGAAGGAAGTTATTCTAGAAACCAAGATAAAAATAATCAACAATCAGTTATTAATGGCAACCATTAATCAGTTTTTCAACCGGTAATTTGGTGAAATTTTTCGGGCGTTTTTCTCTTTCATTTGTATTTATTTGTACTTACATATATCGAGGAGGCTTTCATGTTTATTTTTCGAACTTTTATGCGGTGACAGATCGAATATTATAATTTGTTTTATTTATTTATTTATAAAATTTACGGGAATTTTATTCGAATTATATTTTAATAAATGGCTCTACAATAAAAAACACAGTTTTAAAATATTTTCTTTCTATCAAACTGATTATCTAAATCCAAATAATTACAGAGTCAATAAAATCGATAGAATTCAATCAAAGCACAGGGATGTATAAGATACCCTATTGGTCCATTTCGATTTTTGCAACTGAACACAGTCAAATTATATATGAAATTAAAGCTGCCGTTGAGACAAGCATTTTGATACTAAATCCGTCGCGAAAAAATGAATTTCAAAAAAGTTATGAACACTAATAAAAGTTGACTATTTGGCTGTTTCTCATGAAAAGAGTCTCCCATTTTCGGCACAAATATATCACAATAGAACTGTTTTCATACTGACCAGTCGATAGACATTTTGAAGCTGTACAAAATAGGATGATTAGAAAAGTAAAAAAAACATTGGCCACTTAAAGATTGCTTCGGCATTTACTTTTTTGACTGATGATTTTGTCGTTTTTTCCTACTCTCTATTGGATTATAGCCTGAAAGACTATACTTGTTGTAAAAAATTATGTTATATTTGGAATCAGCATCCAAACCTCAGTGGGTTTCACTGCATTTCAAAGTTTGTTGAGTAGTTAAACTTCAGTCGAAAAAATTCCCTGCATTGCCCTCAAGGTTGGGTGAAAACAATAATTTCACTAGAATCCCTTCGTTTTCTTTTAGCGTTGTGCTATTTCGAGTTCTAATATCACTTTATAGGTTTAGAACTTCATTACTATGGTCGAAACCGTGTTTTAATGAAATTAATATTTTCACCCAGCCTTGAGGGAGAGTACAGGGAATTTTTTCGACTAAAATTTAATTACTTGAAAAGATTTGAAATCCAGTTAAATCCACTCAAGTTTGGATGCTGATTCCGAATATAGCATAATTGTTTACAACAACTAAAGTCTTTCTGGCGCTAATCCAGTAGAGAGTAGGAAAAAACGACAAAATCTGCTGTGTGTTATGCAAGATAATATTACCTTTACGGAAATGATGAATCGATGAAAAATTAATTTTATCCCGTTTTGCTTCACTATATATATTGAACTCCTTTTACTCTCTATTACACGTGGTGGATTTTCAAAAGTTAGTGAATTTTAGCAGATGTCAACACTATTGACTCAATACTGTACTGTGCAAACAAGTGAATTCATGACTAAAACAGTACTTGCGAATAAGACATCATTTTTCCGGCGAAAGTTATTATATATTCTTGTTCATCATTTTAATTACAAATGTTCTTTCTTTCAAGCACAATGAAACTGAGTACAGAGAGTAAAGGGGCTAACGGGATTATAGAGAGTGCAATATAGATATGTGTAGATAAGTAAACAGGGTAGAATAAATTTCTCGTGAGCCTATATCTATTTGGCTTAGTGGTATGCTTTAGAAGTTTAAGAAAATATTCACGGTATTAGTTATCGATAGAAATAATTGCCTATGCAAGAAAATATTATCCCTATGAAAATACTTTAGTTTTTCTCGTCTACCAAGTCACTGGTTGTTTCAACTTCCAATACCCTATTCCAATAAAAGGAATTATAATTTCAAAAGAATTGTAAATACAAATTTCAATCTAAATTATGGATGAATTTGGTAAATATGTGTTGATTCTATGCAGTAAAATTGAAGTAAATCAAAAATGATGCCCGTTTTATAATTCTAATGACAGATTTTTTATTTTCAAAGTCTATCGGTAGACATATTAGTAAATCTATTCCGTTATCATATTTATTTGAGATTTGTTCATGATGTTTTGGAATCAAACCGACCCCATCTCTTTTAGAATATAATGTCAGTTTTAGCAACTAACTCAAGGTTCACAGTACTCCAGTCGGCTTTACTTTGATTAAACTTCACGCGTGAACATCATCTTCCAGAAACAATATTTATTCAGTCTAAAACTTCAATTCGGATTTATGAAAAACTAATTGTAGATTCAGTTTCACTGATCTTGATTACCTTTGATCAAATTTTTGAGAAATAATTTTGTTGTAACAATACTTCAAACTGTATATATGTTTTTAAAAGTTGATCTCGAATTCAGATTCCTCAATAGGGGTATGGCAGTTCAGTTTTAGTTCAGATCCTTAGAATTGTTCAGACAGTTCCTTAGATCTGATCTGAACTTAGATCTGAGAACTGTTACACCTCCATTCCTCAACCCCACTTACGTTAACTCGAACTTTTTTAATCATATTCACTGATTGTGGACACGTGACTGTAGACGTCCTTGAAAAAATACACTCAAACAAACTCCTCGTAATTCATATATGACTTTCCTTTCATTCAAGGGAACAATCTTGAAAAAAAAGAGCTACTTTCAAGTAGACTTTAAACAAAGTAAATTAGATGTTCTTAAATCTAAAATCAGTACCAAATAAATGTATAATCTTTCATTTTATTTTAGTAAGATAATTATTATTCAGTCTTAGTGGTATCATTTAATGGAAGTTCATATGAAGGAATATGTTTTTTTATTATTTCGTTCAGCGAATTTAATTTTGACGTTCAGACATCAACAATTAATATGAGAAAAGATAACGAAAGTATAACTTTAACAGAGGAGGTTCCACGGCGCCGTATTAAAGTAAAGATGCATAGCTGTGAATCCACCGATATCATCGAAAAACTTTTTCAGACAGTTCGGTACGATTCTCATAAAGCTCTAAAAAAAGCATAAGAAACGTAAATAAGAGCTTTGGTAAAATAGTTATAGATGTGATACTAACAGAAACTGCTGCGTAAGGAACAGGTTCTGTTCGTTGTGTATATTCATATTTGCCGGCAAGACCCCATCCAAACCCTGTCAATTTACTCTTATTGTACAGAAGAAATACGGGAAATATTTCGTCACATTCCTTGTCGAGTCGATTATCGTACCAATAGTGAGCACCTAAACAACAATGTTTGAAAATAGTGGGGAATTTTTAATTACTCTGTAGAATTTACCCATCGATGGAAAACATGAGCCTTTCACCCATTTCGTCGTATTGACCGTATTTTCATATAATGGTGCTTGAACAGAATCACGAATAGGATCAGATCCTTGTTGTAGCCAAAGGCCAGTACCTGAAACTTCCGATTTAAGACGAGCTACGTCTCGACCCGCTGTACAAATGTTACGCGGATCAACAAAGTAGGCTGTCAACACGTAGGCATCGATACCTGCAACTGTAGCTCGATTGAACATTTTTTGTGTGTCAAATTTATAAAATTGTTTTTTTGCTATGCTGGTCGGTAACTTCAAAGCAAATTTAAAGTCATAGAAACATTATGAAAACAACTCACTGCTAATTGTATTCCGGCAATGCTACCCTGTATATCGTAGATCAACACTAGGGCGATATCGTTGTCTTTTACGAAACGTTGTCCCAGAAATGTTCCTACAGTAAAATAAAGTAAACTATTAAGATATAAAACTCGACGATAGACTCACCATCGCATTGAGTAGAGATCTGAACAAAACCTTCCTTTTTTGCCTCGTTAACGGTCAATGGCTGGCGGACAAAATACTTCTTACTGATTGGATTCGGGCCCCATGTAACTTTAAGCGAATCCCATTCGGGTCCCGAATTACTACGATCGACAGAGAGACAAGGAGCTAAGAGAAACATAATACTTCTAGCGTTTGATTTCAATATTCTTTACAACTTACAAGCAATAAGACCTCCAATCAAGACGATTATGAGGTACTTCATTAATATAAATACAAAAGAAACGTTGTTTCACTGCTGCAGATACGAAAATAGAACGATCTTTTTATCAGGTTGTATGCCAAAAATGAAAAAATTGTTCTTTAAATAACGAGCAACTTAAGTCTTTGATAATGCTGTATCATTGTCATTGAGTGTAATTTTAAAGCGCAAATGCAAAAGAAAACATGTCGAGTCATGATAAATTTGTGTGTTTGAAGAAGGGTTTAAGCGAAGACAAAAGTTGAAGCTACTCAAATATCACCAATTAATTCATATATCATTTCTAAAATAATCATCTATGTGGTTTATATAAATCATAATACTCTATTAGAATCCATACTATCACAACATCTAATATCACTAATAGGTATGAAAGTGTTACTGACGAGCTTAGTTCTGAATATTCGAACAAGTTATCAAATTCGAAGTACAACAAAAGCACATTTCAAACCTCAGATAAGAAAAGGTTTGATTAGGAGATTACTTTATATATACCACTTGTCGAGCCATTAAAACGCTTTCTAGCTAATAAATGACCATTTTACATGAGATAATTGTTTGAACAAGACAGATGATGAGTTCATAAGGTAATTGTTTTAAATGTGCTACATGTAATATAATTGCTGGTATAAATATCATCGCTAAGGATATCTATCTATTCTTCTCAATCATTTACTGGAATAGCATTGCCATAAAAATATCCACTCTGATTATAAGAGTAGAATTTATATTTTAGTAGTTAATAACGATATGATTAGACAGCGAATTATTCTCACTGAAACGTAATATCCATTGAGAATTTTATACTTTTTGACCGTTATGGTAAGGAAATCTTTTGAATTCTCGTATGAACTTCGTATACTCGAGTTTAGTAATTACAAATCTAAACGAAGCTTGAACTTGAAAATTAAATCCAGCAGTTACACTAAGAATCCCTAAAGTTTGAAAGAATATTGTTGAAAACTGAAGCATTTCTTATCGTGTATTTTGACTAGAGATGAATCCATAGAAGTTCCGCAACAAAACAATAGATAGTTTCACAATTAATTATTTATGTGTCTATCATACTATTAATGGCGATGATACATTAGACAATCACATGAACAAATTATTTTTAATTTGAACTCTAATTTTTTCAGTAGTATCACATGAAAAAATGCTGTATTAAATATTGTGTGATAGCCCACCCTAGGGAATGTACTGGGTTCAGGGTACCCACATACTAAGAAAGCCACACCAGGGTACCTATTAAGGGTACTTAGAAAATTCTCAGTAACCAGACTGTTGTAGGTACTGCATTGGGTACCCATAGCAGTATGTTTCGCTGAAGCAGTACTTGTATGAGTACCCGCATCTGTAATTTTACTGAGGAAAGCTCTACAGGGTACCCTAGATTTATCGCGTTCTGTGTGGCGTCTGTTCATTCACCGTTTTCTTTTGCGTGAACAGCTCCTTATAAACAACTCGGTGAACCATCAGAAAATAAAATTTTGTCATATTTTTTTTCTAGATTATTTCTTGACTATTTATTAGTGGAGAACATGGCGATCTTAATCGTAAATTAAGATCGGACTACCCTGAAGTGGTCGGATGGAGATTCGACCAACTCAAGCCCGGTTAGATCCCGAAATTTGACCTGCTAGAGTTTTCAGGATTGGAAAAATTAAGTTAAATAATATCGAAAAAAATTTAATAAATTGTTTTGAGAAAAAAAATGAAAAAATTGTTTTGAGAGAAAAAAAATGAAAAAATTCGAAGATTAGGTTCGACCATCAACATGCTGCAATTTTGGTAACAGGGTACCTAAGCATACTGTGCAATAGTATCCAGTTGAGTACTTGATCAGTATCTTCAAGTACTCATTTACTAGTTGTTTTCCAGCAGGGTACCTACCTGAGTACCTAAAAGGTACCTAAAAGTACTTTTAAGTACTCCAGTACCATAAAGTTCCTAAGACATACTAGTAGCAGGGTACTTTTTCGGGTACCCTTTGTTCAGTACATGCCCTAGGGACTGAATCGAATACAGATTCACATTATGAATACAAATTGTTTTATTTGAATCTATCTGAGAAACAGTTAGGCGAAACTCAATAAAAAACACAACATTCAATCATAAACATTTGAAATTAATCAGAAATGTAATAACAATTCAATTTTGAAGTATTTCGATTATTTCACGTCAACTAACTATTAAAATCTTCACTTTTTCTTTCATACATCCCTTTCAGCCCCCGTGCTCCTTTATATAATTAATAATGTTGGTGTCATAAATATTTGATTATTCTCATGAACTCTATATACATTTACATTGTGAATACAAAATGTTTTGTTTGAATTTTGCCGTATAAACAAAGTAATGATATTCATTCAGTAGCTATCCAATATGATTAAGCAGCTATGATATTCATTCAGTTGCTATACGAAAGTACTAAGTACTTATGTCTAAGAAAATGTAGCAGACAATATTAAAAAAAATATCTCTTTTGAGAATGAGTCGTCGACTAAGAAGACATACAGTTGGAAAAGGTAAAGCAATTTAAAATGTCTCGCTCAATGTTTTGTCCGCAATAATAATAAAAATAGTTCACCAATGAGAGAGGTCAGAGATCGATAACCATAAAGCAAATCACAGAGAGGGCATACAATTTTCTCTAAGAATATTTTTAAGTGTTTCAAACTCATTCTTGTTCTAGCAGTATACATAATTATTAAATAGATGAAAACATTGTTTTATTCAAAGAAAATTCTTTATTTTGATATTAAATGAAAGTTACTCTTCGATGTGATTCATTGTGTTCTATAATCGTGTTCTCTTTTTTTTAATAATTGTTTTAGTTGAAAAATATGTTGTTGATAATCATCAATATCATTTTCTTGTATGAATATAAATTTATATCATTCGTTTAAGAGTTTGAGAAATTTTTCATTGGAAAAAATGAAGTTGAGTGAAACTATGAAAACAAAGCATTCTATACTGTCGATTTAAGATACAATATTAAATACGAAAATTGATGTTTTCATCATGCTTTGATATTTCGAATATAGTCGTGAATAGACTGCATTGAAAAATTTGATAGTTCTTCATTTTATATGCAGACAAGTTAAACTATATTGAAAGAACTATTTCTTAATGACGTTCGGGTTTCTTGGCTCTTTTGAAACCTTTGCTATTTCTTTTTTGATTCTTTTCCTTAGACGTAACAATGACTCCTAAATATTTTGTTCATTGCATTTTAATGTTAATTCAGATATTTTATACATGGTTAAATATATAAAAATAAATTATGATTATTTTCAACTTAAAAATATAACTAGTGAGCTACGTTTACTGAAATATTTTCATCGCTATCATCATATAAATTGAAATTCTGTATGAATAATTGTAAAAGTGAATTATTTTTCAGAATTTATGAAAACAAATGTTGATTTAAAGCAAATTAGACTCATTGAAAATAAGTTGAAAAAGAGAGGTAGAGAAATTTCAAAAAAAATCTACGAACGTTGATCTTCCATCAAGCATCATTCGCAGTTATCGTTAAGACATTAGACACTGATAAAGTTGGTAAAATTTTTTGTGGTCAAAATTCGTAATGCATGTGATTATATTTTATATTTTATTTGTTTTTAAAAAAGAAGTTTCAATTAATTTTAACAATTATCCTATAAACATCTAGACAGCTTTGATATAAATTTCTTATCTACAATAATTCGAAAAAAACTTCCGTTGAATTCAACTATAAACAAATGATGATCTTCATTCATTATTGAATATTTGTTTCTTTTCAATCTACATTGATTATTATTTATAGTTACAATAATTGAACTGTAAACAAAGTAAGAAATCAATCGAGAACTAAAAAAAATGCTCCAGAAGAATTAATTATAGTGGAAGAAAATGATGAACCATTCAACGAGATCATTTCGTTTAAGCTATTGAAATAAATTTGATCTTTATAATAATTGTTTAGCTGAAATTGTTTTTTCCGCGATAGCTAGTTTCTTTTCTAATGTATGATGACTTGGCTTCTTATTTTCAAAAATGCATACAAATCAATGCATATATTTTGTCTTACTAAGATACAGCTATATGGATGAAATTTTTTTGAGATTATAAAAAATGCTCTCAATCTCACACCCTCGAACAAACCAATTTGTTTTTGTTTGTTTATTCTTGTGTTTAATCACATCTGCTATCTTTTAGTCTGTTATTCCCTCAATTTTGTTTCGCTTGACTAATAATTAAAATTTAGTCAAAATATTATTTTATAATATCTTTTACAAGTGTATTGAAACGAAAACTAAAAAATAATCTTTTATTTTTCTTATTTTATAAATTATACATCAATATTTTGTTTTTCATCTAATTTGGTTTCATTCATGTTATTTATATCCTACCATCAATTACAAAATAATACGTCGAAGAATCATCTCATTGATTATACTTCAGTAACATTAATCTATGGAAATTATTCTATTGAACATATTGAACTTTTCAATCTGAAATATTTTCATAAACTTTCATAATGGAAACTGTTTAAAAACTACTCTGGTACCAAAATAGCGATTGTATTCTTTTAACATTAAATATTTACAAATCATGGTCTGAACAGCAATACACAATTTTTCCTTGCTATACCTAAATATGAGAACTATGTAGTCCATAAATTACAGTATTCATTGATAAAGTATTGAACATGAGCGTGTTGTGAATATTCTGCCTAGCATAATAATTTTATTTTGCTTCATTTCTGACAAGAGTAGAGAAATTGTTTGCATCACAATGCAACGGATAGCAATCCTACCGTTAACATAAAACAGTTGACTATCATTCGTCAAATTGATCACATAATCAATTATCAAAAAGAAATTGTTATTATTTTTTTTCTTTTTCGTGCATGGAGTAACATATAAATATACGTTGTTGTATTCTATGTAAGTCATTCAATTCAATCGACTCATTCGAATAGTAATTACGAACAATACTAAGTAAGTATTTTATTTAAAATAATATTTTTTCGTTTCAGTGGTGTTACATTATAATATACATGGTTTAACAATACATTACAATGAAATTATTATTTTTACAATTTTTTTCTTATATATTCCTTAAGAAATGCGACTATAACCTATTCTTTTTTTTCTCTTTGTAGAATGGAGTCTCATCTATCAATGGTAACCAGTCATTACCAATAACAAAAATAAAAAAATGTAGGTATAAAACATAATAAACTAATTCCTTTTTTTTCTAGCTCTAGAGGTGTAATAATGATGTCAAATTACAATGCAAAAAAAAGAAGAGCCACTCATTGTTATTAGAAACGGTGAAATAGTGTAGAATTAGGAAGGCCTTTTCATGTACACTAGGTCACTGTCGTCATATTTATACGTCATACATTGTGTACATTGCCCTACTAGTCTGGCGTGGTCCACTATGTGTACCCGTTTCATGACCATGGGGGCTCTTCCTGGTCGCACGTGCGACTATTAAATATTAATTAATAATCATTTAAGCTATTTTATTAAACATATACTAGGGAAAATAAACATTTACAACTTCTTTTTCACTGCAGCTATACTAGTCATTACGTTTTTAATGCTGGGATGTGTTGAATGAAGTGACTTTTGTTTAATACTAAGTGCCTTTTCTAAATAGGAAAGTGCTTTCGAGTATTCACCCATACTGTTATACACACTACCGATGTTGTTGTAGGAAGTAGCCAAAGAGGGATGATTTGGAGACAGAGATATTTCTTTTATTTTGAGTGATTTTTCGTAAACTTCAAATGCTTTCGAGTATTCACCCATGCTGTTATACACACTACCGATGTTGTTGTAGGAAGTAGCCAAAGAGGGATGATTTGGAGGCAGAGATATTTCTTTTATTTTGAGTGATTTTTCGTAAACTTCAAGTGCTTTCGAATATTCGCCCATGTTTCTATACACTAAACCAATGTTGTTGTAGGAAGTAGCCAATTTGGGATGATTCGGAGGCAGAGTGTTTTTCGTTATCTCGAGGCCTTTTCCGTAAAATTCAAGTGCTTCTGGATATTTCCCTTGGTTGTCCTTCAACCATCCAAGCTGATCATAGATATGTACCTTATCACTATCATTAGAAGCATTCTCGAGTAATTCATTGTAGAGTTCTTCAGCTTGATCAAGATGACCCACTGTGAGCATCAATTGACCCATTCGTTGCCATCCTCGACCGCTGATCTCCTCTTTGATACGATTGGTAAGAGCAGAAAGTTGTGGATCATTGTCGTCAGTAATAGTCAATTGTACTTTCCAAAGACGACTATTCGTGGCCATCTGTTTAATTTCAGCGACACGAAAAACAGTGTGCATTGTAAATAGAATTTCTTGTTCTGATGGAACAGCACTGTGATCATGAATCATTGCAAATGGTGTGATTGAAGATGATATTCTACTTGGATCGATTTTCATAATAAAAATAACACCAACAACGTCTTCATTTTTTTGCAGGGCTCCTTGAACGAAACTCGTGGTCACTTTTTGATCCATACTAGTCGATAAAAAGTTGTTGAACGATAGTAGACCACCTTTTGAATCTAGTAGATTCTGAAAGTCTTCTTTGTTCATTCCTTGACCACGATAAACCGTAAATGGTTTCTGGAAATTTGTTGCTTGTTCCTGATGCAATTGTTTCAGTTGAAGATGAAGACTTCGAATAAAAAAGCCTAACTTGGACATCGCTTTCATGTCAAGCGATCGTAATCCACGATTAAGCATACCATACAGAAATATGTCACATGTATACCACCATACTGGCGATTTCTGGTGGTATTTACACTTTAGTTCATTTATTTCTGCGTCAGGAATATTTTGTTTTTTGCAATAGACTTCTAAAGCCTTAATAGATTTGGTGTCATCATCATCGATTTCTAATATGATGCCCTTCAAAATCACCGAGTACATATATGTTGGCGGTAGCTGATTAAGATTTTGCTCGTTCGATGCTGCATCTGACGCGCATTGCTTTGGAATGAAACTCATTGGAATTGAATCATGATCGCACTCACGGGCGACCTTTTTGAGCGATTCACATATTGGTTTGATTGAGGTGAAAACACCTCGAATCTTTGACCAATCTTTCGCCCATGGTTCATGGCGCGCTTTTTTGTCACAAAAAATATAAATGGCATTCACTTTTGGCATGCCATGAATGTCATGTATGAGGCTTCGTCCTAAAGCACCAGATGAAATGACGAAAGCTTTTCCCTCGTCAATTTTATTGAGGAACTCGATACATTCTTCGGATGTCCTGAACACATTCACTTCACTTACAGTTGCGCGCAATTGTGCCAGCGTATTCTGGCAGTCTTCATGGCTTTCATCGATGTTACCATCGACCCAAATGACCAGATAATCCTGAACCATCTGACGTCTTGGTTGCGTGGCATCTGATATTGTTATTATACTTGTAGCAGCACTAGCTGTTGAATTTGGAACAGTTGGCTTGGGGTTTGTTCCGCTCATATTGAGTGCGTCTTGCTTGATAAAAATGATGAATAGTAATGTATTGTTGAGACACCAGCCTCGTTTAGATTTATATAGCCTATAACTTACTTTTTTTATGGATATGTTTTACGACGTTAAATGTGGGTATTTTATCTTTTCTCTGTTGATACTCAACAACAGATGCATACCTTATTTCTATTGCAGATATGTTTATTAACTAGAAACAAAGAACGGAATTCAAGTATTTCAGAAGTTTTATGGCTATTTTTTCCAACTTTCGTTTGCTGTTCATGTTTGCACGCAATTGAGTGTTGCTGTGTCAACAACTTCGTCTTCTTCAGTGTATGCTTATCTTTTGTTATCTTGAATCTGTCGATCTCTCTCGCTCTCTGTCAAGAACGAAGAACAAGGAGCAAATAATTCGCCAGTTTCGTTGTTTTTTATGTGTATAATTAGTTTCTATTTAAATGAAGAAAGGCAACAGAATTAAATTTTGACTAAATCAAAGTTAACTTTTATGTAGTAACTATACTTCTTATAATTAAGGAGTAATTAAACAAAAAAATTACAATCATCATTAGGCTTCAATTTTGATACAATGGGTTGGACATAACTCGTGTAGCTACTGAAGAAGCAATGAGTTAACTAGTTGAAGTTCTTAAATGATGGAAGATTAAACTGCCTATTATCGATTCAAAATGGAGTGGTACAATACAAAGAACGTTTACATACATAGATATTTTAAATGCGAAAAGATTTTTACTCAATCATTACAGAAAGATGTATCCAGAGAGTAGGCGTTGTATCGTCGCTGTGATGATGAGAAATAGCTGCTGAATGTTATTTATGATCGTAACTTTTCCCATGATCTAACTAATTTGAATTCGAACTATTATCGATAATAAATTGATAATCATCGTCTTTACTAATTCGATAGACTAGTTAGTTCTTGATTCAAGTATACTATACATTGATACGTTAATTTTTCTAGAAATATTCATGTATTTTTGATCGAGATTCATGCAATCGGAACGTTTTATGAACAAAACTAACTGTCCCAACATATATTATCATTGGGACGATTTTAGATAGAAGAGATGCCTGTGTTGATGGTATTACACTTTATTTAACTCTTCAAATCATAAATCGCATCGATTACATATAAAACACACGCTTAAATACTCAACCATTTGAGAGAATGAAGAAGAAGGATAGATAAAGGCAAATGTAAAGGACAGAAAAATAAAGACAATAGATGTGATGAGAATAAATGGCACCATAAGACCAAATCTTATGTATAGGTTACACTCGAACGAGAGCATTACACCCCCGGATGGAATTTGCACGCTCTCTGCATATAATCGTTACAATCATACTTATCATTGCTACACTGACTCTTTATTATCAAATGTATAAATAATAAATCAGAAAATGAAAAGAATCTTTTCGTTTAACCTCTTCGATTCATCAAAAAAATAATAATTCAATATATATCATGGGAATTAGAAGTTACTGAATTTCGATGTTCATATGCCCTGGTCGATGATTCCGTTCTCCGGATCCTGCAGGGAAAACAATAGGAAGTAGAAGCAGTATTCCATCCGAAAAAAAAACGCACCCTGAACCTTTAACATCCTCCCAAATTCAGCCATCGGAAACTCTAAGGAACATATAATGATCCTAGAGGAACAGGAAGGAGAAAATCAGGAATGCCAACGGAAACCTTCACATCCAAAATGGAAAAGCAAGGGATACTGATGGGACAAATTGGAAGCACAACGAAACCCACAATTCTGCATCCTGAAACAAATATGAAAGACCTACGAAGATCACTAGAGATCTTTATTGTGACTACCTTAGTTATAGGGTATTTCTGTGATTAGAAGATTCAGATCGATAGAAAATCATATTCTAAGATCTTTGAAGGTGATTTGTTCTATTTATCTTAACTACCCAGGTTGATCAAAACGGACTCGTTTACGGTCTGTTTATCGACGGTAAACGATGTCAAAACGGTATATTTACGGCAGTAAATAGACCGTATTTGCCCGTAATACCTGGCGCAGTAATACGGCACCGTAAACTGGACTGAATTTTCATGGTTTACGGCTGTTTGTGCTCCGTACTCTCATGATAATACGGTCCGTATTACTGCGCCAGATATTACGGCAAACTTTCGCCCGTAAAATAGTCGTAAAGTAACCGTCGACGGCCGTATACGGACCGTACTGTTCAACCTGGGTAGATGATATTCTACTGATGGAGAGTACGACACTGATTATAAATGTTACTCAAGGAACATCTTTAACAAATCCAAAGTCCTATGGCAGTTCTTGTTTTCAATGATCATCGATTAATATTAAAAATGGGGCTGGAATATTGAATGTTCATTCATGTGGATAGATTGGTGATCTTCAGGGTGTTCATGTATCGCTAGGTCAGCTTGAAGAGTCTCAGGCAGTCTGAAGACTGTTTTAGTATTTCAATACTTTTGTTTTGAGCGCTCTCGTTTTTGATATATCTAACTCTGTTGGAGTCGGAGAGATGGTCTTTCTGCTCCTGTGCCTACCTGTCACCTTTCGTTCGTATCTGCCACAGGTGTGCTTGAAGACCTTTAAAATGATAAGATTTGAGTATTGTGTAGGTTTCTAGACTTTCCTGAGATGGACGTGTAATTTACTGCTTTTTATGGTGTCGGTTTTTTTTGTATCAGATGTTTTTGAACTCTGGCAATTAAATTAATTTAAATCAGCTCAGTAGTGGTTCCGTTTACCTAGTTATCGTGCATTGTCGCGTGCGATTATCTGAGCTAAATAATATCTTCCAATTTGAAGACACAATTCAATAATCTATCGTGGTCTCTACTCAACTATTGCTCTCAGCAGTGGGCTGTGAGTTGTGTAATCTCTTACGCGGTATTTTGTATCCAGTCTGCTTGTTTTCACACTGCTGTTAATTTCGTACTCCTTAGAACTGCTTTAAGAATGACTATCATGTCCAATTTAGTCCAATGTTTAGAGGAGAGTCAAAATCTTTATCAATGCTTGCATGAAGTTGTAACTTTTTCTTCATATTTCATACATCTGAACATTGAGTATACAATTGTATTCTAGAGATTCTTTTGAGAGAGTGATCCAATTTGTCGATTATAAGGTATTAAAGTCATGTAGTTATAAGGAATAAGTTTTCGAATAGATCCTATCGTTTCCGATTGCGGGATTAAACCATGTGAAAGAAAATTAAAACGGTCAGATCTATGCGTTGCAACCGAATATATTTTGGCTCCTGCTCCCGTGAAAAGGCGTCGGAACCAAGAGTTTCCCGCTGTACGGTTTGAACCTGCGGAGCTTCTTTACTGTGAACTCCTTTAATATAACAAAAAAACAACAATAATAACCTGTATGTCCTACCATGTTCAAGATCATTTTCATGGCGGTACAGTCAGCTATTATTCCTTATAATATTAATTGAAATACAGAGTTTGTTTGCAAACATATTATATCTAAGATACCTTTATTTGATTGTGCTTTGAAAAATCTCATTTCATATGGAGTTGTCAGATCTTTAAATTAGAACTTGCTGAGCATCAACAATTTTACTGATTGATCGTTGATAGAATAAATTAAGATAGATGTCTCTATAGATCAAGTTTTGAATATATCCGTAATGGTCACATACTGGGAGGAAAAACTAAAATGGCGTCTGACAACCAATTAACCAATTTCGAGAGAGGAAGGAAAAAAACGTGATCGATCGATTTTTACTTTTACGTTGTCAAATATTAATATGCCGTTCTCATTTACCAGTGATGGACGTACACTGAGTAGTTTTTTTAACTCACCAGAGCAAAGTAAAAACTGATTCTCTTGATTTACAATTAATTATTTAAAATAAAATTTAGATTCTGAAAATTTACTTGTCGATAAACAAAATTTATTATGTGTATTTAAATTAGTTATAAAAGATCTGTTAAATTCAAGTTTACGGCATGAACGTTTACTTGAAAAAGAATATTTCCCTCTAAAACATTTTTTTATTGTCTTCGAACAAATTCTATTACATGGTTATACAGGTAAAAAATCCTTTCAAATAACTTCCTCGTCAAATCGTAAAGATCTTTGGCCGATTATTGATCTTATTGCACGTAAATCAACTGATGCTAATATTGTTGAAATATCTCTATCGTCAAAAGAAATGACAAATATTCGTACGCCATTAGGACGTGTACGTGCATGGTTACGTCTTGCATTAATGCAAAAACGTTTAGCTGATTATTTTAAAATTCTTGTCGAACAAAAACAAGAACTAAAAGAATTATATGATAATGACGGATTATTATTATCCGATGAAATATCCATCATAACCGGTTTACTTGTTGGTCTCAATGTGTTAGATTTAAATTTTTGTTTAAAAGAAGCTGCACTGGATTATCCTAGTGATACAACAATTCATTATAGTTTATATCTACGTGAAAGACGTATACCAGCACAATCAATCTCAAATAATATTCATCCGCCAGGTTCCATCGAAGATCATATTGATGAATTAGATGATTATTCATCATTATCATCCTCACCGATAATTGTACGAGCTACAAATGCACAAAATTCTGATACTGCTGTTTTATCAAGTTCAAATGATATAATGACATTTGATGATCAAAGAATTACAAATATTATTGATCAAAAAAATTATATTGAAGAACTTCATCGAAATTCACAGTAAATTTACTCATACGCAAGCTTGAAAAATAAATTTCAAAATGTTTTCGTTATTTATAGGAAAACAGTCACAAATTTACAAAAACGTCTACAAGCACTTGAACATACGAATAGATCGCTATTAGAAGATTCAATAGTACAAAAAATTCGTATCGGACAATTGGATGACGATTTGAAAAAAGTCAAATCAGAAAAAGAACAAATAATACTATCTTATCAATCGAAAATCGAAGTAAATGTTTTATTTAAAGTAGATTGAATTATCAATTCGTTTTTAGGCTTTAAATTCTGATATGGCAGTTGAACGAGAGACTTTTAAAAAATCTCGCGAAGGTTTTGATCTACTTTACAATGAATTGCAAAAGAAATATGACAATGAATGTTTATCCAAACAAGTAAATCGAATAGATTTCTTTTTCAAAATTTTCTTGTGAATTCGAATAAATAGGATGTTGAAACTGAATATCAAATTCAATTAGCACAAAAAAATGATTTTATTGAAGCCACAAAATTAATGGAAAAAGATTGTGAAGTGAAAACAACATTGTATACTCATATGAAAGAACAAATCGATAGTATTAAAAATGAAAATATACGTCTATCAGAAAGATTACATGTAAAATTTTTCTTGAAATTTTTTCCAAAAATTTTAATTCATTTTTTAGTTCGAATTAAGTCGAAATGAAGAAATTGAACATCAAATACAATCACTTGGTAAAGAGAATCAAATGTTAAGAGAAACAATTAGTCAATTAGAATCCAAGTAGAAGATAAAATTTTAAAATTTCTTACTATTCTTTGCTTTTTTTTTAAGTATCGAGGAGATCAATAGTGAAAAACATGCTCTTACTGATACCAATGATTCGCTAAGTCGAGATCTTGCTAGAATTGATGCTGAAAAGTTTGTTAATTAATTTGAATAAAACGATTCAACGATTTGTTTTTGCTCTCCATAGAACATCAATTGAAACTGATTTACGTGTAGAAAAAGATTTTCGACAACGTCTTCAACAAACATTGACAAGTGAAAAAGAAAAAGTCTCATCACTTCAATTTGATATTCATGAATTAAATTTAATCAAACAAGTACAAATAGAATAGATTTTGTGCATTTTTGTAATGAGAACATTTTTGGTTTTAGGAATACGATTCATATAAAAAAGAAATGTCTAGACAACAAAATGATTTGCAAAAGAAATTCCAAGAACAAGAAGAGACCATACGAGAGTTAGCATTAAAATTAGAAGTATCAATTAAGCGTGAAGACGAATTCCGAGAAAAAGATGGTCTACGTCTATCAACATGGATGAAAGATGAAGATGTGAAAGAATGTTGTCAATGTAAAAAAGAATTTAGTTCACTTAGAAGAAAACATCATTGCCGAAGGTGAGTCTCAATTTCCAGTCCGGTATACTTTCGTAATGGATAATTTTTAGTTGTGGTCAAATATTTTGTGAGGCATGTGCTGGTACAAAACTTCCATTGCCTAGCTCAAATAAACCAGTTCGCGTTTGCGATATGTGTCGTAATCATTTATTAGCACAATGTGCGGTTAATAGTCCGTAAAGCAAACATTATAATGTGCACACACACATACACTCATCAAGATGAAGTATTTTTACATTTCATATCACTGATCTATTTATATGATAATGTAAATAGAAATTGCATGATATTTTATTTGTTCTTCTCATAAACAGCTGCTCACAAACTACTTCTAACGATACTATAAAAAATCAATTTGTCTGTTCATTTCGTTGATGTTGTTAGAATTGTTGCTCTTCCTCCTGTTGTTTTTATTTCTTCATTAAAATGTTAGTCAACGCTTTTGTCGATTTTAAATAAAAATAAATTATTTTATATATTTTTTTGTGATATTTATGAGTTTCTTTTTTGTTCTTATACCGTCTATAGCGGATGTTCTCTTGTTTTAGATATTGAAAATCGTCCCGATGAAATAAATATTATATAAGAGAATGAATTTCTATCATTCTTCTTATCAGTATAGATATGGCGAATGTTTGATTCACACTTTTCGCCGCATAACATATGAAATAGTAATTCGTTCTCTTCCTCCTACACGAAACATCATTCACATCACATACATTTCACACGATAGACACCACCCACTCAAAACCAAAGTCAATAAATACATGACTTTATTTAAATAGGCAATTCAAACAACAACATTTACCGTTATTTCTAGATAAATATAATCCTTGTTGAACAGAAAAAATGCCGATTCTTCGAGACGATGCGCCAGACTTTCGCGAAGCTTTTAGTTTATTCGATGATCGTGGTGATGATAAAATTGCGAAACATTTATTTGGTGAAGTTGTTCGTGCGCTTGGATTAAATCCAACTGAAGCACAAATTAAAAGTACAACACAAAATTTAAAAATCGATCGAATTTCGTTCGAAGAATTCTTACCTCTATATGATTCTCTCGCTAAGAAGAAGGATAACAGTATGAGTGAAGAAGAACTTATTGAAGGTATACATAAAATAATTAACTACAATATTATTTCGCTATATTGATTTCCTTTTTTATCTTCTTCAGGTTTGAAAGTTTTTGATAAAGAACAAAATGGCAATATATCATCAGCTGAACTTCGCCATCTATTAACAAATCTTGGTGAACGTTTAACTGATGAAGAAGTCGAACAATTACTTACAGGTCTTGAAGATAAAAATGGGCTGATACACTATGAAGAATGGATCCGCAAATTACTTCGCAATTAAAATAATAAAAACATTCCGTCGTTTCTTTTTTTATTTTATTTATTACTATTCAGTGTCATACATGTGCATGATTGGCTTCTCTTTTTTTGAACGATCTTTTTTTTTCTTCTGTTTCTGAATTTTCAATTCGTACATTCCAAAGCTTTTTTTTCTTTTCATTTTAAAGAATCTCGATAGAAAAACGAATCGATTCAATTTTTTAGATGTTACTTGATTCTAATAATTTGCCATTTTGCGTTCGATGTCGAACAGAAAAAATTCTTTCATCTCAGTAAGTATTTCTACCAATAAATGATGCTTGTAAAATACTCTCTAGTTTTGAAACAACACAAATAATTATATCGTTTTTCTTTGTATTAGAATTCGATATTTCGACATGCTAATTCTCATTCCAAATCTCATTTTTCTCCTATTTCTTATTATTAAATGGATTCGAACACGTTCAAAACTAAATACACATAAGCCATTATTACTCACTGTTGCGTGTTTGCTTCTTCTCATTACATTTGCCAATATATTAAGATGCTTATTTGTAATGATATTTCCTGATCATAAATTCAAGGCTCAAGAAATTATTGTGAAAGTAATGCAAACGAAAAAAGGAATTTCTATTGTTTTTTCGATGAGAATCATTTGTTATTTTAGATTCTTTGGTTATGTATTCGATTTGTTCTATTATGGACAGAATTAAGCGTTGTTCTTTTTGGTATTTTTTTTGGTAAATTTTTAAAATTATAAAAAGAAATTTTCTGCATAACCTATATGTTTAGGAAGGTCAAATTCAAATCGTCCATCAATCAAAGCAGTAAAAGTTTTAATTATTTCATTTATCTTTACATCCATTTATATCGCTATTCAAGTAAAAAATTTCTTGTTTTGCATTTACTGAATCCAAAGCTAACTCGTTTTCTTGCAGGCACTCTTAGAATTTCTCGGTGATACACGCCCAATACAGTTTCAAACAAGTAACTATCATCTTTATTCATACGGTGGCATGAAATTTTTGCTTATTTCCAGTTCAATTTTTCTTACTGTAATTATTTTATTGAAAACAATGACTTCGATTTATTTTTTAATAAAAATTTCTATTATTTTCATTAGTTATACATAATTATCTTCTCGTTGCCCTGTTTTTGCGCTCGACTTCGAAAATATTTGCCAAGTAAAACTGAAATAATAATGTTTTTCAACAAAATTTACTGTCGTTTTGTTTAGTCCGTCGGTCTTTTTATTTTTATTGTTTTATTTTGGCATTAATTAATACAATACAAATCGTTGGTACCGCATTAAACTTAACCGACACAACAATATATAGCATGTGGTATGTTCATTAAAAACAAAATTGATTGATGATACTGAAATGATCTAGTCGGATACTTTTTATAGTTATTCAAATATCTTAATTATAAAATCTCACTAACTACATATGCTGAGTATTCTTTTTTTCTCCCCGCTCTAACTTCAAGGGTCATCAAAATAGTATTTCTAAAAAATGAAATTTACTAATGTCAACTAGGAAAGGTCGAACGCAGTTGCTTTTAGTCTTGACATTGGTCGATCATATGAATATTAATATTGAATCTCATTAAACTATCGTTCAAAAGTCACCGGAACACTTAGTTTCTTGTTCTAGTATTGTTGATGGTACAACATTTACATTCTATATATGTTTTGCTCCATTTGTCTATTATCAATTTCTTCGACGAGCTCTAAGGTAATACTAACCTAGTTTCTCTCTCTCTCTGGTAATCTCACGATCATTTTCTCTTGTAGATCAAATTTACTTATTCCACAAATAATATATGCCGATACAACTGTTAATCACGAATATGACGATGATGATGATGATCTTATTGATCCTGGTCTTAATACATTAATTGATATTGCAACAAATGACAGACTTGATGGTCAATTTGAAGATATAACATCTTCCATAAGAATAATTCAGCCAAATATATCATAAGACATACTATTTATAAGGGTCTATGTATTTTTTTCTTTTCGATATTTCTTCAATACAAGTATTCAAGTTTTATTTTCTTAAATAAAGAAAAGAAAGTTACAATGGAGGTGCACAACAAAATTTGCGACTGCGAAATAACCATGTTGGCATGCGATTATTCACAGTAGGATCTAGGGTAATGAAATTTACGTTCTAACTTTAAATAAAACATTGTTTTATCTTACCATTTTCGTCACTATCAGATGGGATTTCATAAACACCATTAGGATAATGCCCGATGCGTTCTGCTAACTAAGAAGAAAAAAAATAAAGGAGAAACTTCGGTTTATTGTACTCAAAAGAAAGAAACGAACCCAATTTTGGTTGCTCATTGGTGATGGATAGGAATGAGCAATACATAGACAAACGATGATAAATATAAGAAAACGTAAGAACCAAGTTAACATGATGATCGTTTCTGTCAGTAGGTCTGAGGACTGTGATAAGGCCTTGATTGATATGAGACAAGAAGAAAAAAGGGAAAAGAAGGTTCAACTTTCTTCTATTAACTTGCTAGAGAAAAAAGCTAGGAATTTCTTTTTTCTTCTTCTTTATATAGTATTAGTCAATATATACCGGACATCAAAGCGATGAGAGACTCTCGAGCAACTTGCTGTCAAATAATTTTCTAATGCGTTTGTAGAAAACAATTCCTCTTTTGTTTCGATTAGGACCGTAGAAAAGAGAAAACTAGACTTATTGCTTTTGTTACTTTGTTCCCTTGGTCTCAGTTGATGATCGGATCGAATCGGTTCGGATCCGATCCGAACAATTACACAACATCGAACCGAGAAACTAACAAATGACATATGATACTTTGAAACAATACAAGAAAAATAAAATAAACATAATGTTTCTTAACAGTTCATTTGATTGAGTGTATTATTTTTCCCGGTTATATATATATACACAACTGTGATTTATATTTATTATCCAATAAAATAAATGACTTCTATTTTAAAAAAGAGAAGCTTTAAAAAAACATTTAATTGCCTTTTTTCTGTACATTTGCATCAAAATATAATGTAATGCTGCGTGACGAATTAAAAAGGGCACGATTTTTAGTAAAGAATTTTAAAAAAGTTGTCCCGGAATCTTCTTCATCATCTGTCATTTCATCTAATGCTTTTTGTGTTAGTGAAATTTCTGTTGTTGATTGCTGATTTGGATGAGTTATTTCTATACAAGACATCGATTTATACTCTAAAAAAATTAAAAATTAAACAAAAATAATTGTACAATAATAAATTGCTTTTACCTTTTAACTTTTCTGACCAATCTAATCGTCCACACGCAGATAGAGCATCAACGAGATACGGAAACACATTACCGGTATCAATTAAATGTTCAAATATTTGAATGGTGTTTTCAATATTATAAGATTCTCTTAGACGCCGTGGTATCTGCTTTCCGAGAACGAAATGCAATCGACATCGATCGAGATCAGACAAATCATCTAATATTGCTAATAAAAACTGGCGAAATTTCATATCCATATTGTCCGTTTCATACATAAAAACAGTCATGTGCAGTCGATTGATAAGGAGAAATCAAATCAATATGTCGACTTATTTATAACAATTCCTGTTTTATAGGAAATTTTACCTTGAAGAAAGAAAGGACACATCCAAACTCATTATTCACTATAGTAGAAAGAAATTTCTTTCTTATTTCGTGAAATGTTTGAAGAAGAAGAAAACGTAAAAGCAATGGTAAAAGTGAAAGACTGTTTTGAATGAGAAAGAAAATAGAATTATTTAAGAGAATTTTTAACATTTTATCAATTCTGTTACTTGATTTTTTCGCTAAAGTTATAGATTCCTACGAAAATAATATTAGTCGAGAAAAATTGTATAGTCATTCATGACCGATTTTTTATCGTGTACTATAGGTAGAAGAAAAAACCGTGTTCTTCATTGTAGTATTGGGATAAATCAATAGAATCCTTGGGATTTCTTTTTATCCCAGAAAAGCCATATAAATATAAGTGGCCCTAGTCGAACATCTTTTGGGATGCGCATGAGATACTTGAGGATCTGGAGCAAGAAAATCCTGCGCTATGGACAAATCTTGAGGTCTGTGCAGATCAAGCGCATGAAAAAAGCTTCGACTAGAGGAATCATTAAATTTTCATGGCAATCAAGGTATTTTTTATTATTTTCGAAAACTCAGAGATTGCATTAGAAAAAAGGTTTTATTCGCTGTAAAGCCCTGGTAGATGTTTGTTGCCGTTCGGCTGTTTATTTTATCATGAATTCTCTAAAAAAAGCCAAATCTTCGTAAAAATAGTGATTCAATGCTCGAAATTAAAGTTACATTAACTTGTAGTAAAACTATGTACATTTACTACTACGACAGATCAACATATTGTGTTTGTCAGACTTCTTTCATAAACGATGAAAACATCCTAAGGCATGAATACAAAGGTCACTATGAATAATACAATGAACAATTCTTTCGTTTTTTTTTTGAAATAGAACTTAAGAAATGGTAACATTCAATAAGATTTTCATGACAAGCTGTATAGTTCCATCTTGAATTATTATCGCACCGCTTATTTTTATTTTTATTTTTATGGTGAAGTCACAGACGAACGATAACAAGAGCAAAACTGAAGACAAATACAACATAAACCGGTCTAATACAGGCATACGCACAAGAAAGAAAGTACTGAATATGTATCGTATTGAATGATGCCATCCTAATAGACCTATGTAAAAAAAAACAACAACTATTTTCTTTTTCTTCTTCTTATGTATTTCCTGCACTAAGAATTTTAAAGAATCGAACAAATTTTGCCACAAAAAAATTGATGACAAAATACCAAAGATTTCTTGCTGTCGGTCGTTTTGATATAAATATTCTCCATAACAGAACAAGAATAATTGTATTGAATGCCCAACGTATATTTCTTAAATTATTTAAATGTTTTTGTGCGCCATTTAAACTATTCATATCTTCATTTAAAACGTAACGTTTTGTTCCAATTAAATAGGATTCAATATATGTTGGCCAATGTAAAGCACGTATATCAAAATTAAATTCATTGAAATTATTTGTTTCACTAACTAATTGCCTTAGGGAATTTAAACTATCATAGGAACATTGAATTTCTCCGCGAATCATGAATGATTCAAGACCAAGAAGTGTTCGATGCAAATTTTTATATAGATTAACAACACGAGCTTGTCGACCTGTTAAACGTAAACCAATATCGGCTAGATATGCTGGAATAAGATGTGAAAAAAACACATATGAATCATGTATTAAACTATGACTTGTTACAGATAGATTAGGACGACGAAATGCATGTTCATATGGAACACGTTTTGAATATTCAATAAAATGATTACTCATCTCTTGCCAATGAAATGGATTAAGACCACTCGATGTACAATGATATAGAGTTAAATGTTGTTTTCTTTCTTCGCAAGATCTTTCCCATGATGCAGCAATTAATAAATTAACGGGTATATCGACTGGCACAATATCGAGTATGTCATGTGAATCACCTTTCATCGAACGTAGATAACCACGACCTACGGCAGCAAATAATTCGCTTGGTCCGTTCGATTTTTCAACCCAACCAGGATATGGATCTTTCCACGCTGCACCAATAATTGAAACTCGTACGATTGAAATCGATGGTAAACTTTTTTGTTCTTCTGATAAAACTGTTTCAGCAAGCCAATGTGAAAATGCGAATGCATTCGGTTTTGGACCGATTAATTTCGGTGTTGCTAATTCGACCATTTCTTTATCCATCCAATCAAGAGCATCAACTAATTTTTGTGGTTCAATTGGACATGGATAAACACATTCATCAATGAACGGACAATCTAGATAGAATATTTATAGATTAGAGAAAAATAAAAAGTTCTACGTAATTCATTACCTATATTAGCATAAATCGATGAAAGATAAACGATTGACTGTAATTGTGTACACGTTTTTAAAAAGGTTAAACTACTTTTCAAGTCCATCACATTTGTTTGAATCATATCTTTAAGATTTTGTTCGTCAAAGTCTACTGAATTATTTGCAATATAAAAACATAAATCAACAGTATTCTGTAAATTTCTCCACGATATTAATTCTAATTGTTTTTCTTCATTTGAATCTAGTTCGGTGTTTGTTATTGCTGTTGGCGATATTAAGAGATTTATATCGAATGGAATAATTTTTTCTTGAAATTTAGTATTAATACGTCTTACACGATCGAATAATTTTGTTGTATAGATTTCAGTAAATGTATCCACTGGTGAAAGATGATGAGTAACTGTCTTTTTTGTAGGGTATACAGGGCAATAGATTTTTTCTATGTCTGGACATGAACGTAGTAATTTTTCAAGTAAAACTTTTCCCGGAAATGTTGTTGAACCAAAAACTAAGATAATTTTTCCGTGATAAAAATCGGGAATACTAGATGACATTTTATGTATCAATGGATACACTGAAATCTAAAATAAAAAATAGTTGACTTGATTGATTTTCTTAAATATGTGTCAGAATGAATATAACATGTAGATATTTTTTTCAATTGAACAAGTGTTTTTTTCATATTTGATAAAACAAATAAAAACAAAAAGGTTACAGCTATATTTTTCTTTTTTGAGTTTCTAAAATCATCTTGTTTTCTATTTCTTTTTCTTTTCCCGTTACTACCACCCACACGATTGTTTTTACTCTCGTCGTATTTTACTGTTCTTTAACACACTTTCGGTTGTGAATGATGTATTTTTCTACCATTAGCCTCTCGTTTGGTCCTTCGCATTTATCAATACACTCAGTTGATTCGCAATTGCATCAATCAGATTCAGCCAGTAGCAATGCAAGAAAAAGAAAAGAAACAAATGGGAACTAAATATAATTCACGAGATCCCTACAGCAGAAGAATATAACGACAGCATCAATGATCTCACATTCATTTTACTATATTTTTAGACTAGTAGAAAGAAAGAAAGAAAGAAAAGAATGAAGAGAATAGTACTTATTTTTGTTACTGAAAGAACTGAACAAAGTAATGATAATCCATTTTTCTATTGTTCATATAATAAAATAAAGTTATCCACCTTTGCATGTTTTCTAACAGAGAATACACTTTCAATTGTCATTTATCACCAATTACACTTGAAGATAAATGTCCTTAAACATAAGACTTTAATATCTTTACTTTACTCCTACACAATTAAAGATAAAAGAAATGAATCATAAAATCCTCAAAAAAAGAAAATTATCTCTAATAAATATTTGCTCATTTCGAACTCAATATTTGTTTTGATGCCTCTCCCGTATATTATTCATTGAATCATATTCATGTAGAAAACCGAATTGGAATTAGCTTGAAACAATTGCAATTAAAAAGCTGGTAGTAAAATCCTCGTCGAACTGAACTGTTAACACAAAATAACTGTTATTGCTAATGCCTACGGGATATTTTGAAACGCATTTTTTTGTCATCACTATCGTTGCATTCTCGCAATATAATAACTAGACTCGATTGACTTACGACCCTTTGTTCTATATCAACCACGCCTACGATGGCGCCTGCCACAGTTGTTTTAGAATGTCTTTTAAAAGCTATTTTCTCAGATGTGAGTTTTTTGAAAAATTAGTTGTCATGCTATCGTGATAATGTGAAAAGTAATTTAATAAACTTGATCAAATCCCTACTTTCCTATGTCAGTACAATTAATTAATAATGATTTTATTTCGTGAAAATAGCAAGCGGAATGAGAATTGGTTCCATTACTATGAGTAAATCAAACCATAACATGTTATGCATCTAAAGGGCCTTCTTCTTTTGTCGCAACAAACATAGGTCGATTGTAGTAATTTCTGTCTCTGACATCAATCAATGTCAATTTAATCTACTACGACAAACGAAGGACAAAGTTGGAATTCTCATTAAGCAATGTTATTTCTACTATCATAATATTCTTATGATTCGATTAGTCTTTCACTTATCGTCGTCGTTGTTGTTCTATTAGTCTATTCATATTTGACATAAACGAGCTTGACTTACCGATTAATATAATTATTATTTTTAGTTTCTATTCGAATTGATTTGTTCGCAGTGCTTTAAGATTATTAGAATTACACCTCTGCTCGTGGTCAGAGATGAGGGAAAATGTTTCGCCGAAAATAATTGTTCTTCAAGAAGCCGTTGTTGGTATATAAAGTAACACGAAAACAAAAGACAGTTAGCGGGTTTCAGTTCATTATTTGCAAAATAAATAAAACATTTTGATTAATAATAATGATTAATGCATAGTATCGAAGTCATCTTGATCTTGAATATATTGTTCTAGATAAATGACTGTCAGATTCCCATGAGCTAATTTGTCAAGCATATCCCAGCATGAAAAATATTGAAGGCTTATACACGTGCATAATATTTAAACAGAAAACTCAATCAATCAATATGAATAATTTGTTTTTTTCCTTTTGTGAATCGCCGATACAAAGAGAGTATGCTGGAAATAGTGAAATATTACAATTTTTGTTGAACAACTGTTAATTATGATTGATCTAAGTGCAGTTTTTTATGAAAATTTTCGAAATATCAATCAAATTGATTTTATCTATTAAATTTCATTAGTGTTTTGTTTTCAAAGCATGCATTTAATTGTATATTTAGTAGCGAAAATGCAAAGAGACAATTTATTTTTATTTTATTTATTTTTCCAAAGCAAAAGCAACAAATAACAGGCGTGAAAAGCTCTACTCACATAGTCGTGCGTTGTTATCTAACCGTTGTCGAAAGTAAACTGCTCTCTGGTAAGTAGAAATGAAGTCTTTTCTTTTTTTATTTTTAGTTTTCTTCTTGTTCCTCGTCATTATTATTTTCTTCTGAATCTGGAAGGTCTAAACCAATATTTTCATCACCTGCTATATCAGTCGTTTGTTTATCTTTCTTTGCATGTTTACGCCTGTTTTCATTTTTATTTCGATGTTCACTTATTTTCAGCTCATTTAATTGTTTCCAAATGTCTTCTTCGCCATTATTATCAACCATATTTGTCATAAAATCGTCTTTATTATTAGTTTCATTCAAAAATTTCGACCAAAGTATTGGATATTCATCAGCAACATCATTTCGTAAAATCGATTTCTTCTTAGCTCCTTCACTTAACCATTTAAGGAATTCTCCGGCTAGGATTGTCCATCGATCAAGTATTTCTCTAGAAAATCCTAACCATTTTTGTATAGCACTTAACCGACGACTTGTTCTCTCTATTGTTTCCGGTAAATCCATTTTACGATTTTTTTCCCATTCGCCTAACATTGGACGAGCTTTTTCACGTATAGCACGAAGTATAACATACCATATGGTCTTCTTTTTTAATAAGCCAATTACTTGATCATTCTTATTAAGAAAATAAAGAACGCTACCTAAAGAAAAAGAATGCTCAATCATTATGTTTTTTCTTCCTCTTCTTACGAGTATTTTCGCTATACTTAATGTAACACCTGGAGATCGTAATAAACACGGTCGGTAGTTCGGAAGGAAATTCTAAGGGTGCTTAAACGTGGAGTCCGTAAAAGAATTTATAAGGATAGTGTAATTGATTTAAAAATTTTCTGCTCTTATAGACAATAATAGGTTGCATTTTTGATTACATCCATGATTATATTAGTAGACGATTATTCTCTCTTTACCTATACTCCTTGTGCTATAGTCTCAGAAGTTGTTTCTAAGGGTATAAGTTGATTAAAAACCAACAGTTGTCAAAAGCAACAACTGAGCAAGCTGCTCCTAAATCTTATTTACGTTCAACTCCAATATTGAATCGTCTTAGAGTTAGACCCAGCGATCATACTACTGCTTGTTTTGTCTTCATCTTGCACATCATCATCTCAATCTGATCTCATTGCTTCAACATCGAAAATTAGACAAATAGTCAGGTTCAGAAAACGTGTACATTCATCGAAGAATAAATAGAATGATGATGTACATTAACACTTGAGTCATGAATATATATGTATTTATTTTCTTTCAATAAAGCAAGTATCTTATAACAGAAAGTATTGAAGGAATAAGGAGAATAATAACTAATACTAGAGTTATTATAGTAAACAGAAGTGCAATCGTAACTGCTTGAATCCACCGAAACGTTGACTATACGTGATTTTGGTTACGACTATAGCGTATCACTTCATATTTTCTCACAGGGAAACAAAACCTGAACATACTTGCGAAAATCGTGTCGTCTTTTTTTTTATTACTGTTTCCATGTCTTTGTCATTACAAACATGCGGACATTCTGATTACGATCTCCAGTCAAATTCTGATGTTCTTAAAGAGAAAAATTTACATGGAGTTCATTCCGAACACCATGTCTTCTTTTTCATGTCAGGAGATCGTAAACAAATTATTTTACTGGAGCTCGTAGAAAAGAGGTGAGACGAAGTGTCATTTTCTCGTATTTTCTAACCTTCACATTCGTGTCGATATTTTATCGATGTTAAATATGCATTGAGAAGATGTGGTTGATTTTCAATAATATCATAATCTGTCGTAGATAAATGTAATGAACGAGCTATTTCAATACCATAATCCGGCGGCAATGCACAGAGATTCGTCACAGCCTGTCCAAAATCTTGTGGTACTTGTGCAAATGTTATAAATTTTAATTCGGAGCGATTCGTTTCATTTTTTAAATACGATAAATTAACAACATGTTGATGCGAATAATTAAGTATTTCAAAAACAGCTGTATAACGTGTTAATGATAGGAAATTTAATAACTTTGAACCTTGATCAGGCATAGATGATAATGTATCGAGTATTGTATGACAAAATGAGCTCGCATAATTATATGTCGTGTCATCTCCGTACATTGCTATATCGGAATGACTACGGAAACATAAATGGACGTTTTTTGAACCAGCAATTAAGAATAAACGATTATTGGGCGGCAGAGATATACATGATAAATGGCATGCTTCACCTATATAAACAAAATATTGATGTTCCTAGAAAGGGTTTCTTAGATTCGTTGTGCTTTTTTACCGTTAACCTTTTTTGTACAGATTATTTGAGATGCTGTTTTAGGGTGTTCAAGAAAATAACGAAGCCATGCTTGATTATCATCTTCGCGATCGTCGTCATCTCTTTAAAACAAGAGGATTTTCATAGAATGACAGTTTATCAGAAAATCAACGAACAAAGTTGAAGATCACTGAATATTCTACTGATGTTTATCTTCTTCTATGGCTTTCTACATTCGACAAAGTTGATAGAGTAGAAATATTCATTAGAAATCAACAATTAAAACATGCGACAATTTATGACAAATGCAAAAATGTCAAGTGTTGTGTATGTGTGTGTGCGTCAATGAAACAACTTTCCAGTGAACAATTTTAGGGATTAAAATCGATTGATATCGATTCTAATTTCAATTATGATCGGTGAGAATTTTGATTTTGTTGCAGAATAATCCAACTGAAAATTTTGATTTTAATCAATAAAAATCAATTAGAAAAGTATAATAATCAATTCGTACAATTGTGATTCATGAACGTTAGCTCTTGTAAGACTCACACACGTACGCTTAGTTATAGATTAAGAAAATGTTTTCAAGGAATATGAATCGGACAGATCAGATGATGTCGTTTAGGCAAACTGAATCTCATCAGCACTGTTACTATGAATTAGAGAAACTTGGAAAATTTATCATCAGTGCTTTATAAGGAGCTAGTTAACTTTTGAGTCAAAAGAGGAAACCATCGATAAGGATGCTTTTCAGGGTTGTCTTTAGATTGTATAGACATAGGATGGAGCCACAAATTTCCCATAACTTTTATTCTTAAAAACTACTAGCAGCTCACCAGCATCTACCGTTTCTAAATACCATGGAAAAACTTTCAAAGTCAACTTTTTTATTCAAACTAAATAGTTAAGCGGCGAAGAAGTAAAGTATCAGAAACAGTAGATGTTAGTGAGTTGATACGTATTGTTTTTTGAAGAATAGAAGTTATGGGAAATGTGTGGCTCCATCCTATGTCTATACAATCTAAAGACAACCCTGAAAAGCATCCTTATCGATGGTTTCCTCTTTTGACTCAAAAGTTAACTAGCTCCTTATAAAGCACTGATGATAAATTTTGCAAGTTTCTCTAATTCATAGTAACAGTGCTGACGAGATTCAGTTTGCCTAAACGACATCATCTGATCTGTCCGATTCATATTCCTTGAAAACATTTTCTTAATCTGTAACTAAGCTTACGCGTGTGAGTCCTACAAGAGTCATAAGTTTAATCCATTTACACAATTTGACTCTATTTCAATGCATTCTCAGATTATCTAAGTTACAGTTATATATATTTCCAGTAAAATGGTGAGAGGAAAATAAATAGAGACGTTTTAATATAAAATTCTCACTACGACCTGGTTTTACATGTGATTACTCCTTCCTTTTTACCTAGTGATATTTATTGGAACTCTATTTTAACATACAATTTCTTCTCTTATTTCTGTCACAACTATTCATTGGAGCAGCCCCGACAAAATTCTCAAGAGCCCCTTTATTTTTCCTTACGCTAGAAATCTTTTAGTAATTCAGTGTTTATAATTTCAATTATTCATTAAAGAACGTTAAAGAGAATATTTTACCATTAGATTCAAAATAAAAAAATGTAGTGACACGTTTTCAATTGAACAAAAAACAAGACTAATTGCACATTTGACGAACTCGGTGGACTGGTTTTTATCTGAAACTCAAGTAGAAGTTTACATAAATTAAGAATTTTAAATATCTAGCAATAAATTCTTACATAATAGTATACCACAGTTCAACCAAAAATGCTGATCTATTTCTGTAATGAAAACCTAAATATCTCTACTCTGCATTCTTTGGTTGTCTGTTCACCTTTGAAAATCGACTACTTCTGTATTATCACGAGATACCCCGGTCGAAGAAAACGATCAGTAAACGGTCATATACGATACAAATACGGCCCGTTTTACGTGCCGTATTTTCCCCGTATAACAGGGGCAGTAATACGGCCGTATGTTCTATAGGATACGATAATATTACGCCGGCTTTACGAGGTTTTACGGTTGATATACAGTGTCCGTGTATGACCGTAATACTGCTCCTGTTAAAACGGCTTAAAACGGCCATTTTACGACGGAATACGATGCAAAACGATCGTTTACGGTAATGTTACGCCGGTTTACGGTGGTCCGTTTTGGTCGACCTGGGTAGCATATTTAGAAGGAACCCATCCTAGTGAAACATCTTGTAAGTAAGATCTTGGTCATGATCTTGGATACAGATAAGGGAACAGATCTTGAAAATTTAGGTACAAGATAATACGATTATCTTGTACCAAGATCTTATTACAGATCTGAAGTAAGAATTCATAAGATCTTGAATGATGCATTTCTGAAAGCATGTTTGATATTTTTTCAATTTATTTTAATAATAATTGTTTCTGTCCCGAATAACTCCAACAATTCAGATGTTAAGATCTGACCGACTTTAAGTTGGTCCGATATTCGTCAGACCAATTTAGGATAGCCCTCTCTCGATCATCGATCGAAATCAACATTCTCTCGAATAATCACTAGTCGAGAAATAGTCGAGGAAAAAACTTATTTGAAAGTATGTTTTGCATGTTCAATCATGTTGCTTATATTCAGTTCTGTATGCATAAAAAAAACGGTGAATTACTAGGTAGCCTATCTAAATAAACTAATGATATCGCTTTCTGTTTTACTCAAGATCTTGTGAAAAGATAATAGTAAACGATATCTTTTCCATGAACTTGCGAAGATCTTAGGTACAGATTTGTCTGGTGCAACCAAGATATGTACATATAAATTATCTTTTCAAGATATTGATAAGATCTTACGTATCAACCCCAAGATTTTCAGATCTTGCTTACAAGATGTTTCACTAGGGCAAGTGCAATTTTACTAAATATGAGAAGAAGTTTTTGTATAAGAATGGTTTAAATCCTATCAGAATAATGATCTAAAGTGAAGAAAGACTATACAAAGTCTTTTTATTATCTTGGTTCAACTACTGTCTAAATCTTCATGATTTTCAGCGCACACGTTTCTTTTAGAGTTTAGTGACCTTTTGTAGAAAAAATAGAAAATCTTTCATGGTTCTCTAACAAATTCCTAATGATCAAAATCGAAAAAATCAAATATTTTAGCTAGGACTGTTAACTATAAATCCCATGCAACATTTTCTTACCTGTTAATCAATTTCAGTCGATAATCACTTATTAATTAAATTAATGCATAAACATGGAAAGCTAGCGCTTCTTGTTGGTAGTCAAATGTTTACCACAAACTTTTACAATTTTTACATTTCTAATGTTTAAAATATAGTTATTACAATATTAAAATCTCAAAAATAACCTAAATTTGAAGCTGTGATATATATTGTTTTGAACTTATATGGCAATATGACAAAATTAATCGGTTAAAAATATTAAAATTCAATTGAGATTAACTAAAAATTCTTAACCTCCTGAGGACCGCTGTCTTCAGACTGGAGACAAACAGAACGAAAGAATATTTTTTTCGTTCTGTCCTACCGTTGAACATATGTTTAAAAAGCAGAAAATGGATAGAGAATCGTTCATTCAGCCGATGGAGATTACTGATTATTTTCTTCTAACTAAGAAGAAAATATCAGCTAAATTTAGTTCAATAATTATTCAATATTATGCTCCTATCTTTTAGATCATGTTTTAGCCTATACTATATTTTACTATGAAATGTATCAAAAACATTCTCCTTGTCCATTTTGAATATAAAACTTTGTGAACATACAAAACTATTCTTTCTATGTCATATAGTCTAATTATATTATGCATCTTAATTTATTGTTATGCAACCCAGGTCAATCAAAATGAACCACCGTAAACCGACGTAACATTACCGTAAACGATCGTTTTTGCATCGTATTCCGTCGTAAAACGGCCGTTTTAAGTCGTTTTAACAGGGGCAGTATTACGGTCATACACGGACACCTTATATCAGCCGTAAAACCTCGTAAAGCTGGCGTAATATTATCGTATCCTATAGAACATACGGCCATAGTAATGCCCCTGCTATACGGGGAAAATACGGCACGTAAAATTGGCCGTATTTTCCCCGTATATGACCGTTTACTGATCGTTTTCTTCGGCCGGGGTATTTAGCAAATTCACTTAATATTTAGTGTTTTAAAAATAGTTACGATCCGCTAAGATCATAATCAAAAATAATCACGATTTTGTGAGGGATATTTTTCACTGGGAATTATTCCTTATAAAATGGAAGTCAAGCATGATGATCCTCGATTTAGGTCAATAAATACGGCAAGTTTCCAGTCGGAAATCTCGGAGAAATCTTGATAGTAGTAATCCTTTCATCGAATTCCTTCGTTCAAGTGTCGACTATTTCTTTGAATTTTCCAAGCGGAAATTCCCATATTCGTACACCGAAATAATTGGCCTCAAAACTTTCATCAGTGTTGGTGTGAGTTGTAAAAAGAAATCATAGAGTTGATAAAATATGAATTTTCTCATCTGGCTTCCTAGTCATAGCATTGATTTATCAAGCTAATTCTTACCCGAGACCACCACTAAATTTTCTCAATGCGAAAAGACCAAAATCTAAACGAGGCTGAGCCTCATCTTTCAATCTACATTGAATCAGAGTACATCCACGTGGTAAACGCTGTCGTAATTGTTCGTCTCGATCGTATAATTTATCATCTGGGCCTCGACAAGAAATTCGAACATCAATAATTTCACCTGCGATTATCTTTGGTCCTAAATAGTACATAGATGTTGTTCATGAAATTTCTCTTAATTTATTACCTAAAATTGATGATGGAATTGATTTCGATCCAGCTTTAATATTTTTTCCTCGTGATCGTACCCATTGCATATAATTATCAATAGCGGGTGTCGAACAAGCTAATTCACGATGAGAATTAGCGACACGTTCATCAAGTAATTGTAACCAATTATCACTTCGTTTTACTTGAATATTTTCTCTCAAATAATTACTTATTGTATCCCATGAAATAATATCGAAATTTAATGGATTATCTTTAGCGAATGCCATTCTCTAGAATATAGTCTAACATGAGCAGAAAAATTTGTTGTCTTTATATGCTCATGTTATTACATCATCCAGAGGAAATATCTATGAAATGGTATGAAAATGTGATGCAATGATCTATGTGATTTTCTACATGACATCATATGGATTCGTTCGATTTCATTTAAATACTCATTTTTTAAAAATAAATGAATAGTATGCATTTTTATTGCGGTTCAAACGATTGTCAATAGTGTAATAATCAATATGCACAATGAATGAATTTTAAAAATATATTATCGATAAGAATATAAAACATCAGATAAAAATCAATAGTAATTTCGATTATTTGACAGAAATGATAAAATGTGCCTTTGAAATCGAATCTTTTTGGTGAGTAATAAAGCTAAGCTGTTTATTTTTTGCGATATCCAATTGAGTTTGATCTTGTTTGCCATTGGTTGGTTGGTAATGGGGTCTGTACATTCGATTAAAAAAAATTGTAGAAAAAAATTTGGCGGATAATTTCTTTTTCAATTTCGAAAAAAATTTATAAAAATATGAAATTTACTTTCGCACGGAAAGACTTGTCAATGGAAAGATAAGTCTTAATTAATCCCTATTAAATAGTAAGTAAGAGTTAAGTACTTTGAACTTTAGAAAATATTCTATCAAATATATTTTCATAAAAATCAAAGTACAAACTCTAAAAGAAAATGCTTTTTTTTGCGAAATGCCACTCAACATACTTCGATCGATTTTTTAATACGAAAGCAAGAATTAAATTTTTCTAGACATCTTTCGAAAAGTATCCGGTGTGATTTTAATTTATAGAAAACAATAAATAATGCCGGATGAAATCGAAATTCAGAGTTCAGGCACTAACAATGTTGTCCAAACTGAACCGGTTGCTGTTGTTGTTGTTGTACAAAAACATCGTTTATGTTCCATAATGCCTATAATAGTATTTTCTTATATTGGTGTGCTAATTCGCATTGGTCTCAATTTTCTTGGAAATATTCAAGCACCGTTAAGTGCATCATTTTGGTCAAATTTTGTTGGATGTTTTATAATGGGTTTTATTGTGGAACAAAAAGTGCACATTCAAAAGCAGTATGCTTTTATCATCATTCTTACATTTTCTAGTTTTTTTTCTTCTAAATTCATATTTAGTTTTCCTCAATTATACGTCGGTTTAACCACAGGCTTATGTGGTTCGATTACTACATTTTCCGGTTTAATGTATAATTCATGTGTAGCATTATTCGGTCCGTCAAGTCATGTAACATATCCAATATCGAACTATTTAGCTATCATAATTTCCGTTTTGTCTTCGTCATTTATTGGATTTATAATTGGCCGTCACATAAGTGTATTTATTCTATCGCCATTGTCATTATTATTATCATCAAATACAATAAGTAAAGTTCAATATTTAAATGAAACAGTACGCCTTTGGTTTTTTCCGGTCCTAATTATTATTAGTATTCCCTTGCTGATTCTTCTAGCGGTTCTATTACCAATAGGTCATTATACATATTTTATTTATTCTGTTATATTCGCCCCGTTCGGCTCATTAACTCGATATATATTATCGATTGTTTTCAATACCAATGCAAATTTTCCATTAGGGACATTATTCGCTAATGTTATCGGCTCGTATATTTATTTCGGTTTGGTTACAATACAAGAATATGTGTATATATCATCTTCTCTTGTTACACAAGTAATTATTGGTATTATTCAAGGTTATTGTGGATGTCTAACAACTGTTTCAACATTTATATTAGAGCTAGATACAATAAAAAAACGCAGCTATATATATGCCTATGTTATCATTACTTTATTACCCATACAAATTGTTTATATTATCTTAGGTGATATATTTACATATATATGTTTACCAAAATCATAGTCAATTATACTGTTGATGTTGCATACAAGCGAAACAATATGATAGTATCGTTCAATATTTTATACTATTTCACACTTACTATGAAACTTTTCTTTTCATTTCGTTTTTTCGTATACATACGATGAGATATGTGAAGTCTCATGTGTTTTATTTATGGAAATTTTAACGAACAAACATTATCGTCTAGATGATAGACAAAAAAATAATTTCAATTGACCAAACATAGATAATTATCGAACGAAATAAAGTTTTATTATCATCATAAAAACAAAGTCATATAAATGCTCGTAGTTGATAATCTTTGTATTTTTGTTAAAGTTTTATATGAATAAACTAAATATCATTTTAATATTTTTCTTTTCGTTTATGATTCATATACAGAGCTATGGAGGCTGCTTTTTTTCTCTCAAGGTAAGATTATCAATGACTCCGAACTATTTTCTTGTTGTTCGGGTAAAATTCTACAATAGTTTTACTAAAAAATAGAGTTTTATTTTTATTCTGATTACATTAATTAATCTCTATGATATAATTGGAATAAAAAAAGGTACATCACGGAATGAAAACTATCACAATCAATTCGAATAAGATTCAAAATTAGTTTAATAATCCTAAGAATATGTTTATTATCTAAACTTCACTGTAATTGTCATGCCTGAAATTGTGTGTTAGAACTCAAGAAGATTGGCATATTTATATTCTCTTTGACAGTTCTTTTTTAATAATAAAAAACACAGAACGTCATTATGAAAATTAAAATCGAGGATCTAACATATTAATTGATTCATCAATATTCAATACTAATTTTTTCATCATCTAAATAATTGATGAAGGATCTGATTGAAACTATCGCTAATAAATGCATATTTTATAGGGAATTATTAATACCCTAGAAGATGTATGATATAATTTAAAGAATGAACATGAAAGTTGAAAGAGAAGTACACTCACATATATTTATTGTTATTATTAGACCTAGAACCAACGAACCAGGTATCGGTGAACAAAGAAAAATTTACAAATAATGGAAGAAAAAAGCTTTTTCCCCTTAGCCTTGGTCTAATGTAAATATAATTGTATCCGGTTCATCTAGAGCGAAGGGACAATTTGATCGACAATTTACATATAAATATTGCTCATATTAAAAGAAAAATATACTATATACCTAGAGATTTTGTTTTTGAAGCTAAAATTGTGGAGCCTTCATTTCTAATTAGAAAAATGAAGCACTCAAATTAAGTGCGTATGTGTGAGTATAAGGGTTTTTTTTTAAATTTATTTCTATCAGTTGGCGTTCACTCTCGTTGATTTATTATCATTTTCCTTTTTTTAATGAAACGTTCTTTGATGTTGACTGGCACCATACAAGATGCATTGTAGAATAGAACAACATGTGTAGATAAAAGAGGTTTTTCTTGTCATCGTTAATGAATACAATAAAAATGACAATTAACCAAGCATTGTCTATGCTTTGAAGAAATCTGTCATTAATACTGTCCCAGTTCTTTTTATGCTTGTTTGCATGCTAATTAAATGACAAGAAGATTTTAATAGAAACGTTGTATGATTATGTGTCTATGAATGTTCTTGAATTTTCAAAATTAGACAACTAGAAACATGTTTATATCACCGTGCCTATTTCAACAAGGCTGCACACAGATATGATTGTTTTGTTTTTATTTTGAAATCATCTGCCTCAACGATTTGCCGTATTCATTCTCTTTCATTTGACGTTTATGTGCATATTTGATTGACAAATAAAAACAGTTTTAAGCCCTCTTTATCTATCTACCGTTTAAATATGCGCGATAATCACGCCTAGTCCATTACTAGTTTCTGTTTCTTTCGTCATTAACTGTCAAATCAATGTGTCGCATGAACAATCATGATAATGATGATGCAACGATATAGATGTATTTATGTGCTTTGCTCTTGACTAAAAAATAAAACGGAAAATCATACAATAACTATTCTTAATCAGTACAACTGGCAACTTTGTTTTTTTAATCTAGGCGCATTTATTAGACTTAAGCTCGAGGAGACGAAGAAAAATTATAAGAGAAAGCAAGCGCTGAAAACCTTAATAAATTATTATTACACTCTGAATCGGTTAATCTTATTTATCAACCAGAAGATAAGGTATATTATTTTTCTAGTAGAAAGGAAATCCTTGCGGTACTATCAGAATACAGATCCTAACAGAAGAAGAAGAACACCAAAGATGATTCGTTATGCCCGAAGAAGATGACCTACTTTATCAGTTGATGAGAATTGAGAAAACACGTAGAGCAAGCAATAAAAATCAAGGGCTGACCTGAGGGATAACGTATAAGATTGCACTGATTTTTGATAGAATATTGGTATCTGCCAAAAAGAAATACACATTCTGTTGTTGGTTATAAGCAAACATAGAATGCGTTTTTTTCTTCTTCCATTATATACATATATATATATATACATATGTACACAGGTCTCGTCATTATCGGAAGGGCATCGGCAGAGATTGAATTTCGTTGCCATATCGGCAAAATATTGACACTAAGACAATCAATCGAACGTGTGTTATGTTTGCGACGAGGAGTCGCAAACGATTGTTTTGAGTATAAAATGCAGATATATATATATATATATATTCATGTTTGCATATATGTATATGTAGAAAGAATTATGAAAAAACAAGAAAGTGAATTAAGTTCTCTAATCTCTCCTATTCGTATTTATGTATTATAACCAATAAACTTCTATCGGGCGCTTTCGCATATATCAACATATTGGTTGGATGCAGAATCATTATTATTCTTTGTTGTTTATGTTATTTTTTCTGTATATCTAGAACTATATAGAAAGAAACTTTGAAATAGAATCGATGTAAATTAAGAACCTTATTAAATTTCTAGTTGATGGTATTTGATTCATTGTTATTGTTGCTGTTTTTGTTCGCTGCCGCCGAAAAAAAGAACCTAGCACAATAATTACGGCAAGAACGACAATGCGGCAGCAGCGTATGTTCTTAGTTTGATTTTTTCCTTTCCGACCTCAGTTTTTTTCATTTTCCCCCTCATTTTCTTTCTTTTTTTCTTTTTGTTATGTTTTTAGTTACTTGCTTGTTTCGAAGATATATCTCGAATGATAAGAATAGTTAACATACGCATGTATTACAGTCTTTCTATTACACTCTATAATTTGTTGGAGACGAGAAGAAAGATGAGACGAAAGAGCATGAAGACTTCGCAAACAACTATCCATGCCCTACCAACACGAAGCAAGTCTTTATTTTTTGCTCGTAACAGTGGAAAAGAAAAAAGCTAGAGGTGCATTATCAGAGTTTATCACAATCGTTGATAAAGAAAAAAAATGGAAATGAACTCGTTTTCTCATCTCATCATCTCAGGGCATTGTAAATGCAAATTGAAAAGTGTGGGCATGCATACATGATTGCTCAATAGGCTTCTTTATTTATCTGATTCACTTCACTTTAGTCTTCGCATATAGAAGAGAACGAGAGACATCGACAGTTGGTATATAGAATAATAGTTCGCTGGACTAACAATTAAACTATAACAAATCTACTATTTGACATTTTTCTTTCATCGAAGCAAAAAAAGCAACTGTTCTGAGTTTCTTTTGTTCTTGTACGCCTATATATCTATAACATTTATTCAATTACTAGGAGATTAGGATCAACTTATAAACCGAGAAAAAAAAAGAAAGACCATACTTTTATGTATCTGCTTATGGAAAAAAACACGACATTCTCTTTGATTGCGCTTCATCCAGATGTTTGTCATATCTCATGTTATTAGTGATATCGTCAAAAATATGAGAAATGCACTTAGTTATAACATTAATTACAGCCATAAATACAGATGTCTTGTTTTTTATTAATCAGAACAAGATGACCGCATGGAAAAGCCTATCTATCTTTTTCTTGAATATCATATCGACAAAAATATGATTATATATCAATAAGAGGAAAAGAAAAACTATGAAATGTTAATGGAAAGCAAAAGCGAAAAAAAAATATATCAGTAAGTTCTTTTCGAAAGGATTGTGCGTGTGTATGTGTTATTACAAGACGGAAATCTTCGATCATTCTGCTTCCTCATCAGGCAATGCCATCAATAAAAAAAAGAGAAAAGAGAAGAAATGTGGAGTTCTCTATATTATTTTCTCGTTCTTTTCCATCTTGTCATACTATCCAGTCTTCAATAGAACAACATTCAGCTGATCGAGAGTGAGTGCATTCACGTTATTTCTTTTTTTTTTTATATCAGTTATATTACTGGCGTGAGCTTAGTTTTCTCTTCTCTCTCTTGTCTCTGTCTTGTTTATCGTCGAGTGCCTGTAAAGCTTGATTCTTTGTCTTTTGGCCCAAATGATCCAGGCAAATAAAATATCGAGAGCGAGAGAGAACGAACGGGGTAAAAAAAACAGCTGAGAAGAGACAGAAAAAGAAACTCATATGATAGCTCGGGCAAGAAAGAGTGAGAGAGAGAGCGCGATGAAGGAGAGAGCAACATACGGTCCTGTTTGTCTTCTTGTCCTCAGTAGAGATTGTGGTTGTGCATATTAGAGATGAGAGAGAAGACGTGTGACATTGGCAGGGACAAAAATAATAAGAATAGGCATCAAAATGAATATGAAATGCAAAAGATTAAAGGTAACTATCAGTGCAGTTTCTTGTTTTCTTTCATGTCTTACAGTCGACTGTAAGTGACAATAAATACTATCAATATAAGTACAAAAACAAAATATAAAATAAAGATAATAGAACCGCTGAGCGCTTCGCCTATGACTGACTCTATGCTCGTAAGAATTTTTTGATTCAAAATCTTAGAATTATAATTAGATTGTAAAAATAATCAATGAATAAATTCTAAACCCATGCTGACTGTTTTTTCTTATCTTTGTTTTTACATAAAATATAATCTTATTTAGATTTTAAAATTTTTTATTCTCTATCATGAGTTACGGACTGCAAGGTGTCTATGAAACGACTAGTAGTACTAGTACTAGTAAAGATATGGAATATCATCAATATCTTCGGCATGATGGGCCATCGAGGACATATTCAAATGATTCTCACAGTTCATCAATATCAAACGGCGGTCATCATAGATTAGACGAAATTGAAGATGAACAGTTAGAACAAGAAGAAGGAGAAGAAGAACAACAACAACAACAAATAGATGATGATTATGAAGAAATTGCACCTGACCGACCTAGATTACTCATGTGGGGCTTAACAAAGTAAAAAGATCTTGTTGTTTGTTTTTCATTTAAAATGCATGTTGTTTATTATATTTGATTGAATTTTAGAAGTGGTAAAACCTCGATAATTAAACTAATATTTGAAAAAATGACAGCCGGTGAAACACTTCAACTTCCAGAAACAAAAACAATTCAAATACATGGTAAACTCTAGCCGTTTTTTGAATGTTATTAATATTTATAGATTGTGACAAATGCTTTTTAGAACTCTCATGCGGAATTCATGTCAGATTTCAAATTCGCGATGTACCCGGTCCAAAAACAACATCTCTGTTGGACTTTGATGCCTATTCGTCTGAATGTACGACAATTGTATTTATTCTTGATGCTACGGTAAATGAAATTTTATTAATGTCACGAATCGATTTTCAGATGATTTGTTTTGTTTGCAGGAAGATTGTTCAGATGCTATTAATCTATTAGTTAGTTCTATGCAATGGATGCATTCAAATGGTCATAATGTACGGTTTGAAGTATTGATTCATAAAGTAAGAAAAAACACAACGAACTTTTTTCTTCAGAAAAATTGATAATTGTATTTGTTTTTAAAGATTGATGGTGTACATGAACCAGATCGTTTAGATCGTCATTCGCATATTCAACAGCAAGTAACAGTCATGTTACACGAATGCTCCATAGAAGAACCGTTAATAAAGTAAAAATTTTGAATTCCTATTCTGATTTTGTTTTATTTCTGTTTTATTAGTTTCTATATGACAAGTATTTACGATCATTCGATACATGAAGCCTTCAGTAAAATCGTTCAGAATCAAATTAGACAGTTACGTGCACTTGAAAATATGCTTGATTTAGTTACAGCGGTAAAAACAACGATAAAAAACAAGACATTTTATTGAAATAAAATTCTTTCTTTCTAGAGTACTCAATTGGATAAGATCTTCGTTTGTGATATTTATAATAAAATATTTCTTGCGTCCGATACGAAACCTGTCGAAAGTCAAATATCGGAATTATGTTGTGATGTTGTTGATGTTTATACAGACATTTCGTCTATATATGGGTAAATATCAAACGAATGATCGGAAAAGATCAATCGATTATGAAATAAGAAAAGAGTCATACATACATGTATATGATGGTTTATTGTGTGTTTCTAGGACAAGTAAAAGCCCGGTGCTTGATTCAATGTCATGCTGTACCGTTGAACTTTCAATAGGACTTGTTTTATATTTAAAAAATATTAATCCGACAACAGCACTTATATGTATTTTAAAAAAAGAGCCAAGAATTAACGAAGGTAGAGAAGAATTTGAAAGAAGAAAACTTATTGTTTTTATTTTCTTTAGCTTTGATGGATGTTAATTTAAATATCCTAAAAAAAAATATTCAAAAATTATTTCTGCCTAATACAAAGCGTTTAGCACGACGCTAATTAAATAGAACAAATCAATAATTTTCATAGCTTTTTCCATCGTTTTTCTTCATACATTTATTCGACATTTTGTTTTTTTTTGGTTATTGTTGACAATTAGAATAGAAATGATATTCATCGGAGATCGAAGTCAAATACAGTTTTATTTAGTAGATAAATGTTGTCAATATGTATTGGTTTATTTCTACTGTCCTGCATTCGTTTTTTAAATCGTATTGAATAAAAAACGAATTTTTCTTTCCTATGAGCCATATATATATATAGATATATATTATAATAATGATAGTTTAATTCGAATAATTATCATTATTGATTTTTTTCTTCTTCTTCATACGGTCTCTCGTAGTGTTTTCTAGTCTGTTTGTCTGTAGGTTAATTTTATGTGACTATCTTTCTTAGATAGGATAACAGAAACAAGATACACCTTATTCTTTTCTTCTTCTTCTTCTTCTTCTTCTTCTTCTTCTTCTTTTATGTTCTATGGCGTGCTTAGATTACATACTCTCTGTATAAGCATATTTGTTTTTCTTTCTATTTGTGCCTAATGCTAAACTTTCAACCGTGCGTTTTTTGTTCTCGCATGCATAGCAATAGAAATTCTTGAGTTACACGAAAACAGTTGCAGATATGTTATGTGCGAGTCTATGTTCGTTGTTTATCTTTTGGCCATTTTATATATATATATAGATATGGATTGCTTTGTGTAATACGCTCGATTATTATATTATTCCCATTTTCGATACATTTTTGTTTTGTTTGTTTGTTTGTTTCTTTTTTTCTCAAATGAATGACTTTATTTTTATATTACTAATCCTACTATTGGGTGTTCGTATTAAAGTGTTGTGCCGTATATATGTAGCTTTCAGGAATGATAGGAAATGTTGTGTGTTAAAATGCTGATGCTGCTGCTGCTGATGTTGTATGTTTGGAATAGGTTGTTCTTTTAAAATCAAAAATAAATACAAAAAAGAAGACTGAATTTCAATCAATAAGTTAACATTCTTTTTTTTTGCTTGTTTCATTGAACAACGTTCTCATGCATTCGTAATGACAAACATAGTGATTAAAAAGGACGTTCGGGCACAGAATATGTCATTATGACGCTTTTAATTGACGACTGATTCTTTATACTCTGTTTAACAGGAGAACAGCATACTTGTGAAAAATAATAAATGACTAAGTTATGAATAATTCCAGGATAAATGTTTATTAACATCTGTTACGTTCACCATTAAATCAGGTAATTAACTGTGAACTAGCTGCGAAATTCTAGCGAATTACATTACTATCGTTTAAAGACATGATAATAAATCACAGTCGAAGTTTCTTTTTTTTTTTGAATTTGTTCTAGGGATATTTAACAAGGTGTGAAAATAACATTAACACGATCACTGTCAACTTTCATAAGTACACTAAAAGCATTTGGGAAATAGACGTCGATTTGAAAAAGAAATCAATCATGTTTATATTTTCGCGGTTATTCTTGATCGTTCACATTAGAAGCTGATAATCGCACTTAATGATGTTTTATATATTTCTTTTAATTTGAGTTGTGGCCAAGAGAGAAAATAGCGGAGTTATTTTAAAAATTAAAAAAATCTAATTGAAAGTCATCTGAAGTGTTGAAGCAAAAATTGAGAAACTGAAACATCAATGTCTCAATTTTCTCAGCTGGATAATTTTTTTTTCAAAAATTTAAGCCGCTTTGAATATAACAAGGATTCCATACCAATCTTCCTGTACTTAGGGTAATTCAATTGCCTCTACATGTCGTTGTTAACTTTCATAATGTTATTGCACTCATAATCAGACGTTATATTTTCCCTCTAAGCTCACGATAACGGTTAGTTGTGTAATGAAATTCTCCGGGTTAATTCTATTTCACAGAATTCAAAACTGTGCGCATCCTTCTGTGTAACATCTTGAATAATTGCGTTTCATAATTGTGCTTATTTTTGGCTGCGTTGCTGCCACTGACATATACAAAAAGGATAAAGATAATGCTCTTGACAAATTCACATTATATTTTGCTCATGGTTTCAGCGAGTCCTTAAATTCTGTCTAATTACAATTGAGCTTTTGTTAATTTTTCAGCTTAGCACTCATCAAGTCTTCGAAGTCGTGACGTATTTTCTTTATCGAAACGAGAAAGATCGATATAATTAGGCGAAAATTTTATTTTAAACATACTGTTTTGAATCATGTATTATTAGTTAAATTAGTTTTGCAAACTCACAAAGCAACTTTGGCACAGTATCTGATATTGTATCGCACTATACTTATTTAATAACTAGTCTAAGTGCCAAACGATTTGTTGTTACTGATTAGCTATTTCATCATCATCATATTATAAGCAACAATCTAATCTAACGAACAAAAATAAATAAATTTTCTGGGGGTTAAATCAAGTGCATGTGCAAAAATCGGAACTCGCACAGGATTCAAGTACGAGCGGAGGTGAATGCCAATAAGAGTATTGATCAGACGTGAATACAATTCACGTCATGCAATCATACATACTAATCAAACACCTAGAGCCATCGGTTAGATTACACTACAAACTATTTCAGCATAAAAAAAGCGTGTAACTTTTTTTATTTGCAACTTCTGGTAAATTTACTGATTATCGAACCAAGTTGAAAATAGTAATTAAAATTCTACTATTATCGCTATCGTTATAAACACTCACATCATCAATAAATCATTCTGCATTGTTTTTCACTCTGTAACATTCACGTTCTTGCTTTCTACTCAGCTATATCTGTATCTTGATCATTAAATACTTGTTTTATTTAAAAAGTTTACATGTGGTTGATTCATTAAATATTTACAAATTCACACGGCTAATTTTAGATTTACATCATTACTTGTAATATTTCACAACAATGTATTCCCATATATGTTATGATGGCGTTGAATTTTCATCAGTGCCTACGATATGACTTCAGTAAAACTAGCAGCATCATAAAGTTCTTCTTTGATCTCTTTGCTTCTCAATTGTGTATAAAAAGAATCTTACAGAATCCATGTGATAATACTCCAAAGAAACGAAATATATGCCACAATAAACACAAACATTAGTATCATGCAATGAATAAATATAAATATAAAATTTACACTGGATAGTAAGCAACGCATGATGTAAAATGAACGTATAGAAAATGATGCTGTAGTCCATGGTTCTAACCTATTCATATATATCGAACAAAGGCTTATAGATAGACTGATAAATGGAAATATAATGAAGACAATCACAATTTGTGATGGCCAGTCTATGTCAATCGAGTGTTCAGCTAGTTTCAAAGAATTCGTCACAATATGAGTTATTTGATATGCCAAAACACAATCAACTAGAGTTCCCAATGTAGCCAAAGCAATAAACTGACGTTTGGACGAAATTAAACATGTCATTAGTGCTAAAATGAGTGCTGATACTCTTAGGCCAATTGTATACGACGTAAATATTGAAATCATCAAACGATAGTAGCTCACGAAATTTAGCATGGCTGTCACATTTAATTAATTCGAATAATGAAATGATGCCGAACTATCCACGAAACTATCGTGCTGTTCGAATATACTTATTCACACAATTTTGACGTTATTAAGGAATGAGCAATTACCAACGTTGTCAAAAGCATGATTTTCTTTTAGGACGAAATGAATACGACACATGTTTTGACTGCTATGATTCATCTTGTGTTTCTATACCTATGCTGTCTTTTACCTGACAAAGAGAAAAACATACTGCCCTGCATAAATGTGTTTCAATGAGTTCAGATACAATTGATTAACAAAAACTAATATTGCATTGATGCTACATAATATAACATCAACAAAATAAAACACAACATTTATTTGCAATATTCGTGTTGTCTATAGCATGCCATTCAGTAGTGATAAAATACCTGTATAAATCAATCATATGAATTCACTTCTCAAAGCGACATCTGGATTTGACAGTAGATACACACACATATATGCATGAAAGCATACGGTATATTATACTCAATATTTTCTTCGTAAGACACGTGATTTATTGATTTTTAGTTTCAACGTCAACAGATCATACTGCTATTGCAGTTGCAGCATCTTTAGTATTGGGGAAATTTTAGAGCATTTTGCTCTCTCGGTCGAGGGAACTTTCAGATCTTTCGTCTAATTTTCAAAGATTTCACCTCACGTAGCTATGTAGCCGATGATTTCTTGGAATGGTTTGAGTTTATCTAGCGATAGAGTTCATAATTCTGTACACTCTATCGGTTTTTTCACATGAATGAGTACAGTGAAAAGATTTAGAAAAGTACTCTCACTTAGGTGGAATCGACCCTATCAACATACAATGTCTATCAATTCTACATATAGTTGCGTCTGCTAAACAGAGGTCCAAATTCATAAATTTTTTGAAAAATTCCACAAGAATATATAATTGAAGTCACTGGAAGTTTGATAGGCCAACAAAATTTGATTCTTCAGCGTACAAAAAGATTTTACACTACATTTTCAACCATACTACAACTGATTCAGGACTTTGTTCGAATTGCTTTCGTATTTTTGAAACCACATCCTGCTGCCCTGGTCCTTCGTTATAACTACGGTTTTTTCATATATCTAATTTCTAAATTTGATTCCGGTAGATTGTTATATAGGTGTCGCTAGTCAAAAGTGCATATGCCTAATAACACAACACGAATCCAGTACTGGCTCGATTCGCCTATGAATCATCGAGTGATGAAAATCAATAATAAGTAGAACACACATTACGCATATACCATTCGTTTTATGTTCTGATAATGATCCTTACATGACGACTCAATTAGACGAACATTATATTCGAACTAATATCGAATGGATTCATCTTCCATCCGATGTGAAACAAGTAATTTCATATTTTCGTCTATTTTTTTGAAAAATCTTGATCTTTTTTTTTATCTCCATAGAGATTCAGTTGGAACACGGAAAAAGATTATGATAAGGCCATTTTAGCGTTTTCAATAAAACACCAACTTCGTTATAAAGGAAATTTAGGTATTTAAATCGACAAAACAAAAAATGATACTATAAATCAATTGTTTTTTCTTAGTTCGAAAAGTTCATAAAGATTCACGAAAATATTATGATGATCTTTTACGATATAGTCGTGAACATTTAATGCTTTTTGTAAGTTGAAATTATCTTTCCTTTGTGTATATCTCAATTGTTGAAATTTCTAGCCGTATCATCTATCAGAAATCTATGTGAAAGGTTTACGTGTAACATCATTTTCATATTATATTGATATGATTATTGATTTAATTCTTCAAGAAAAATCATATGATACATTACCAAATTTTACTGGTAAATAGCAAAATCTTCTTTCTTCTAAAGATCATTTTCTTTTCTAGCTGCCGATTGCCTTCGTTTACTCGGTATTGGTCGTAATCAATATATTGAATTAATAAATCAATCACGTACAATATTACAAACGGCACGAAAAAAAGTATTGTTTAATTTAACGAATTGGAAAACACCAGCTTCTATTCGTCATTTGTTACCATCGCAACCACTTGATTCTTTACATATTCAACCATGGTGGGTAATAAATCTAGGTTGTGTTACTGATGATGATGTTAAACAATGTACAAATGAAGAAAAATTAATCATCGATTATCTTATTGATGAAAAATGTTCGAAATTAGCTGGCGAACTTAATTATGAAGCAATACATTCACTTTATCGTAAAGGTTTAATATTTTTGGATGTTCCTGTTAATGACACTGATTATATTCAAGTGCCACCGTTAGGTTCAGGATTTGTTATGAATCGTATTGTTGGAGATTATTTTGAAGTATTACTTTATAAATTATTTGTTTCAACCGATGAGCATACAAATGTTGGAGAATTATCGAAAATATTAGCATTGGACATGGATTTAGTTAAACAAACAATGTCAATGTTTTTACGACTAGGTTTTGCCCGAAAGAAAAATCTAGATAGTGATTTCGGAATTTTCCACACGTCTTGGAAACATTTTTCTACAGGTGCTAATTTACAGTTACCACCACCACCGAAAGAAATAAACTTGGCATCGCCTACGATGGATAAAAGCTTATTGGAATGGAAAACAGATTTAGAAATGGATACTTCATTGAGTGGCGATGATACTTTATCGATTGGTACAACAGATGAACAAGTAAGACAATAAACGGATTGACTGCAAGCATAATACTTATTAGCACATGAAAACATTTTCTACCAAATGGACTTAAATTGAGTAAATTATGATTTTATGAGAGTGAAATGCAAACTTAATACAATTCGACCTTTTCAAGCTAATTTCTATCTTGCATAGATGTGTTCTTTTTTTCTTCTAAATATAGAAATCTCTGCTATCTCCAACAGCTGCTAATTTACTTGACAGTCCATCAACAGCGATTGCACCAGGTACATTAAAACAAAAACGTATTGGTTTTCTATTCGATTCATCGTTAACTGCATTTCTAATGATGGGAAATTTATCACCAAATTTAAAAACGCATGCCGTAACAATGTTTGAAGTTGGTAAATTAGCTGATGAAATTCTTGTTTCATTTTTACAAGAGCTAGAAAAAATATCTCCGCCATCACAATCATCAATAAAATATTCTGATGACGAAAGTCAAAGTGAAGGCGAAGCTGATCGTTATTTTCTACACGCACGTGTTCTTTATCAGACAATATCGTTTTTACGTTTAAATCATGAGCTATTCGATGATGATGTTGGCAGTCTTGGAGTCGATTTAATACGTTATGAAAGTTTATCGAGCCTTGATTCGAATATTCGTCAACGTCTAATCGAACGTAATTATCAAATACTAATATCCATGGCGCCTATTAGCGCAGAAACTATTTATTCGCCATTCAATTCAACTGATTACCTCGGACCATGCTTACAAGAAATGAATAGTGTATGGATGAAATTATTTATTTATAATCTAACAAAATCTGGACCACCATCATTACTTTTACCGAAAGGTTATCGTTTGAATACATTACCAAATTGTTTGAAGATTTTCGATAAATTCCTGGTTACAACGTGGAATCATGAATCAACATTTATATCGAATGTGAATATATTATTGAGTATAAACGAAGCATTACTCCATTCATCTGTACTTTTACAAGGTTTTTCATATGGAATTAATAATTTTAGAGACGATAATCAACAAATTCGACATATAGCATTTCCATTAGAATCAATTGAAAAAAATCATGGACTAGAACAATTAGGATTAGCTATTGATTTACAAAGTACATGTGGTTATGTATCGATGTTAACATTATCGTCAGTTCACTCGGAAGAAGTATTATTAGATGTTAGGTAAAGAAAATAAATTGAAAATCTCATTGATGAATAATTATTTGTTTTAGATTTGGTATCCCGTTATTTGATGAACAAATAAGTGAAACCATACGAAATGGAATTGTTAAAAATAAATTATGTACAAAAGAAAAGTAAGGAATAAAATTGTTAAAATGATTTTTTTTATTCTTTTGCTTTATTATGCTCGGATAGAGTGCAACAACGGTTGAAAAGTATTGAAGCTCTTTCAAACACTCTTGTGGCATTCATTGAATTCTATCAGGTATAGCCCTTCGTCTCTTTTTTTTAAAATTAATATTGAAATAAAATAAAAAGATGATCTAAGGAAATGAAGGCGTGGTATTTTACTCGATAGTAGTTTCGATGAGATTCACAGAGATATTCAACGCTATTGTGAATGATGTATTATAACGAAGTCTATATTTGATATTGAAGAGCGCCGGAGATGTACGGATGTTTTTGAAGTATTTGTATAGACGAGACATCGAAAATAATTTTGCTCTTTAAATTATTTTAGCAATCTGATACCTCACCGTGCAATATGCCTGTTCATCATTCCACAAATGGTATACGCTCCACATGTTTACCAAAATGGCCAATTCTTTTCGATGGTGAAACTCTTAAAACGATTGGTGTACCTTCGAGTTAGAAAAGCAAAACAAAATATTGAATTTTTTATTTTCGATTTTTAATCTATACATAAACATATATCTGTTGTAATGCATATTTATTTGTTTGAGTCACTATAACATTTCCTTGTTTATTCATTTGATTGTTTTCTTTGATAACAGTGAATTTATCATAAATGTGAAGAAGAAAAAAACAAACAGCAGATATAAAGAAAAAAAAAACTAAACTAATTAGAATTTTCCATGTATCTATATCTCAGAGAGAACTCTAGATCTGATTGTATGGCTGAGACGAATCTACACAAATCTCTGAGCAATTCATCACAGGAGGATATTATATACGTCGATGAACAATATAATTCACCGTTTAAATGTCCCATTTGTCGTCGAATATTTCGAGATCCTGTTATTACACAATGCGGAGTAAGTTTTTGATTGACTCTTTATTTTTATTTGAATATTCCTGCTTTCGAACTTTTGCAGCATACCTTTTGTCGAAAATGTACTTCTTCAGCAAGTAAGCAATCGAATATTATCTTGCGAATATGAATTTTCTTGTTGTTTCGGTCGAATAGTTTTATGTCCATATGATCAGCAAGCTCTTCAGACATTCGTTAGCAATTATATTGTTGCTGAACAAATAAATTCATTCCTTGTTTGGTGTAAATATGCATTTAAAAAAAGTCCAGTAACCGGTAATGATATGAAAAGCGAACGCGATGAGCATGGTTGTCCTGTAAAAATTCCACTTTCAAGAAAAAAGTAATTTGTTTTGGAATACAATGATCTTGTTATTGTTTATAGTTCATAAATTGAAATTTCTGCTTTCTCCAATTTAGAGAACATGAAGACGAATGTACTTATAGATTAGCTCCTTGTCCAAATGGTTGTGCATACAGCAATCTCCGCCAAAAAGTGAGTAAACACCGTTATTCAATCACGAAAAATTCACATAGGTAGTTCCAAAAACAAAAGATTATTAGGATATTTATAATCATCTACATGTATGTCCAAATCGGCAGCCGTCTCAATTTCAATTCACAATCAATACTAGTAACGATCAGTCGCAAATACTTCAGCAAGAATTAATCTTGAAAATCTCACAGATAGATTTTCTTGTTAATACATGTAAACAACTCACCGGTACGGTTGCCATGATGCGTAATGAAATCGGTAAATAAATGAAAAATGATTAGTAAATTTTTATTTTTTTATTATTATTTCTTAGATACGTTGAAAATCAATCAAGAAGCATTATGTTCTAGAAATGATTTACTATTAGTAAATAGTATTTTTTTTTGTCTCTCTTTGTTTTAAAGAAAATAACTTTTTTCTAGAGTGAATTAATGAAAACTAAACAAACATCACCTATACCAACAACTATTGATGAACAAGAATCCGTGAGAAATCATGGTATGAAAGATGTTGGCGGGTCGGGGGTCTCTTTTCTGCTCTTCGAAGCATTTCGGTTTCATGTGTTGAAACAAGGAGCTCGTTTTGCGATAGTTCTCTATAGAATATATGATCGTAGGAGTATAATAGCTCGAAATGCTATCGCAAGAAACTAATGGAGTAGAAAAACAAATATCGTCTGCCTCTATCTTTTCATTGAAATTTTATTCCTCGTTTAATATTAGACAGTGACGATGAAAATGAATTATCAACTGTTATTTTACGTTGTAATGGAACGTTTACAGGGCATAGTGATACTGTCTGGTGTCTATATGCATTGGATGATGTTCTTCTTAGTGGTTCTAGTGATAAAACAGTCAAAGTAAGATTAACAAAAAACATCGATGAAATTTTCATGTAGAACAATTTTTTGTTTGGGAAGGTTTGGAATTTACGAGAAACACCATATACAAATCTAGCAACACTACATGGACATGAAGAAGGTGTCCTATCATTAACTGTTAAAGAACGAACAGCATTCAGTGGTAGTGTTGATAAATCAATATTTGTAAAACATACTATCGTCGATATGTCAGACCATCGATTGAAATGTTTTTTTTCTAGGTTTGGAATTTAAATGATTATAAAAAGACTACATCATTTGTTGCTCATACAGGTAGGAAACGTTTTTATTATTATTATTTCGAATGAAAAATGCTTTTCTAATACGAAATTTAAAGATCCCGTGTGCTCATTAACACAATATGATAATCATCTATATAGTTCGTCAAATAGATGTTTAAAAGTTTGGGATATGCAAACATTAGAATTAATAAACGAAATTCAAACGGATAGTCGAAATGGTTGGTTAAGGATTCTCATGCAACGTGACAAATGTATTTATGCTGGATGCCGACGTGTAATCAAAGTAAGTCTACTCGTTATGAAAATAAGTTCATCTAAATTTCTGCTGGCAAAATCTTCTCTCATAGTATTCTATATGTAATTTACAAGTAAAACCAGTGAGTAGGGCACCAGCGATTTCTGATAATATCGCTACGAACGTACTGAGAAGCTACTGTTTATGGTATTAAAGCTAAACAGAATGTGAGCTACTTCATTTTACCTCATGTTTCTTACGAGCTACTTGAAAATCTCTATCGCTGTTGAATTTCATTTTTAGGTATTTGATACTGTCACACATCAAATATCATTTGAATTCGAACTGCCAACCAATGATTCAATTTATAGTTTAACTCATTCAGATACATTACTTTTTGCTGGTGCATTATCTGGTACTATTTATGTAAGTGTCGAAAGAAAAGGCGGAAATGTTTTTAAGATTTATTTTTTACTGTTTGAATTGTAGATTTGGGATATTCGAGCTAATCGTTGTTTAGAAACTACTTGTCAACATGACGCAACTGTTCATGGGCTTTGCATGCTTAGTGCTGATAATTCAAATAAATCAAATTTAATAAGTGCATCAAGTGATCAAACAATTCGAGTGTGGTCGATGGATACATTCGATCAAGTACAATATGATGATCGACATGAAGCTGAAGTAACAGCTCTGCATGCTAACGTTCGACATATTATGACTGGTGCTGCCGATGCTAAAATAAAAGTAAATTAACAAAAACGATTGCATGCAAGTGATGACGAGATTTTATTTTTCTTAGGTTTGGGATTTTGTTTCATCTTACGACCATTTTGAATAGATGAAAATTTTGTTTTCTTGTTGTTTTTACTTTTTAAATGTTTGTTTAATACTTTCATAAGTACAGGGAAATTGGAGGTGCTGTACAAGACCGAAAATATCGAATACTCTTGTATATGATTTTTTGATCATCTCTTGTTTTCCCAAGATATTGGGAGCATCTTCTTGATTTGTTCAATAATAAATGGGATACTATTGTTTTTTATTATTATTTCATGTAGATTATAGATGCAACATTTGTATTTATCATCAGTCAAAGTTAATCTAACAAAACGCTTCGTCAATTTAATTTTCTTCCGTACAAAAACTAATACGCCGATTGTATCAAAAGCAACACAAGACATAAAAGAAGCAGCGAAAGAGCATGTGCGAGAACTTCGCCGTGAATTCGATAGACCCATTAAATTTTCTACGAGTCGCGCTAAATATTGGGACACAGCAGATTCGATAGTTTTTAATCGTCATATTGGAAAATTTACACGACCAGTATTAATTGTTACTGTTTTAATAAATATGGTTTGTTTAAATTAATAAAAAACAAAGGAAGCCATAGAAAAATTTGATGTGAATTTCTTTTTCTTTTTCAGTTCTACTGGGGTTATTATCGAGAAGAAAATGATATCGATGAAATGCTTAGTCTCGAAGCATGGCAAATATTTCCACGGCTTAATTTAGAATATCTTAAAGTTGCCGAAAGACAATATCGCGAAGCTGGCCTTGATACAAGTCAAATAGAAGTAAAGAAGAAGATGATTCAAGATCTTTTTCAACCACAGCTAAATGAAGAAGTTCGAGTCAAAATCGTCAAATGAATCGAATCAAATCTGTTTTTTTTTTGTAATTGGATTTATAAAAATAAATCGAAAAAAAACAAGTCGTAGACAGTTTTTCATAGTCTTTGTACTTATACAAACAATTCTTCATGATCAAAAAAAAAGATATTTTGTCCTTTGAAGTTTTGTTTAGATGAAAAATATTATGAACCAAAGCCTACGCATTGACGTCAGCCTTTCATGACAATGAAATGGTGAAAAAGAAACATAATGACAGGACTGTAAATAAATGGCATCAAATAAATTCGGTTAGCCTGATTAAAACGTTAATTATATATTTATTGCTTGTGTGAGGCTGACGAGCAACCAACTAGATCTGCAATTAAGTGTTTAAAACCATGAAAGTGTTCGTGAGAGAACAAGAGAGATCCAGTTAATGCGTAACTTCGATAATTCTTCGAATATCCTGAAAAAGTATTAGAGACATAAGTTCAGCAAAAAAGGATCCATAACTCGGCTAGTTGTCTGGTAAGTAAAGTAGGAATAATATCGAGTTTATACAAATTGTGAGAGTACCGTATTTTATAAAGAAAACTGCATGTCTCTGGAAATGAAACTTAAATATTATCAATTAGGTATGTCAAAGAGAAATATGTTTGTCTTGTTTTGTTGCACTTTTCTAAAATAAATTATATCGCGTCTGTGAATAATCGAAATAAAAGTTGAATTCAATGCATGGAATATGTATCACACGGATGAATATCTTCGATAAACGAGCGTGATGTTACATTCGAGCACGTAGGAAGTGGTGTACAAATGCATTCGCACGGTTTACACTGAGGACGTCGGAAACGATGATTGTAGGTTGTCGAGTTTTCTTTAGGAAAAATCCATGGCGGTGGTTCGTTGTGTTGCTGTTTTCGAAGACGCTTCCGTCGACCAGCGTGTTTGGGGAAAATCAATGATAACTCTTTATATTCGTTTATGTTGTTGATTGGCTTTCGGGATGTTGCCATGACGGGGAATTCGTCAGCAGCCTCATTTGATTCTTTTTGTTGTATTTTAGTTTCGAAGTGGATAGAATTTGGCACAGATACATCATGCAGTGCGGGTAAATCTTTATCACCTAAAATATATTATCTACTATTGCGTTGTTTTATTCAACTAGGAAAATACTCTGTAGAGTGTTCCGTTGACACAGAAATGCTAATGCGTGTGTTTTTGAAAGAGATGCGTTTGATTGAAGTGATATAGAATGTTTTAACAGCGTGATTTCATGTTGATCAAGATCTTGAGGAAAAAACGACGAATAATAGATTAATGACAGGAGTAATTTACTTATAACTTGTACGCCACCATCATTCTCATGAATTTGATCTAGAATTTAATAAATTGCAAATTAAGACAAAATATGCAAGGCTATCAATTTTTAGAATTTTTAGTTTAGAGACACTCATCGTACAAGAGCAAATAGCAATCATCTGTGAACAAAGTTTTCGAGAATATCAATTCATCAATTTATGTTTTACTTTTTTCTAGTGTTGACTTGGATTCTTTATCAAATAGAGGCAAACCAATTGTCTCCAGATTTATAGATTGGCCAGATGTATCATCCGAATCGGCAAGCATTGCATTTTTAATAGATGATTCGTCAAGAGTATTTTCTAAGTTGTCTTCTAAGTAAAAAAACAGCCATATTAAATATTAAATCTGTGTTTAATAATGATTCTCTAGATTTTAACGGAAGGAGATGGATAGAATTACCATTAGACAATATGCATTTTGTTGCGTCTATTGCTGAAAATGAATTAGTTGTAAATATTGATGGAATGTATTCAGTTGAATTTGTCGAATCTATGTTAGAATGATGTATTTACGAGAGACCATTCCCAAGTGATTCGCACCGTTTGGTCTAATATTTCGCTCATAGGAAGGACCCAATGAGATTAGGAAAAGCCTAAAAGATTTCGTGCCATTAGGTCTTTCTTTCAACGTTATGACTGTTTTACTAAATTTTCGGTCTTGAACAAGGAATTTATAGAAAAACTGTATGAAGGAATTTCGAAACTGAAATTTTTCCTAACAATAGGTCTCATCGACGTTAGAACGTTCCAAAAGTTTCAGTTAAAACTGATGCTTTCTTCTAGAGATATTGCAGATTAAAGAAAACGGCCATGCTCCAAAAATTATCGTAAAATTTACTTTTCTTCAATCTGCAATATCTCTAAAAGAAAGCATCCTCTTTAACTGAAAGTTTTACAATTTTCTAGCACCAATGAGACCTATTGTTAGGAAAAATTTTCAGTTCGAAATTCCTTCATACCGTTTTTCTATAAATTCCTTGTCGAACGTCGAAAATTCAGTAAAACAGTTATAACTTCGAAGGAAGGCCTAATGGCACGAAATCTTTTAAGCTTTTGCTAGTCTCACTGGATCCTTCCTATGAGCAAAATATTAGACCAAACGGTGCGAATCACTTGGAAATGTTCTCTCGTTAGATTATATTGTTTTGCGTTCGCTTACGAATCATATCTTGATCTATGGTGAAACGTTCTTTTAATTCTAAGAATAAAAAGAATCATGATGTATTCCATAGATCTCTTCGTACTTAACATATGCAATTGCTCCGTCGACAATGATGAGAATCTGTCATTATTAGATTGATCTAAAAGTTGATGAAAAACATGGATCAAATTCAATAGAATTCTCATGAGATATTTTGTGAAATAAGCAATCTCGTCTTCTCGGATAACCTTGGTCTGGAATATCGAATTTTATTATCTATTATTTGATAGCATGATCGATATCATCACAAGCCAGTTGTATACAGAATTGTTTACATAATTCATCTCCGATGCAGATGAAAATACTATTAGAAAAAAGAACTCGAGCAATTACCACAGAAAACTTTTCGTAGCATTTTTACTGGTCTTCGCAGTCATAGATATAAATGTATAGGAAAACAAAACCAACTCTTTCAAAATACCTTTTCTTTCGGATATAAGTTGATCAACAGCATGGCTCGATGATAAATTAGATTTCGAATTCAAAATAGATTTATATTGGTTGAATCCGTCAATCGTTGGTAGAATTTCGAAAGTTTGACTCATCAGCAGATTGGATGTAAGTACATCTATTGAGTTTAAATTATCAATGACTAAGTTGTCTTTCAGTTTTCGATGCTCCTTAATTTTTACTTTTGAAGTAAATTTTTCTGAAAAATTTAATAACGATTTTCCATCATTCGAAATCAAACGTTCATCATCATCTACTATTAAAATAGATTTCTTAGGAAGAATTTTCTTCCTCGAGAAAACTAATTACCATTGATATCCGATACGAATTTTTTTTCTAGATTGTTATCTGTTGGACTTGCGACTATAGTATGTTGTACATCTTTATTTGGATGCAAACGGTTAGTGAGATCATTTGAGATTCTTGACTGATCTTCTTCAGGAATCACTTCTAAACGAAACCAGCAGCATTGGATATACTTGATGACTGCGTTTTTTCAAACTTTGATGATCTATTCCAGCTGTGATATTATCAGTAAGAGCCATATACAATGATGGTTTATGCTGCCAGAGATTTACACTCTCTGACTCTAGAACCATTAATGAAAGGGATGGCATTTTTATTAAGATTATTGCTGACGTATGGATCATTAATATCAAAATAGTTGCAGGAATAATATCGGATGTTATTATTATTGGCCTTAAAGGGCTCTTATATGTCTTAAACTTTGCCCATCTGGTCGATAAAATAGTTTTCAAAGAAACAGTATAAGCATAATTAGACTCGTCTTTCAATATAGGCTTTGGTGCTGATATTGTAGTTGCATACTGTTTGAAACTGTAGTTGAGATTAGACTTTTGATTATTTTTAATCATTGCAAATGAATGCGCACATTGCTGCTGTTCATTTCTAAAATCTACTTCATCGTTTATTGATTTGTTTTGTTTTGATGGACCAACAGAAGCAGTAGTATTAGTACCTTTATTTAATCATAATCCTATGTAGGTCATTTAAAAAATAGATATCTAATCCTACCAAAATAAGTAAATGAATCGATATTTTTATTAGATAATTTGAGAATAGATACAGAAATATTTAGTTCGTTGTCTTTGTAAGATTTCGATTGAACAGTTGATTGATGATTTCTTGAATATTTTAGAGGATTATTGGATGAGAAAGGGAAATTGCGGTAGCAGATAGGTGTTCGTGCTTTTCTTTGATGATGAGAACGAACATGTGAAGTGTTATGTTGTTTTGAACAAAATCTATAGAAGACTTTGTTGAATGCTGATTAGACAACAGAACTTTAACAAACCTATCTGTCGCGTGAAAATCTGATAATCTAATTGAAATATCTAATAAACTCGAGATGTATTGTGATGATTTATTAATGTTTTCATTTCGATATTTGAACAAACAATCTTGATCATTCATCAGTTCAATTTCATACAGCTCTACTTTTTTTTTATAACAGAAGATAGAATGAATGATCTATTGTATTTCTGTCATTGGCATACGACGGATAATATTGATGAGAACTTTTTTATTATTATAGAAGAATATGTTGATATCGATCAATCATAAGTTTGTCGACAAAATTCTTGCATATTTATTTGATCTGACTTCAATCGGATGACAAATGTATTTCGAAATCATACTGAAATGAAACAGACTTCTTTATTATTCGAAGACAGATAGATTTTATTACATAAATTTTATTCGAAATACTTTTTTTTCTAAATTCTATTTCATCTTATATAAAATTATTTCATTTTTTTTCATATACTTCTTTCTAGAGTTTCATTGTTTTAACGATAAACGACATGGTAAATATTGAGAATTTAAAAATATTGATTCAGATAATTAGACTTTTTTGGAGAATTTTTCAAATGAATTCGAGTAGATAAAACGTATTTATAAGATCGTTTATTTTAGAAAAACGTATCGATTATGCAATATCATTTTTGATTTATTTGAAATTAACATATTCTTCTAATTTAGTATAAAATATAATTGATTATTCTTATCAATCGATTAATATTCAATAAAACAGTATAGATTATACCTTATAATTTGATTATTATGTGCGCCTTTCTTTATATCTGCGAAATAAATTCACGAGGATATTTTTATTTGGATTACAGATTGATTTATGAGAGTCGTTTATTTTATAGTCGCCATTTTTTTTATTATGCGATGACATCTTAACTCAATCCGATTTGTAAAAGACAATGATTTCGGTCAACATTTCCGTTGTAAGTGTCATTGAAATGATTGATAGGCGACGAGTTTCATGCCATTTATCTTTTATTTGCCTTAATTCGCTTATTTATTTTCAGTTGTCTATTAATAACATGATCATCTGAGTTATTTTTATATATTTCTTTTGTGTGTAATCATGCTTATCCAGTAAGGTATGTATCGTTACATTTTTCTGTATTATTCATCAATAAGCGTAGTTGAAGCTAGAAGAAAAATGGATTAAGGTAAATATTTTGTTATTACAGTAGGTTTGGTGATGATAAACATCAACATTATCTAGAGTAACTTGTCTTATTACTATCATCTGTCGTATTTTAGCATACCTATCATATTACTCATTATTAAAATAAGCTGATTTTGTTTATTATTTATATTTTTCCCCATACGATATTTATGCCTTAACTAACGAAATGACTATCTGATGGCTTATCCAAGTGTTTTTGTTTAAAAAATGAAAATGTCGTCGTAGACAAGCAAAAGAACTATCGTATTCATTCGCAAAGTACTTTTTATTTTCATTCTAACCAGATTTCTATCTTTATTATTCAATGTTGTAGATTTTTTATTCATATGAAATTTTACGATTCTCAGCGAATGTTATGCTCGAAGAATTCAGTATTTTAAAGATATGTTCTATTTTAAGAAATGTATCTTCAAAAAGAACGTTAAGACTTTGAAAAATAAATTCTTATGCTAATTCCAGCCGCAATCATAGATTTGCAAAAACGTATTTATTTTTGTAAGTCATTATACAGTTCCTGAACAATATGCTCTTTCCGTGGTATAAATCATGGCATGCATCTTATTAGTTTTGCTTCTTCTATATATATATATATATATATCTATAGATCGTGACAAGTACCTAGGCGACCAGAATCTGACAATGCGCCCTTTTGTTAAAATTCGTTGTGACATTTTATAAGCAGTATGAATAAACAACAAGTGATACTTCCAAATCTTTAGGCATAGTTGTCTATTAAGGATCTACGCCGATTGATCATATTTCATATTTTTATCCCGAAGGTATTACATTAGAACACAACACCCTTTTGCCGAGAAAATGAGATACTTATATGAATCGAACACGACGGAAACAAAAATAATAGGTTTCCGGTAAGTCTTATGAATTGATGTGTGTTCTCGTCTCTCATTTTAAAATTTCTACAGCCGATAGTTCTTGGCGACCGCTTCTTTTTAAACATCGGTATTTATATAGTATTAGAAGGGTCACGAAAATGTTGAACTCAAATAACCTACTTAGAATGAAAAAAAGAAACAGCGATCAATCTAGGCAGAACACCAAAAAAAATGCATTCACAGTATTTTTTTCTATTTCGAATTGATTAAAAATAGAAAAGTAAACAAGAACAGACGAATTGCATGAAAACCAATTTGATTTTACTGTCAATCACGCCACAAGTTTTTTTTCTCCTCGGTCGTGATTAGATCAAAATTCTGAGGTAAAAAATAGAAACAGCTGCTTGATTAGGACAACATAAAAATAACACGAAATTGTTGTTGTGTGCAGTAATTAGTCTTTTGAATATTTATTGGTTCATTTTTATGATATTTTCTTTCGAATGATTTTTGTTATTTTTTATTATTCTTTGATGATGTAAGTAACTGAATTTAATACTTTAAATCAATATGCTTAAACATGAAATCAAGAACTTGAAAAAAAGTGAAATAAATCGTTTCTGTAGAGAGAAAAAAGAATCAGATCAAGGCTCGCAATAGTTCGTACTGATTGTCCTTGGATGAAAACGTTAACATAAACTTCGTACTACTGTAATGAGTCTTCATGTATGCATTTAATAGAAGACATGTGGTATACATGTTCGATATGTATGAAAATAACAGTAAATAATCGTCATGAAAATGGGAAATTAATTGATTTAATGAGAATAACAAATAAAGAATGTCATATAGTATTTTATGGTCAATGCGTCAGCTTCTTGGCCTGTTTTATATTGTAGCTGGATGCTTTTATTTAGTATTGATTTTAGAAGAGAAAAAACAAATATTAAAAGGTTTTTCGACCCCATTTGATGTTATCATGGTATCAGTTTTCATCTAAGCCTATGTTCTTTTTTTTTCTTTTTGTACTTGGATGTTATTTTATCGATATGAGTATGAGAACAAAGACACATAAAGAATGAGGAAAGGTGAATATTTGCAATTTTCTCCATTTTTCTTTGTAAGTCTAGTTTAGTTCGAAAGGAAAGGTTTTTTTTTCGAGTATTAGGCATTGCCATGTTTAACTGATAGTTCAATAGTTTTATTCTCATTGCAAAGGCATGTCATCAGCATATGACATCAGCTCATACAAGCCACCCACAACGCTAATGCGCCGTTTTGATTATGGTGGTGGTTATCGTTGCCGTTGTCGTTCTTTTTCCTCTTTCTTTCTCTTCTGTCATTTGTACCCTTAAACAGCTGAGAAGCAAGTAAAGATTCGGAGTAGTGTTTGTGCTTCTTTTTCTTGCGCGCTTGACGAACACATTTTCTTCGCGCATATACACACACAAGCACACACATATACAGAAAAAGAAGAAGCATAGAAGAAAAAACAACATATTTACAGAGTAAGCAAAGAAAACCAACGATAAGGACATTTTTTTCTCGTAATAAAACAAGACGAACTGGAAAAGTTTCTCTTATTTTCTTTTATTAATTCTATCTTTAGATTTCATACACACTATGTGTACTGACATTGATTTTTTGCCTCATATCATGACCATAACCGATAAGGACTTAGTATTATCCAATGGTTATGATCGTAGGAATAGCTCAACGCCATCGATAGCATCTTCGTCTTCGTCAACAACAACAAACAATACAACATCATGGTTTGAGAGAAAATTATTTAATCATTTCAAACGTTTATTTCGACGAAATTCATTTTCATCGAAAATAGATTCTTTTCAGTCCAGTCGTCGACCATCGGGCACTGCTGCTGAGGAAATTGTTGCATCATCCGCATGTCCTGAACAGTCTAAGGGCAAAAAGAAAGAAGAAGAAGAAGAAGAAGAAGAAGTACAACAACAACAACAAGAAAATAAGAATACAGATCATGAGAGTCTTGTTTCTTTGTCTTCGTCTACTTCTTCTTCTACGACGCTGCCAAATTCAATTAATGAACACGTACAATCATTAGCACCAAACAAAAGTTCAATTGATCTACTCTATGATTATGATCGTCTTCTCACTCGTTGTCTTGAACGACAAAAGCATGATCTTACCGAAATGATATCACGTTGCCAAGCACCTATTACTATTCCGCATGCTGATCTAAGCGTTGGCCATTCACGTTCCATAGTTGCTAATTGGAAATCTTACACACGACTATTTCGTGCATTAAATCGTGATTCGCAATTATTTCAACAATATATTAATCTTTATTACGGTTGTCAATCGTGGATAAATCAACGTGAACAATTAACTTTTAACGTTCGAACAACGAAAGCAACATTTGATAATGTATTAAAATTATTTCTAAACGAGTATGTCACTTGTTTAGCTTGTCAAAAGGCACAAACTCATTTAATCAAATCAACGGGTTTATGGCGTACCGAATGTCAATTGTGTGGCAGTCAACGTTCAGTTAAACGTCTTAAATGGAAAGTTTAAACGAAAATTAATTAATATGAAGACTAATAAGAAGAAACATAACAGTAATATCTAGAATTTTAATGAAGTTTTATTTGTTTTCCTTGTTGAAATCTAGTCTTTTTTGTCTCATTATATTCTTTTTTCTTATTTTTCTTCTGTTATTAATTCTACTCGATTCTTTCCTTTTTTTTACTTCTTACCTACATTTGTATCGGATCCCACGATATTTGATTAAAAAATAAAGAGCACTACATGGACATTTCTGTTCAAGATAGTATTGTTCATAAATGCACTGTTATCATCCTGTACTACGTAGAATGACTATTGTTCTAATTCGTTTATATATTTTAATAAAAGTACATAAATCGTACAATGCCTTTTTTTAAATTTATATAACGTGAAAGAAATTGTCTGGCAAATTGAGTACACTATGGCTAGCAATCATCATAAGTCTTTTTTCTTGATTATTATATTAACTGAAAGAATGAATAGCAAATGGGAAGGTCAAATCCACTAAGCGGCAAGATAATACAATTCTATGAATTAATGATAGCTAGATTAGTCTTGTGAATAAAGTATTTAAAGATTTTATATTTTCTGAAAGAAAAATAATCTTTCTTTCTTGTTTGAATGCAACAATTATTTTAGATTATTTATTATTATTAATTAGGCTGCTCTTCCGTTAAATAGGACGTACAATGAAACTGCAGCAAAAACACAGATAATAATTCCGCATGCAACTGCCGCTATTATTGAACCCAATCTAGCTAATGTAGAATAAATTTTTGGTGAATCGGAATTGACATTTTTTATATTAGTTTCACATGTTTTTGAAGTGAGAATAGATACTCGAATAGATGCAAATGCAGCAACAAGAGCAATGCCAATACAAAGAATAGTTAAAAACTTTAGAAAAGCATGTGCAATCATTGAATTACCAGAAAAAACAGCACCATCGATTATCTAGAGTGGAGTCAAGTTACACGATGAATTTCTTTATTTTTGTGTGCGCTTCGATTACCTCTGCATAAGCTAGTGTAAAAACAGCAAGACACATCGATTGCATAGTCGACCCGAAATAATTTGGAATTTCATCTTGAAATACTGTAATAGGAACAACAGTCGTTCGATCATCCCTATTCGATGTTGAACGTCGCAGCCAACGATAAGAAGATTTCGGTGCAAAATCTGTCTCGTTCGTCGAAGGTAATGATACTTTTTTATTTTGTTGTAATGATGATGAATAACTATTATTATTAAATTCAAGCGATTGAACTCGTCTCATTATGATAAACGAAAAAAAAAATTCACAATTGAAAAAACGAATAAATTATTACATTGCGCGTATAAGTAAAAAGTAGAAAATTTATTGGGTAAGAGCAGAACGGATGAAAATACTAGTCGAACTCGCCTCATAACCGATGCGTAGAATTACGGACTCGTTCTGTGTGCAATATGCAACATTATTTTTCAAGAGTCATGCATGAATTTTGAAGAGGTAAAATTAGCGTTGATAAAGTAACAAAAAATTAAAATCATTGGTTCGACAAAGGATTGCCGAGTTTGTACGAGCATCTATAGTAGTACAAACTGTCGAAGTGGTTGTTCGATTGTATAGGATAATGCGAACATTAGTCAAAAGAAAAATAAATATATTAAATGGCATTGTCTTTTTCTCGTTAATCAACTGTAAATGATAAAAATAATTCAATACTTTGCAACATTTAAAACATCGGAATGAGAGATATGAATATGGTGAAAACGATTATCTATGTCTGTTAGAAATTTTTATGAAAGATCAAAGTCCCGAGGATTAACTTGTATTCGGTGACTCTAACGACTCGATAATACTCAATACCAGACGAAAAAAATGAAATTAGGAAAGAGATAGATGAAAACATTTACCGATGGTATTACTTCTGTTTACAAATCTAGGCCAGTAAAATAACAATCATTTATAAGAGCCTTAAGTAAATATTCACGAGAGATGTAACTTTTTTCGAGTACACTCATGCTTTTTTGTAATGAAATTTCTGTGGAAACTACATTTAACAAAATTAGATTAATCGAAGAAGATTTCGAGGACGATCCTTGTGATGTTAGGTTCGTATCTTCTTTTGTATCTAATTAGGAAAAATATTTGTCGAGGGTCTATTTGTTGTTAAAATTACAGTAGCTTGATTCAAATCATTGATTTTTTTTATAAAAGTCACGTTGAATTCTATATTAATAAATTTCTGTGCCATTTGCAAGTGGTCATGGTCTGAATCAAACAGAGTTTCAATATGATGTAGTAGAACGTGATCAAACAAAGAGAGTTTCGGTACATTTTCAGACCAAGATATTCAATTATTGTTGGTTGGAGGACACTATGGCGTTCGCATAGGCTCATATTCCAGTTGATAAATCAAGCACAATTCCGATCCCAAACGATGCGATTATCGAGATACTACATTTAGTCATAAAACTCAACTAAGCAAGGCAAAGCTCAATAGAACATGCGTATTGAATCATTTAGCACAGCTTAATGCGACTCAGTAGGTACATGTCGAGTATGTCAATTGATTTCTGCTCGAAAACTATCATCGACGAGTGTTTCATTTGTTGCATTGAATACAACCATAGTGACGTATACCATAACATATTAACGGAAGTTGCTAATTATTAGTCTGTCTTATTCAGTGTTAATTGACAAGCATTTCAGACCAATTTCAAGAGACGATTCTGTTCGAAAATACAATGCTACCAATCTCTATTGGAAACATTTCAGTCGTGATAAGGACGCGTCTTCTTGATTGCGGACGTTTTTTCTTAATTGTTGGAAAAAACATCGGCAAAGTAGAAACAGGGAGAGAGAGACAAAAATAGGCGCAGAGTGGAAAACGTCCGCAAAGCAGAATCGGGGGAAGAGAGCAAAGAATGTCCGCATTGTGGAATCAAACGAAAATCGATATTTTAAGATGATTCATGCAAATAGGTGTACTGAATAATATCAACTATTTAGAGCTAGTCTAGTGCTGTTCATCACATGTCATCCAGGTCATTTTATAAGCATGTATTGTGAAAGAAAAACATTTAAAGTGACGAAGTTAAACCTAGACGAATCAAATACAAATGTCCATCGTGAAAAATGATAACTTTTCTCAAATTTTCACACAATCTAATAAAGATGGTATAGTTTTTAAAAATTATCATTTTGAAATGATCTTGACTATCAAGCTAACACAATTAGATGTTCAACTATTCTTCATAAATGATTTTTCTGTACTTTTTTTTCACCTAATAAATCTTGTCTTGATTCCATAATGCTGGCATTTTTTTCTCTCCCCTCCCCCGATTCTGCTTTGCGGACATTTTCCACTCTGCGACTATTTTTGTTTCTCTCCCTCTGTTTCTACTTTGCGGACGTTTTCTCTTAATTGGAGGAATAAAATGTCCGCAATCAAGCTGTAGCCAACAAGGAATGTCTAAGTGTTCAGTTGCGACAACTATAGATAAAATTCTTGTATCGAAAGCATCAATATTTTGTTCTAGTAAATAACTATATGGTAGAGCAGTGAACAAATGAGTTGAAGTGACAGTGACACAAGATGTTTCATATGGTACTTCTCTGTGGTACACAATATATAATTTCTTTCACCGGCATATTCACGGAACAAGTATTCTGAGCAGCAAAGTCATTCGTTGGATACGAAAATCAACATCTCAACGGAGAATCAACTCCCATTGATAACAAACAGCACCGGCAGGGGTCAGACGCAATAATTATTAACGGCAGATGATGATAGAAATGTTTTTGGCAATACGTAAAAGCTTATCTATGTTTATTTCATTTTTTTTTGTAAGCATGTATTATGGGTACTTCTCTTTTGCAGTCTGTATTATAACTGCTTCCTATTAGTGATGACTCATCATTTGATGTATTTCCTTGATGTTGTACTAAACAACTATATACGAGAATACTATTCAATGATAAGTTGTCATAGGTCAATCGCTATTTCAATTCGAGCAATAGTATAAAATGTTTGATTACACACAGAAAGATCTGGAAAACTGTTAATAAACTAGGACGAACGATAGTAATTAAGAATCTAAGGAAATGAAAGTCAATTAAGCAATTTTGAGTGGGTATGGGTGACGGATTGTCTCTATTTGAGCACCCACACCCACACCCACTCATATATATTTCATTGAATTTTATTTTCTGAGAAAAATTCATCTGGGGGACTAGGAGAAAATTTTCAGAAAATTATACCTGAGGGAGACCACAGGCTTTTCCGTCAGAAATATTTTTGTACCAAACACGTATGAGTCTATGTAGGTTTTGACGCTGATTCCGAATACGCTATTGGCTTTGCCTTTTGCCTTAGTTATTATTATGAACACTGGTCAATAAATGTACATTTTTCGTCTTTTTGCTACATACTATCACCCAACAGAGAAAGAAATTAAATTTTCTCAACAAAAAAAAACCTTTTGTAGTCCATGATTTGGCGATGCTAATGTGATAAGACAGTTGTTTCTACCTCTTCTTACAAAAAAAAAACTAGATAGCTTTATAAGCACTCTCACTGACACATACTTTTCGTCTGATGGAGCTATTTATATAAGATAAGAAATGTTTTTCTGTCTTAGGTCTACATCTAATCAAATAACATTTTCCTATTCAGTTTTTCATGCTGATTCAGAATATAGTATTTCAAAAATGTTCAGAAAATAGCTGGAATCGAAATTTGGTATTTTTTGTAAAAAATTAAAATTTAACATAAAAACAACATTTTTTTCAATCGTTCTATTTTTTTTAAAGATTTTCTCAGCCAAAAAAGATCGAATCGAAATAAAAAGTATACATTCGTGATCAATTTTTCAAGCTCTATCAAACCATGTATAAATAAACGATAAACAAAGGGTAGCAATATTTTTGATCCCCAAAAAAATGACTATTGATCACCAAAAAAGGATACAAATTATCCCCAATCTATTTTATTGTGAAATGATCACAAAAAAAGTATATTCGATCACCGAATTTATTATCAATACAATAACAGATAGAATAATAAATAACAACTATAGTTACACAAAATACCATAAACAATGGAAACAGAAAATATGTTCTACCAAAATCATGGTAACCATGCTGTTCGAACTTTTTCTGTATTTGACATTTTTAGTTTTCTGCATTGTTATGATAGAGCATTTTGTGTAACTATTCCCAGTTAATGAGATCATTTTGATTCAATTATGATTATTGTTTAATTATGTCTTATCAATCTGTTGTCTTTTGAGATAAACACGTTATCTACCACAACTCTACCATTCATTCCACAAAAAGTAAATTGGGGATCATTTGTATCTTTTCTTGGTGATCATTTCACAATAAAATAGATTGGGGATCATTTGTACATTTTTTTGGTGATCATTTCGCAACTAACACATTTTGGTGATCAATAGTCATTTTTTTGGGGATCAAAAGTCTATTTACCCTAAACAAAATCTACTCCAATTCTGCTTTAGCGGCACCTTACGTCTTCTTGTTTTTCATTTCCTCTTTTTTTTCAATATAATCTTTATGAAAGTACTTAGTTTCCTCTGTATACCTAGAAATTTCAACAAGCGCCTCCTCCGAAAGGATCTTGATTTTACTGTTGATGAATAAGTAAATAAATGGCATTGACATACCCTGTCTACACTAATATCCACACCCATGTTAAGAGTACCATGGCAAATTAGTAAACAGCTTTTCCTAGCAAAGTTCTTATAAGGTCACCAAAAAACTCTGATTGATCTGTACACATACATGTTAGGACTATTCCAAGTACTAACGGATCAAATCGATCCTTTTTTAAATAAATATTGACAATTTTCTGTCAGATTCAGAGCTCTAAAATATAATCAAAAAAAAAATGCAACCATTTTGAGTGATCTTATCGCAGGGTTAAAAATAAAAGTTGTAGATCAAAGCGGATCTTGATAAATCATCAAAATAAGATTATTTGGTTAAAAACGATAAATCGTTTTTTTGAGTCGAGGCTAAATGAATTATACCGACTCAAAAGAGCTTTTTAGTTGCAGTGGATTGTTCCAGAGAAATATAAATCCGCAATAATTTATATGAGTGCAACGGTCACCCTCAGGAAGACTGAAAAAATCAATTTTTTAAAATTCTGAATTGAAATATCTTACAGAGATTAGCTTCACGAATGAAAACTTTGAGTTTTTTGGTTTACTGTTAATAAATATGCGCAAGAGAAAAAAAACGCGCCATTAACATTGTGTTTTCTTAGTATAAAAATATGATAATATATCTAAAACACATAAATTGCTTTTATTTTATTTTTCTTCTACAATGTCTCTCCATGGTTCGAATATCCTAACGACATAAATATTGTTCAAAACATTGATAATTCACTGTGTTCCAGGTGATACATACGGTCTCAAGACGATTTGTAGATCGACGAAGTATTCGTTTATTGCTAAAAGCGCAGTTAAAAATGCTTTTCTAATTTCTACTTGACTTACTAAATCTAAAAGATTGAGTGCTATTGGAATAGAACGCTGCTGAATTGTTTTCATTGAACCAATAAATATCAGTCCATTAACAGTATCTACACTTTGGAAAAAGGTACTCCTGTACCCAATGATAAATCAACTAAAGTTTAAAAGCGTACGTAACATCTATGTTAAACGGCACATCTAACAATCTAGTTCACAGTTCTGTCTTTTTTAAATTTTATGACTCGTCATCGAAAAGAAAAACAAGTAGATCTTACCTTTTTTGCGTTGAAGATAAATAACTATCGTGTATCTGCTTATACAAGTGTTACTTTAGTTTAACATAATAACTCTTGGCATAAAATCAATGTATTATGAATAGAAAAAGTTCTCGTAACTCTGTAGGCATTCTGTATGCATTAGAATCTTTAATCGAAAAATGAAAGAAAAGAAAATCTTGGGTACAATTAGAAAGGTTGATTAGGTATAGTTCTTTTGTTTTAATTTTCGTTCGTTAAGAAAACGACGCGAAGGAAAAAAATATCGTTCATGATCGGCAGGTATCTGCTGTTGATTATTGGTAGCAACAAATATATACAAATTATTTCCTTTACGTTTGTGTGAAAAATAATTTGTTTGGCACGTTAATATAGATACAAATGCGCGTCGAAATCGAACATTAAATGCAGTATAAATAATCTAAACGGAAGACATTTTTGATTAGAAAAAAAAATGGAAATATTTGATTGAATTTAATTTCTCTTTACTGGATTTAAATTTGACGAGACATAGCCAAGCCAACTCGTTATATTTAATAACGATGCTTTTATAGCACATGATGGACAAACAGCTGAAAGTATATTTAATATTGAGAATGGAAGCCAAGCAACAAGAAAGACAAAGAAGACAATGCCAAGAACTTTCATTGCACGACGTTCACTTGTAGTTTCTGATCCACTTTTGAATGCATGAGCTGCTTTCTTAACAAGTGCATTGTGAAGAAATGAACGTTGATGTGAATGTGGTAGTTCTATTGGTATAACAGGTGGACTACTAAAATTAAAATGAAGTTTCCTTCCTATTAGAGTTTCATTTTTGGAGGTGTATAATTTCAATTTGATTCTTTGATCTCATTCATTTGCACACTAGAATTAGTTAATAGCTAACAAAGAAAATTGTCCATATTGAATTGATGATTTTATATACGAATTCAAGATATGATAAATTTTCGGAATTAATCTGGAATGAGCTCTCGCTCAATCTGCACATTACATTCTAAAAACAGCAACCTATGCGTTGATTATTTTGACATCATCATCATCCTTCTCATTACTATTCTTAGATCACGTGAATGTGCTAGTAACAGAGATCAATGAGCTTGTCGTATGTTGACTAAAATGTCGCCTTGGCATTAGGAATACATCTTCAGTTCAAGCTAAAAATATGTTCAAACAGATAGAACTCTAATTTAATGTACTACTAGTTAAAAATTTGAATAGGACCAGTTCTTTTTAGGCTTCAATGAAGCGCCTGCAGCTGCTAAAAAAGGATATTTTACATTTTTCAGGCTTTCAATTTATCGTTTTCTATTGTTTTTGGAACTGCCGTCATTACTGAAATTTCTCCATATAAAAAACACTTTTTATCTAATGAAACTCGAGAAGCGCTATTTAATGATGCCAACATTTACACTGTTTGACTCCTAATCAACAGCTCATATTTTTATTTCGTTAATTATATTGTATAAATAGTGATCAACATATTTTTTATGCGAAAGGAGGGGCCGTATTAATTCCTTCATGGAATTTATTTTTCTGTTTCATTGTCGTATTCAAAACTGAGCATTTACTCAGTTTCCGTTCTCAAGATAATCGCAAGAAAAATTACAAACGTTTAATGTGTACTTCTAACAAACAAGAAAAAAAGAAATCATGAAGAAACTCATAAACACGCCGTGCTTCTCAATACATTTAATAACAGTTGAATAGTATCGTTTAAAGCAATCTTTGAATTGAATTTCATCTCAAAACAAGGTCATAATTATCGAAGCATCTTTCTTGCATCAAAATCACTTACGATTGTTGACTTGGACTTTGCGTGTTATCGGTATCAGTGACCGTCGATGAACAAGGTAACACGATCGACGACGATGATATTTCTTTTGACAAAATAGCCTGATGATTTTGCGACGATCTGTGTCGCTTCGAACTTAACCTATGTCGTCTTAAACGATCTGACGCTTGCCGTTTGATTGCTACGTGATCATCTGGATCAGCATAACATTTAGCGGCCTCTAGTTGTAAACGACGAACAGTTAAAGAATAAGTAACAAGCATAAGTATGCAGGGTATACAAAAGCAAATGATTGAACCATAAATAATGAATGAACGGTTATTCAGTGCACAATAATGGCGATGTTCATTGACTATAATTAAGATATTTTTTTCATCAATACAACCAAGTATAAGTATAATACATGATATGGCAATAGAAAATGTCCAAATACAAAGTATGGTTAAAAAGGTTTTACGTTTACTTCGTTCTCGACTACGAAACGGACAAGATATATGAAGAAAACGATCAATAGAAAGTATTGTTAAATGCCATATGGATGTGGTGCATAGTAGTACATCGAAAAAAACAAATAAATTACAAAGTATAATCGGTAGCTGCCACGAACCTAAATATAGAACAAACGAATTTTAAACTATATTGGCCAGTTCGCGTGAAAGAGTGTAGACCATGAGCGATATAAGAAAAACAAGCTCAAAGAAGATTAGAGTTAATAAATACTTTCTACGTGATTGACATTACATTTTATTATTACAACGTAGTAGACTTAAATAATTTCGTCACTTATTGAACAAGTACGAGTGGTTAAAAGTTTTATTTATTTGTATAAAACTGTTCTCTTGAGAAAACGTTTTTGGCTTGGGACAGAGTCACATTAAAAGAAAAACATTATAAAGATATATGTTGAGCAATAATAGAAATCAACACATTATTCAATAGAAAACTCAGTCGAAGATTCTACAAGAAAATATTATTTTATTAATTCAATTAAAAGACGTGTCAAAAGTTCTTAGTGTAAAGTAATGCAGAATTACTCGTTTTAAGATGACATTTCTGCTTGAAGAGCTTTCAACTTTCTTAGTTATAATAAGTTTTTTACAGTATAGAATTTATCTGATGTTTAAATATGTTTACTTTTTATGTGAGCTGAACGTTAAATGTACGGAAGTTTCCTGGTTTGGCCGAGTATCTAGGAAAAATTGATTATTCATCCAGCGCAAAAATCTTAATCTCAAGTGGCCTTCTTATTATTTTCTTTTCTTGCTGGTAAATACAATTAATAGCGGTCTCCTTGTATCAATTCGATAAAAGGCAATGTGCACATCTTCGTAAAGAAGATATTTTCATTTTAATTTTTTTTTGTCTTACCCTGGAAATCTTTGATAATTGAAAATGGTAAAACAACAAAGCTAACTAAACAATCAGCAATAGCTAATGAAAAAAGGAACCAATTGGTCACTGTTTGTAATTGTTTATCAAGTGATATTGATATACATACAAGTAAATTACCAAGTGTACCCGTTAGAGCTAATATTGATAAAGTTAGTATGGGCCAATTTAAATCATTTTTATCGGATGAAATTATATTATTCGTTAAATTCATTGATGATATATTCTCATAATGAGTAATATTAAGGAAATCAAGATTAAACTGCTCCATTGAAGTCATTAATGAATGAAAGAAAACTAGAAAGAAAAAAAGGAAGTAAAACATGAGAATATATGAATATCTTGATAAAGCTTTCTTCGCCACTTTCAATCATCGTTTCTGCTCTTTTCTTTTTCTGTCTCTCTCTCTCTCTCTCTCTCTCTCTCTCTCTCGCTCTGTCGCTCTCCCCTTATTTCTTTCATTTTTATGATTATATTAGAATTAATAAGGGAACGAGAAAAAAAAACAGCAACAAATCTAGTAACATAGCTGCTATTATCATTTTGATGAACGACAACAATAATAACCAAGCAAAGTACTTGTGCATACAAGCAAAGAAGATGCAGAAGAAAAACTACCGAACTAAAAAGATACATAAAGGAAACATACAACTCAAAACAAAAAAGGAAAATGAATAGAATGACGACTATAAAACGTGTCGTACACTGAAACACGATGATTTCGATTAGCTATTAGAAGGATAATAAATGTTCGTACACCTTAGTAGAATTGTGATTTCATTGAATGTAGTCTCATTCTTATCGCAATTATCTATTTTTGTGATCGATTGAATAACGGGAAAGCAGAATATACGAGCGATCGGTACTGAAGAAAGAAGAAACTTATTCACGAGAAATAAATTCTTCATTGAGAATAAATCAAATTGAAAGTAGTAGGAAAAAAATATGAGTTCAATAATCATTCAAAGTAATATGATTTTAATAGCATTCACTTGCAATTTCATTCATTTTAGAATGTATGCAGGAAATAACGTCTTAGATGTATAAATATTAAAATTATGTCAGAAAAAAAAACCATTTTCTTCTACTACAAACGAAGAATTACAGGATAAATAGAAACAATGATTAGTTCTTGTTTTTTGTCTTCACTGCAAACTGTTTGCTTTAGCCATATTGTAAGAATGACATGATTCCTTGATTATCATACTTAAAAGGATTTCACTGTCTGAAATGATGGAAGTTGCATAAGATTATGACATAAACAATGAACTAAATTGACTGCAGATATCTTTTAATCAAACATTAGAAATATTGTGTACCCAAGAAACAATTTAAAAAGTGCGCAAGTTTTCTCTCTATTGTTTGTCCTAGAACTAAAGGAAAAAGCAATCTTTATTAGTTCAATATTAGAAAAATTCGGCTGTAAGCAGATTTGCTAATTGATTGTTCACCGATGTTTTCATCATGCACGTCGAAGTTGATCGTGTTGTTGAGAATTAGGAACAACAAGAGAAGTCAAGTGAAATTTTCCAAGTAGAAAACTAGCTTATGCACTAATCGAACAACGTAGTCATATATATATATATATAGAAGTGCTATTAAGAGTAACTTTGAACTTTTTTTTTCATATTTTTATTATTATAAGAAGTCAATATGGTTTTTTATTTCATTGGAAATGGATAAATTTCATTAAAAAATATAGAAAAGAAAAACACGAAACGCATAAAACAAAACCAATTTATATCTGATCTGATTAAAATTTGCTTAAAATCAGTCTTTACACATAGGCCAACAGAACCGAAAATGTAATAAAGAGTTCGTTGTCACTCAATAATCATATTATTCGATGAATCAGTATGATCATCATCATCATCATATAATTGATTATATTCAAACATCATTAGACTGCGTTCGTTCGTTGACAATCCAACAATAAAATGCTGTTTTTGTTTATTTATATTATTGCATATCGAATGTACATGTAAAGATTGTATTGAACCTTGAAGAGATAATGATTGGTTGAGAACTTCTTTTCGGTTTATACTCCACGTACGTATTCGTTGGCCATCGCGATCAATGGAAAGAAAATGCCGATGATCAAACCAACTAATCGAATGAATCTAAATTATATTTTCAAAAAAAGAAACAGATTAATAAAATAACCCGAATTAATCTCTTATGGGAATTGTCTGCTTTATTCCAGTATTTTTTTACTCTCCATCATAATTGCCGCAAACATTTTTCTATTGAATCAAAAAGTATTTTCATTATTTTCTTCAGGTCATAATATTAAACAAAAGTGGATCGATTCAGTTTTCATAACAGGAAGATAAACATATGAAACACTTCTAGCTTAATTTTCTATGACAAGTCAACGGCGATGTATTGTTTTGCTCTACGGCTTCCATACGCCAAATATGTTAAGTAATTAAAATTCACAGAGCAAGAAAATTTCACTTGTCTTGAGGTATTTTTGTTTTTATTCATTTGAAAAACATAGAATTAAGTTCACTTACCAATGGATCACAAATACTTGTAACAAATAAAAATTGTCCTAGAGGAACAGTAACATCCCAAATAAAAACTTGATCCGGCTGAGCGAATATTAGTAAACGATTGTCATTCATTTGACAATCATTCAGTTCATGTTTATTTGTGTCGTCGAATAAATAATTAAAATTATAATTAAAGATTATTTCTCCATCGTTCAATTGCCAAATAATAATTTCATTTGTACGCAATACAGTTAACATATATTGATCACCATTATTATTTGTATCAACAATTGAGAATGTATAACTTGGATTACAATCGAATCTTGTTAATATCATTGTACAATTACTCATAGAACCAGTTATTAGAGATGAAGGCTCATCAGGGATTAGGGCTGCTGCTTCTAATTTAAAAACGACGAAACATGCAAACGTACTTGAGTACTCGGTACAGGCAACGAGTGCATAGGACTCATTTTTTGTTAATATAATTCGTTTTATTTCATCGCCAATAGATGTATCAGGATCGGATTTAAGTTCACGTGCAAGACAACAAGAGTCCAGATCAAGTAAACCAAGTGATATACCGCGACCGTACTTTTGTTTTCCAGCCATGTAGAGAATAGGCGAATGTCGAGATGTAACGGCTATGGAACATTTTATTGGATGTAAATTTGTTCGTATTGAATAATCATCTGTTGACCAAATTTTAACAGCATATGGATTTACATTGGAAGTAACTTCGTAGAAGAGTCCAATTAGAAATTGGCCATCACGTGAGAATATCATTGTGTGACAAGCGCCAACTGATGAGATAGGAAGTTGAGAATGAAAATTACCGGACTGAAAATACATTGATTTTTCTTTTTATAATACTTCGATGAGCTTTTCTAGTGAAATCATCATAAAAACAAAATGATGATGATTTTTATGTAAAGAACTATTTACATCAGTTCTTTAACCCAAGATAATTTGATCTGAACTAATTTCCACTTCGAACTTAAGATAAAGGGTCAGTAAGAGCTCAAATTATACTGAATAAGACTCATTCAGGTATTCTTAAGCAATAACGAGCGTTAAAATGTTCAAGCACGCACTACACACGCATTTTCTTATACGAGCAAGTCTTGTTTCTATTTATGTTATAAATAACTTACGTGCGCATGCAATAATTGAATTCTATTTTCATCAGCTGTTGCAAGAAGAACTGTAGGATAATTATTTGACTGTAATGCATGACAATCAACAAGACTTTTTGTATAAAGATATAAAATTTGATTTTCCATTAGCATCGAATTGCGAGGTTTTATGACTGATCTTCGTTTGATTGGTGATCGGAATTGGGAAAAAAGTTCTTGATCAGTATCTAAGTTAGCTGCTAATTCACATGAGTAAACAGCTGAATATGTTTGTGAACTTGAATTATCGATGTCTTTTTTTACTGAACGTAATGTCGATGAAATTGGAGTAGCATAACGGTGGGCTGTTATATTTGGTAATGGTAATGGTGGTTCACTACTGGACAACATTAAACGATTCACTTGATGATACATTGATGCTGATGCTGGTGCTGGTTGAGAAAAACTTGGATGTACACAACAATGATCATTGTCAAGACAATCGGATGTTTTATAAGATGGTGTTCTTTGTTCTTTATGATTTTCTTGTAAAGCTGATATAAGATGATAACTGTCGCCACTGTTTAAACGCGAGAGACTGCCATTTGATGTTAAACGGAATGATAGTGGTTTTGATTGATTTGCATGTAAATAACGAAGAATTTTAGGTACACGTTTTTTTGAATTGCGACCATCGGGTAATATATTTGTATGGGCTTTTATTGGAGCATAAGCGTTATTTCCATTTGTTTCTTTGTATTGATAGGCAAGTTTCTTTCTAGTATGACGAGTTTTACAATGTAGACATAATATTAAAAATAAAAGAAGAGCCAGAAGGGAAACTGATATTATTGCACTGATGATAAGGCCACGAACGCCAATATATTTTAATTGTTTATAGAACCATTCAACCGGTGTTTGATAAGAGATATCAGATATTAAATTTACTTGTGTTATATAGTCTTGATGATATAAACTATCAAGAATGGGAACGCTTATTGTTGAAGTTGCTAAAGTAGTTTCAGTAGATGGTTCAGATGAATCTTCAATTCTAGAAATAATAGACGTTACTGCTGTTGTTGCTGTTGAAGATATTATGGCAGTTGCAATATAAAATGAATCAACTAAATTGAATTGGTCAGTATATTTATCGGGATAAGCTTCTGCAACATCGCCAGAATAAGTAAGTGTATTAGAAAGACTGTCAAATACGGGTTGACGATTGAATGATAAACCTTTGAAGAAGAAAGCAAAAAATCGAAAGTATTTTTTTTTGTTGAGCTTCGGAAACAATTCTTTAAAAGAGTTTATGCTCTGTGATGCGAAGTTTTTTTCTAAATGACTGTCGTGACTCTCTCAGAAACATTACAAAAATTGATTGTCCATTAGTGAGAGAGGTCTCGGGAGAATAGGTTTATATGAATGGTTCTACTTAGAGTAAGTATGAGAATGATATTTTTTTGTTCAATCACTCTCTTACAACGACTGGTTTTATGTTTTTCTTGTAGTTCAGAATGAAATCTACCGTTGTGCAAAGCATCTAAACGTTCATTAAAACCCTACAGGTCTTGTATCTCCGCAGTAATAAACGAAATTCTTTCAACATATTCATCTATCTATTTCTAGGATGTTTCTCATAAAGCTAATAAAACATACCCGCAATAATTCCATTCCAATGTGAAACATTCTTGAAACTTCCAATTCGTAAACGTTTTTGTGAAATAGCCATTGGCTGATCCAATTGTCGTGGCAGTTCTAAATAAACGAATTTCTCTCGTTGCGTTTTTCAATTAAAAATTCTATTTATTATCAACATACTAGTTTCTCCTTCTAATTTAATTCGAATCCCGTCAACATACAATTCAACTGTTGAGAGCCGTCGAATTATTTTAATAGCATGATAGACTCCATCCGTTATTTGAACCACAGCTGAATAAATATCAGGTTGCTTTGTGCCCGCATATAATTTCATATAAGACTGTTCTCGTACCTATAGGTTTACAATTAGCAACTAAAAATTCTAGCAGATTGAAAACTTACAATTTCATATTCTAGGCTATATAAATTTGGTTCAGATTCAAGACGTAATATTTGTGCTGATGTAGATAATGTTTGTAAGCCGAATGAAATTATATCATAATCTCCTTGATGAGCCGTTCGTACAATATGGTTAATTGTGCCAATGGAATGATGTTTTCCAAAATAAAATCCTTTCGGTACTAATTAATAACAAAAAATAAAGCAGAGAATAAATCTCAAGCGCAAGTAAACTATTATTTCACTTACATTTATCACATCGTTCCCCTATAAAACTTGTTTCAACACAATCGCAACTTGGTTCGTCATTTTCATTTATTGAACACGCGCCCGAATGAACACATGTGAAATCATAACAGAGTTTATTTAAATCTATACAAATAAAGAATTACTCTTTTGTTTCTATTATATTGAAATGCAATTGAATGAATACTAAAGGAGAAGAAGAAGCTGACTTCATGACGAAACAATAAAAAAAAAGCATATAGAGGAGGAAGAAGAACATACTACCGCGAAACAGGCAAACAACAGCTTACCCATCGTATTATCTAATGGTGCATTCGAAGAATCTGCTAGAAAAGTTTATTTATTCATTCAATTCATACATACATCGAAATGTGCACGCACACATTCGCTGTTTTATTTCTCTTAGAGAATTTCAAAAAACAAATAGAATAAAACCCAATTTACCTGAGCAAACATTCATTTTGACTTGTCCGTTCAATACTAAAGCGCGTTGATAGTCAAGTAGACGACCATCAACAATAAAACTTGACAGACATCCTTGAAATCCATGTGCATTGAGACCCGATCCAGTTAAATTAATATTATTATTATTCGGTATTCCACCAACATAAAGAACGGGCTGAAGTGAAACTGCATTTCTTATGCCGTTAGCTGACAATGTGGAACGATTTGCACGGTTATCAACAACCAGCTCGATCCTGAAAAGAATTTAAACAAGAAAATAAATTAATCTTTTATTTCGACTGAAGCCCAGATGCGGATGCAATAATTTCCGACACGATAAATTTCTATTCTGGCATGGAAAATGCTCCATAAAATATTCTAAAATTAGTACTCATCATTTTTCTTTCTGCTTATTAACCAGACGCTCAATCGAAATAGAACATTCTGGCAATGCCAGTTTGACTAATTAAATGGCGCATCAATTAAATAACCTTCAATTATCGCTACATAGTAATTTTCATTTTCTTTCACTTTTAAGGAAAGAAACACGTGTTCGGTGTTTGGTCGAGATTTTTTCGAGTGAGACAAAGAACTCTTGCGTTTATCAATCAATCATTTTCTTTGGCGCTGTATTCTAACATAAGTCAACATTGATCACAAAATCTGACATGGATTAAAGTAATAACAATTATTAATTGTAGGAGAAAATCTGTGTTCGAATTTGAAGTAATATCTAAAGATTGATGGTAATGCTTAGTCACTAACAAAATATGTAAATGAAAAGTACTTCGATGAGACTCAAATGGAATAAATATATCGAAATATATACTTCAATTTACATATTTTATATCCGGAAAAATCATCTGACATTCGAAAGATTGTTTTTTACGTACTTATCAGTTCCAATTCTTGTTACACGTACTTCATGCCATTTACCATCTGCTAATTTTATTGACTCATTGCTGACAATTTGTCGTTTACCGAAACCAAAATCAATGAATAATGCAAGTATACCAGCTCGTAAACCAATAGCAAAATATTCATTTAAGCCTTGAGCATAGCGGTATAAAATGATTCCATCTGGTACATACGAGCGAAACAGAAAGTAAATGTCAAGTTTTCCATGATTTTTGTTTTGATTTTCACGTTCCGAAAAAGCTATATAAGATTTTTGCGTATTGACAGTAACTAAATTAAAGAATGCTACGCGATAACCAACAGTTAGATGTTGACTATCATAATAAAAATTTGATATGGATTCATCCTTTGATTTTGTTAGGATTTCAAATAGATTTTCATCGTTAAATAGAAGTTCGCTCATATAGCCGATAAATGGCTGAAATATATCTGAACTTAAACGACGAGTATCACCAACTAATACTGCATTTAAATTCCAACTCGAGACAACATAACTCGGGATTTGAGCTAGAAAAATTTAAATAGATAAGAATTTCTTTTGTTTTTGATTTTATTTTATCTTTACATGTTCGACTATCATCATCAACAACAAGAGTAAATATTCCACTTTGATCAATTTCAACTTGTAACCAATGCCAATTGTCATTATTGACATTTTTTCCACATTGAACACTCTAGAAAAAAAATTTGGAAACTTTGTCTTTTCTGGCTGTGAACATATTTTTGTTATTGATATCGCGCACGATTTAATTAGATCTTATTTAAGATATATATGAATGATGTCCTTGAAGAGCAGGAAAAAATAACACTTCAATTCTTTCTTTTTTTTTCTTCTTCTTTTTGTTCATTCATCTACTCATTTTAACAATGAGAAATATTATTATGGCTATGCTTCGTCCCCCCCCTCATCTTAGGTTGCCGTTGTTGTGTATCTGGTGTTAAATGAATTGCTAGTCAAGATAGAACTATAGAAAAAATGAAGAATGAAAACAAGGACAGAAAATGTAAATCATCATTGAATGATCCTGTTAGTTGATGCGTAAAGAAATAGAATATTGAAATTAATGAGAAAAGAGATTAACACTGTTCCGCAGACGGAAATCGTTGAAGATGAAATATATGGATCAGCATATTGTTGTTACTATTATTATTCTTTCCTAACGACAAATAACAATCTTCAGGTGTCCGACTTACAGTGACAGTTGATAATACTTTTCTTTCATCTAATTGCAAAACGGTTATTTCAATTTTTCCATTTGAGTGTTCGATGATAAAAAACGGGATAATTAACGATGAAGATTTACGTTGTGTTAATGACAGAAGAACGCCGTTTGATATTCGACCTAATGTACGAAAGCGTAAAGATAAGCGTAGTGGATAATCGAGTAGTTCCTGGCTATGATAATCAATGTATGACGAAGAATTAAATGTTATTACTGTTGATGAAGTTGAATCTATGAGAGAGATAAAGAAAGAATTAGTAAGAATAATCAATCGACAGCGTTCATCTTACCTGATCGATAAGGTTCTTTTGTATTGCGTTTAGCGACTTTGTTATTATTATTATTATTATTATTATAGCAGCTGTTGATTAATGTTTCTTTCGTATTTATTATTGACGAGAATATTAACGATGCATTGTTTTGATTATGAGCAATTAAAAGTTTATTTATTGATGAGAATGCTAATTGATCGATATTATTTGGTTCGAAATTGATGATATGATTTTGATTAGTAGTAACAATTGTCATGTGACATTGTCCAATTGTAAAACATCGTTTTGTGTTCGATATCGTTCTATTATTGTCAATAGAGTTTATAGTAAGTTGAGTAGGAAGTTTCTCACAAAACTAAAAATATTAAAAAACACATAAGAAGACCTTCATTGTTCGTTGTTTAATTGAATTTTATTCTTATTATATCTGATTCAAAAAAAAAAGAAAAGAAAAATGAAAGCCTATAGGGAATACAACTGATACAATTATTATTATGTATAGTTGGTGGGTGGTATCGCCGTCATTGTGATCGAGTGGTTACTTTAGATGTCTGAATTACTTTTTCTTTTCGTTTTTCTTTTATTCATCATAATTTTCAATACTATGAGTTACAATAATCAAAGTATACTACTGGTAAGGTGATTAACTCTATATGCATACGTATACTTGACATTAGCCTGAGATTGTGGCGGTTAGTTTTTATTACACTATTCAAGAGAGAGAGAGAGAGAACAATAACAGCCAATGTTTCATATTGTTATTCTTTGATAAATGAACATTAAGCAAAATTTCATGTTGCTAATATGTTTAATACTTTCATTGCCCTAAGCATACTATGGACAGATTGAAAGCAACTATCATTTAAAGGAAGTTTTCTTTTCTGTGAAGAATAAAAGTAGAACATATGCTCATTTCTCTTTCTTTTTTTGTACAGGCAAAATAAAATATAAACTTTCATAATTTATCGATCGCCAATAAGCAAGAAAAAAGACGTTCAGGTACCATCTGTTTGTATCAGTAACAAATCATGTATCGCACTCCCTCTGTCTCTCTCACACACGGTGACAAATAATTGCATATACGTCTACTCGGCGTGCGCCTATACCCATAAATAAAATAAAAAAAAGAAAAGATCGTGTTCAGTATTGAGAGAAGAGCTACCGACTATACAGTTTCCTCCCTATCATCACACATAAATGAACTTGTCACATATAAAAATTGAGTTCTTTATCTATGCTTACCTGTATGCGTTGACCATATATTACAAAAATAAGCATCCATATGAATACAATATGGTTGCATTGCATATTTGCAGTTTTAGTTTGTTGTCGTTTTGTAATTTATAATAAATCAGTACTCATTTTTTTTGTGAGATATTTTCCATGTCGATTTCTAAATATTGATACACATGAGTAGAGAAATAAAATATGTAAAGAGGTTTCTGTGTTAAATTCACATCCAATAATGTGTTTATTAAACGCTCTGTTAATGTTATGATAGTAGTATTAATAGATTGATCATTGGAAAAAAATAGCAATAACATATTTGACAAATCTATAGCTAGAACGCTTCATTCTTCCTTTCGTTCAGTGTTTCTCTCTGTCAATTATCGATCGGCCTATGGCTGTATCTTTATCTATTCTTTCTAAGTTGTAGGGTGGAATCGATGAAAAGAGCCTCTCCATTTTTTTTGTCATCAACACAAACACATAAAAAAACAACGTAGCGAAAGCCTGAGAGAGTACGTCGTCGGAACGTTCTTCGTTCCTTTTTTTCTCGATTTTTCTTTTGCTTAGTTTCCTATTGCTAATTTTATAGCTTGAAAGTATGTAGGAGATAGATAATTGTTCATCAACATCAAGACACTATGATAATGATGATGAGGATTACGAGAACAAAATCAAACGAAGAACTACTTACAATCTATAAAAGCTCGATCGATTAACGTAAACTTTATTGTCACACAAATGTGTGTATATGTGTATGTGAGTGTGTTTAATGAAGAGAGAAAACGAGGGAACAAAAAGAAAAGGAGAGACGAAATCGCCTACATATTGCGCGCATATCTATCATTATTCTTCTCATTTCTCTCATACACGATGGAGTAAGTCTATGTATGTATATAAATACATATATATATATATATATATTCACGTATATACGTGTGTATGTATATGTAAAAGAGACGATGGCGAAGGGGGCTCAACAGTGTCTTCGAGGTAGAGCCAGATTAAATGATAAATAGAGTCTCTCTTTCTCTCTAAAGAACAACAATAACAACATTGATATAGTTCGAAACTGACCAGCCCACGTGTACAATTCTATTTGATGTGAATATAAATTGGATTTAGTATATCCTACTCCTTAACTTTGATTGTCCCACTGATAAAATAGTTGAAAAGAGAAATATATGTTTACCGGTACATGCTTATTTTAAAGTCGTAAGATCACAAATAGACTGAATCGCTTGACGACATGTGCTAATAGATCGTAGTACAATGATAAACGAGAAAAGACAATGTTTTTAAAACAGTTGCTCTCTCTTTTTCTCGTTTTTTATGTCTGATCGTCTTCAAACATTGAACTAACCCTGCGGAGCTGCATCCTGTTTCGACGCCAATTATGGATTGCGTGCTCCAAGGCGAAAAAAAGAGGAGGACGCGTGTGGAGACCAATTCGATTAATGTGCCGATGCATCTCACGTTGTCAATTCGCGCTCTATTATCATCGTTATCACATATACACGAACATTGTGTTGCTAGTTTCATTACAACTCATTTAGTTTTTGTTTCCAAAATGACTGAACATGATGGAATTCGAAAGATATATATCCTAAAGATGATCTAAGCGAAGGCGTTACCCGACATTTAAAAAACAAGGAATGGCAGGGGCGTTATCAGTTGTTGTACATCTGATCAACTATGCTAAATATTCATAGAACATCAGTAAGGAAGTGACAAGGAATTCTACTCATGAGAATAGATGCCGTTTAACTGACCACTATAGTCCCTTGTAGCCGTTCAAATTAAGGATCAACTTACAATGAAGAGAGTTGCAGAGGGGAGAGAGAGAGAGAAAAGAAGAAACGTTTTTGTTTGCTATGCGTCAACGACGGTCGCCTTCCTTCCGCACAAATTACAATGTATTATATAACAAAAGCGGCAGCAAAATGAACTACATTTCAAAAAAGAAAGTCAATAGGAAAAGAGCTATTCTTTATCTATTTAGTGTATCCTATTTGTTAACTGACCGATCGGAATTCCTTTTAAGAAACGAGACAGAGAGAGAGAGAGAGAGAGAGAGAGCAAACGAATGATGATGATGACACAAAGAAGATGCTCTGTAACACAGGCAACCTAATTAGATATGCATTCTTTGATTGCTATTCATTGATCAGAGTAATAGATAAAAAACTGTATAACGAAAAATGATGAACAAGGCCTTTTCACTCTCATGTTCTTCTCTTCCGTTTTCTTTTTCTCTCATGCATCGACAACGAAAGAAATTCAAAAAGCAAAATCGTCATCTGCGTATAAAAATGTATAAACATACTGACTATGTAGTTGATGTTCTGTTTCTTTTTTTCTCTCTGTCTCATTGATGGCACGATGAACCGCTTCAACTGTCTCAAGGAAATAGATATACGCCTTTTTAATGGTCATTATCACGTTGAATATTATAAATGATGTTTGCATCAGCTATTAAATGTTGTTCAAGACTAGCCTACAGTCTACAAGTAACACAACGAACTTAACTTACCATCAATCGATAAATGATGGATGTGAGCAAAACAGGCTTGATAAGTGTTGAAAGAGGAAAAAAAGAAAGAAAAGCATAATACAAATGATTTTTACATCGTTGATGGTGGTAGTAGTAGTAGTAGTAATAGTATAGTATAGTATCGATTTTGCTTTCTCTTTTTTTTTACTCCCATCATACTTCGTTCATTATTACATACGGCAGCGATGACATCGTAAAAGAACAAGTCACGGCCATCATAGAACAAAAGCGAACTCAAACGACGATTGAACAAACAAACACATGAGTATATTGTGCACATACATGGATGATGAGAGCGGATATTGAGTACGATAGGAAGAGTGAGTAATTGAGAATGTGCATCTCGTTGTATAAAAAAAAAGAAGAAGCATCAAAAAGCGAAAGCGTAAGGGAGAAAAAATGAAGTGCCTTTGCGTGTGTAACCAGCATCCATTACGCCTAGCGTTCGTACATGATCAACGAAAAGAAGAAGACGTTTGGGTAGCCTTGAAATCAATTCATTTATTTCCTGATTTCTTGTCAGTCTATGTGAGCGTATCATCACGAGAAGGATAGAACCATAGAAGTGGAAAGAAAGATTCTCAATTGCTTCAATCATGAAAACAACGCAACAGTAAAGTCATCCTATTATTATTCAAAACTCGATCGATGATCGTATGCCGGCTGGTCCTTCTTCTTCGTCATCTTATTTCTTATTCTTCTTGTTCTTCATATTCTTATGAATGCTCAATGTATCCTTGGAAATTACGCATATGCACAGCCGTTCACCATTTGTTATGAAATATATACATAACGTTAAAATGAAAGAATGAATGATCGATGTGCATATTTATTGCGTATCTATTCGTATGTATAATCAGAACACATGAAACCAATATTGAAACAAATGTTCGGACGAAGGTTGTGATAATCTTCGGGAAAAAAAAAGGAGAGAACTTTCTCTTGGGAATTAATCAATGCATTTAAATTTTTTATTTTATCACTGATCTGCATACAAAAATATCAATCAAAAACTACTATTTTACTTGAGAGCCTTGTGTTGAAGAGGAGAAACAACGCGCGTGAAATCGTTACGTCATCGAACAAAAGATTTTAAATTGATTTCTGAAGAAAAAAAAAAGATAAACTAATTAGAATAGCAGCAATAGATTTTTTTTCGTGCTCCCTAAAAGTAAGCAGAATATATTTTCTAAAGAGTTCAGTTGCATTATCAATCAATCTATATGTATAACATGTCGCGTAATGTAAGCGTGACTCACATTCATTATTTTATCTTGAATTGCCTACTTTTCAGTTCAAGTCAATTTCTTACGATTGATATTCTTTCAGCACATCAAGAAACTATTCATATTGACAAAAACGACTGTCGAGACCTTTCAGCTACTTTGCATAAGACATTTAACGGTTTTATTATAATAGAATTGATTTCTAAATAAGATGCAGTAGTTAAACGTTGATTTTATTGACCTCAAACTTTGATAGGTTGACTATTTAGGTTCATTGAAGCGGGTAAAAAAACCTAATGAATTCATTTTTTTTATTAAATCGTTCATGATCCTTTAATTGAGAGTAAAGAAAAATAAATATATTTATCTATATTCATTATGAGATTACAAGGCTCATTTGATGAATATATCAAAGTCAAGGCATCTCTATGTGTAGCAGCTCATGCGATAATGCTTTGTTTCTTCAAACAAAAAATCAAAAAAGATTTCTCCAAATCTACACTACGAACGGACTTGTAGTCTATTAATTGTTTGAAAAAAGAACGTCTACGTATGAATAAGTACCGAGGGCGGGGCACAGAATTAAAATGGGTTAGGATGAATTTCTTCTCTTTATAGTCTATAATCCCATACCTTCATCCAATGTTCACATTCGCGCTATTCCTTAGCTCATTTTTCTTCATCGAAATAATCAACGCGAACTAAATCCTCATACAAGAAAACGGCTAGTTGAATGAAAGAAAGTTCTTTTCTTCGTCTGTTTATGTAATCTACGGACAGCTTAATTGTGGACTCGCATTAAGAGTGTACTCGAATAAATTTGTTTATTAATCTTCGGACGTCCATTAATCGATCGATTGTTGAAATTATTATTGTGTTTAATATCAAATGAATAATGGCCAACGATGAATTTTACTCTTGAGGCATACAATTTATTAATACAAAATCAATTGTAATCTGTGCAACAAATAAGAGAAAGGAGAGTGCATATAGTATGTAATCCAATCAAACTACTCATAGAAAGTAAAATAATTACAAATAACTTAAGTGTCCAGCTGTAATATAAAGTCGTTTCTTTCTTCTTTTTTGCATAGTTTATCTTGATACTAGTTGTTATTCTCTACATTAGTTATTCCGTTCAGTAGAAATCGAATACATACGATGAAGAATAAATGTAATTTGATGCAAAAATTAACTTGCTACTATTTCGTACTGGTACGAATATTCGCAATAAGAATTAATTTCGAATGTATGCGTATAGTTTACTGAAAAGATTAACACCCTGAATAATCAAGGAAGATAAGAGAATCGATGGGATCTATCAAAATACATTAGAATCAATAATGATGCATAAGAATATTGTATTTAACCGAAAACCCTGTGGATTTAGTTTTTTTGTTGCTGTAATAAAATCGATTTTTTACTAAACCATAAAAAATATGTTTCGTAGATCTATTTTGGTATAGAATATAGGAAGTCCAAGTCAACTTTTGTTGTTCTTGATGACTATCAACGAAAGCAAAACAACATATTTATTCAATAGTCTGCAAGTATGAGAATACTAAAAGACTTTTCTTTCTTGGATCTTAACTGATTTCGACAGTTGAGGAAATGATTTTTAAAATGGAGATCGAAGAAGTGAGTCGGCGCGTTTATTCAACAAGACAAACTAATTTTTATGATAAGTGCACAATTAGATTGGTAGCGTGTTTCGAAAATGCCTTCGAAATAATGATTTCTATAGATGAATGTCAATTGTCTAGATAAACAATCAACTGAATGATTTAATAAAGATTTCAATACGTTTTTTATTATTATCGAGGTCTCCTTCTGCTCCTTTTTTTTGTTTGTATGATCCAATTGTGCAAATTTAATCAGATCTGACAGATCAAGGAAAGCCCACAAAAGAATGATTATCAATCAGTATCGATCCGATAATCATTTTATTCATTTACTTATTTTGATTGATATTGTCCTTCGGAGAAAAAAATCCGTTCTAAATAGTAAACACAAAACTATTGTTCTTTTGTTAAAATCAACACCTAACAATGGCATACGATTAGTCATGGTTCATAATTTTGGCCAAGGCTTTATACAAGATAAACCAGTTTAATGATATGTCTGTCAGGTGTGCTCTTTCACGAAACCTCGAATAAAGCAGTGTGAATACAAAAGAAAACTGATTTACAGTTTTTTTCTCTGTGGTAATTGATGATATCTATGAAAAACTGAAATGAAATCAATGAAAGTTGCTAATATGTGTTTGCCGTTACCTAGAAACGTAGACGATAAATTACATTGGTTTTTTTCTTAGGGGATTCACACGTTCAAACAAATGTTTGTCGCCTAATATCTAAAATTATTTCCATGAAATCAGAATCTCTACACGTTACAGCGAGACTATTTACACACGATCAAGTTATTTGTTCTGAATTTCTTGTCTGTTTTCGTCTAATATATTTTCCAGAAAACTTTACAAAAACGAAATATGCTTTGTTGTTCGTATCATTTTCGTATTGTTAAGAAGGTTCGAGATTAGAGTCTATCACTTTGTGTTCAAAATTGTTACAAAGAGAAAGCTGAGCCGCAAAGGTTGGCTCTTTCATATTTTTGAATTCTTTGAACTGCCATCAATAAAGAAATAATAGTATCCCGACGATTAAAGGATGCATCGCATATATTTTGTTTCTTTTAATCTATAAGATACTAAAATATCTAATTAACTGTTTCCATATTTCTCTTTTTTAAAAAGTTTGCATAGTTTTATCGCTAAGTTAAATCCTAGTCTTTATAGTCTGACAATTGCTCTCGGTTCTCGATATCATCAGAACGAAAATTCTTTGGAAATTTATCAGTACAATCTCAAAGAACTACGTACATCAATTAGCAATAGAAATATTGACATTCGAAGCTATCCTACATGCCAGTAGAAAACATGGATCGGTAATTTTCTTACTTTAATCATGTATAAGCTTGGAAACAATGTCCTGTGTAAGATGCCATTTATATCCGAACGGAATGACCTAGAGGAAATAGAGAAAAAGCTATTTCTTGTTCGATCTTTGCATAGCCGCCACCTCATACTCAAAAACAAGCATTTGCCATTTTCTAGCTTACTGTGACATAAAATCGAAAATTATTATGCGCATATCAAGCAAGAAATAAAGACAATTTGCGATAGAGTAGAAAACCCCAACAATACCCAATTATCATATTGCTTCTGTGTTCTATAAATTCAAAAATAAGAATTATAGTTTTGTTTTATAAAATACTTTTGATTTATTAAAATTCTGATTAAAAATATTTCTCGGATTAATTTTCAAAATAATTCTAACTTGTTATGAGAAAATCACATGTAAAATAATGAAGAGAGTCAATGTAAAAAATACAATTAAGAACATTGGTGTCCAATCTGTTTTGAATTTATTATATTGGCGTTTTCCTTGTTTACTGCCAGGAAGTAATGTATATTCAACTCTATGAGAAGAGATTTATCAATAAAAATCTTTGGTAAAAAACGATTATTTACCTGTCAAATTGTGTGAGTATAGTTTGTCGTGCATCTTTCCATTTATTTGGACCTTGCAAACGATATCGATACGGTGTACATGGTCCAAATAGTAAAAGCCAACCAAGTTGAAAGTCACGTATTAAAAAATTCCCTAAAAAACGAAACTATTAAATGGTTGGAATCTTTTCATCTTACATATATTTGGTCGACAACCAACTTGATCCGCGATGTTATTGCAATAATCGACATAATCAACTTGGACAGTATGTCGAGGTGATTCAGCGTATCGTTCTGACATTTCACGGATTTTCTCATCAATATCTTCATCCATTTTTATACGCGACGGTAATCTTAATTCACCATTAAATACACGAACAGCCCAACGTGCTTGAAGTTCCGTTATGGGATTAATTGCACCCCACGGTTGAACAAGACCCATAACAGCAAGTGTCGGATGAGTCATATGAGCTGGCCAAACATATTTATAGAGTCGAATCTGCATAAAAACAAAATAATTATTTCCTAATATTTACAACTTCGTTATTAGTTTTACTCTATTTTCTTTCACAGTTAAAATGTTTTCATCTAAATACGGAAATACAATATTGAAACCAGTTGCCATAAGAACACAATCAATCTGATCAACTTTAGAACCATCAGTAAATATAACACCATGACCATCAGCTGTGAATTCTTGAACATTAGGTTTAACTATCACAGAGCCACATAAAATTCGATTTGGTAAATCATCGTTTAAAAATGGATGTTGTTCTATATAACGGGGAAAAAAAATATAAAGATTAATGTAGATAAATAATTAATCATATATGAAGGTTTTAACCTAATGGCCGATGTTTCGGTTTAAGACCATACATTTCATGATTAAATCTTTTATTGATATCTCTCTCTACTATCCAATTTGTTAATGAAGGAAAATATTTTTGTACAGCTCCATGAACTTCAGATGACAGTACCATATCAGCTGGCCATCCATTAGGTCCAACACGATTCAGTACCCATGTACCACGACGTGTACTCAAATACACCTATTGATTCGTTTTTCTTAGCCCATACAAAAAAAGATATATTATGAATACCTGTTTAGCAATGCGGCCTAATTCTACGGCAAGATCGCCTCCGGAATTTCCAATACCAACAACAAGTACATTTTTATCTTCAAAACCATGCGAAGTCTTGTATTGCCAACTATGAAGTTTTCGACCTGAACACGTCAACAGTTAAAATCCATCGAATATTCCAATCACAATGCATACCTTGAAAATTTTCTAGTCCAGGAAAATCGACTAATCTTGGATGAGCATGATGTCCGGTTGCTAACATGACAGCATCATATTTTTCACATGTTTCACTATCATTCATTGTTTCTTTCTTGTCTAAATTAACGCTATATATCATCCAACAACCTGTTTGTTCATAATCATCAGCTGGTTCAATACGTGTAACACGTCGCCGAAATCGAACATATTTTATAAGATCAAATTTTGCTGCATACCCTCGAAAATATTCTAATAATTTAGTATTATGCATATAATTCGGATAGTCAATCGGCGGAGGATAATCACTAAATGCCATAAACTCTTTGGATGTATTGATCACGGTTGATTTCATCACACTGGCTTTACCATCGATTGAATTAGCATCATAATTCCAAAGACCACCAATATCATTTGTCATTTCATAAGATGTAGGCGATAGACCACCATCTAAACAGCTTTTTATGCATATTAAACCGCTAATACCACCACCAATGATTGCTACATTTCGCATTTCTAAAGTATACTTATTGAACTAAGAGAATCTATAAATAAATAGAATTTAGAGAAGAAAGAAGGAAACTTTTTTCTAATGTTTCTTAAAAAGTTGTTATATTGAAAAGTTGTCAACATGGACGCTGAAGCTATTATTGCACTTAAAAACAAAAGATTAAATTTTTATTTTACAGTACGGAGTCGCGATCAATAAATAAAATGTCGTATGAATCACCTTGTATTTTGTTCGAGAATATAACGCGAGGAAAACTTTATTACTTTTTTCCTAACCACGACGGTATATAACGAATCAAAGATTTATAGATCATATATGTTTACACCTGTTTTTCTTTTTTCTTCGTCGTTCTTATCACGTCACATGCTAATTGTTGTTGATATTTTTTCTTTCGTATTTAATGATAGTAAAAACAAGGTTTTATCCTCTAGTTTTCTAGTACATAAATTATATTATCAATTTTTATTATCAGATAAAACAGTTTTAGTATTCGAAAAAGATCTCGTTTGCAATTTAGTCAGACACGTTTGAAGTTGTTCAATAATATCTTTCAGTTTATTTTCAAGTTGATCATTATTTGTATCATTTTGAGCTGTTAGAGTTGAATCAAGACGTTTTAGTGTTTCTAGTCGAGCAAGAAATTCATTGATAAGTCCATATGTCTTTTCAATTGTAGTTGCATTCGATGTTTCTAAATAATACAATAGAAATCTTTTCTCCTGCTTTCAATCCAATCAGAACATGCTAAAATATCGTGCGAGATACATGTCAAGCAACCACGGGAATCTTTCAGTCCTGTATAATTGATATTCACGAAGATATTCAATAAAGACAATGAACGTGCAAAATTGTGGAAGTTGAATAGCAAATTATTTAAAAAAAAATGAAATATTGACGAACTCTGCAGAAAATGTTGTTCAATTTTTATTACAGTTTTACTAACAGGACCGAGAATCTCGAGCTCGGCTTTTGCACTTGAAGTAAAACTGTAATAGAAATTGAATCACACATCGTACAAGCTTCACCGACGTCTCATTTTGTAGAAAACTACTCACTCTACAAGCGTCCTCAAGAAAAAAAGGTGGAATCGAACCGGCAAATACTCAATACATCACTAGTCAACTTTTCTAATGAATGTTTAACTAATCTAACCATGGATTTCTAACTTGAGAATCGATATACTATTTTGCTCTTCGAATTTCGCATTTCAAATAGCAAAAAAAGGCAACTTGTTTTATAATTCTATACCGTCATGTTTCGTTTGCTCTGCCAATTGACATAATTGGAAAATCTTTTCGTCTGTCGACATAATTTCCAAATCCTCCATCATTTGAGAAAACGTCGGTGACGATGGAAGTTCGAGTTTATTTTTCGTCGCCATATTTAAAACAAGCAGCTTAATCTACGGATCAAAACAAATGATCAATACATTTCCGAAAAAGCATAGCTTTTCTTTTTTTTTTTGAAAACCAGAATTTTATTTTCTTAACAACAAAAAAAACACACACATGTTTTTTTCTCTTAAACAATTAAAATTTATTTATTCTTCATTTTCTTCTTTTTGGATTTGTTTTTCGGTACATCAAAATGACTTGGAGCTTCCACATCTTTTCGTTTGTTTAATACTCTGGAAAAGAGAACAGGTCAAAATAAAATTTTTATTTTACAAAAAGATTTAACTAACCGCGGAATTGAAATAACACCAGGTTCTGATACATTTTTTAATTCTTCTTTCCATGCGTCTTCACTTCCATTAACACTGTATTTCAATAATTTTTGATCGTGCATTAAACGATCTAATTCTTCCGTTTGACGACTACGAATAGTTGCAGCAACTTCATTCTAGAAAAAGAAGCGTAATTTACAATAGAGATTATTTTTCGGCTAACCAATTCTTGTCGAAGCGATTTCTCCAATGGTTGCATATTAGCAGTATCTAATGAATTGACGAATGTCTTTCCGATTTCACTTTCTTGTGTTGAATTGATTAACTAAAATGAATATTCTTATTAAACGAAATAACGAAAGCAAATTTTTACATCAATTATTTTCTTAACAAGTTTATTGAATAAAGCTAAAAGTTGCGATTGTGGTAGATTAAGTTCACTTTCAAGTTGTTCAATAGTTTTATATTGAAATCCAATACCGGAGAGCAATGCCATTTGAACAACAGTTAATTGTATTGGCAAACGATTTAAATAGAATAATTTTGCAAGTATCGGAACAAGATCAAGAATTAAATGATAATCAACTAAATTTCTCGTATAAGATTCTAAACGGCGAAGATCATAATCAGTGAAATTTTGTTCAATTAATGAAGCCGTAAAATCTACGAATAAACAAAACCAAATTAAATATATTCGATTTCGATATTTTATACAAACCTTCTTTTGTCTCTGGATAAACAGCTTGTTGAATTAAATTAAGTACCATGCCTGGTGTAAATGTTCGAAATTGAAAACCAAGTAAGGATAGTAAACGACGACGAAAATCTTGATAGTAAGAAAATAACCATGGTGCTTCACTTGCGGCATGTATTGCTTTAAGCATAATGCAGGAATATTCGCCTGTAAGATCAGATGCTGTTTGACGTAGGTATATCGGTAAAAAATGATTTTTTTTCCAAAATTTTAATAAATCAGCTGAAAGACCATAGGATACACCGAGATAATCGATTGAATGTCGTAAACGACGTTCGTTAAGCTTTTGTAACAATGGTGGAAGACCTTGTCGAGGATGAAGCGTTTCATTGAGTAATGGTAAATCGTCATCATCTATTACTTCCATCTGATCGGCTGTTGGAGATGATGGAGACTAAAATTAAGCATGGATGATGTTAGAGCTAAATTAGTTATGTTTTGTATTCTCTAAACTGAGTGTAAATCTTGTTCACGACGAGGCTGAACTTCTAGATGGGAAGGCATGGCTGATGCGCAATTTTCTTTTATCGAGTTGTCAAGAGAAATTCTGTATCGAATGATACTTGGAAGTAATTTGCGTTGGCTATTGACATTAGAAGTACAATCAGTAGGATTACTAGAAAATAATACTGAGGAGAGTATAAGACCGAAAATTTTCGCATGAGAATCCGCATTGATGGCATCATTTACTATAATATCGAATAACGATCTGTTCAATTCACGCAATTAGTTCTGTACTTTCCTAAGTCGAATAAAATCTTACCTCTGAATTATTAAATTCATCAATATTAACAATATTTCCTTGAAAATACTTTTCTAATAATTGTAATGCTTTTGTTCCATAGCCCATTCTTTGGTAATCCGGATGCGTTGCTAGACGAACAATTCTTACACCTGACATTTTTCCGAATGTATAATCTTGATAAGTTTGTGCGATTGTCCATGGAATAAGATCACCTGAACCTCGTTGTCCGTGTATTAATTGTCTTGCAACAACATCTTTTGACAGTTCACCTTCATAACAAACTTGTATAGCACATAAAATTTCAGGTAATTTATTTGCATCAACTATTGGTCCAACTAAACAATAAATATCATGACCTGGTGCGTCAGATAGCATTTGAAGATCGTTTGGTGAATTTTTATAATGTGATGACACAAAGAGATACATTAGACGACGTAGAAATATTTCCGAAGATTCATTATATGAAAATAATGTATCACGAGATATACAATAAAGTGAGCATGATTCAAGTGATGGACATGCACCACGATTGGCTTTACTAAAAAGACCACAATAGATTAACAAAAATCAATGGAAAATATTTTATTTGTTTTTCGAATTACTTGAATCTCGATGGATCTTGGCAACAATCAAGGCAAAGAACATTATTAAGCCAGGTTTCAACAGGATCATCAATGCCATATCGAATAGGTTCATTTAGTTCTAATTCACTTAATGTACGATTATTTGTTGTTGTTTTTGCTGCTGTTGTTAAAATAGCACTTTGTTTTCGTAATTGTTCAAGAAGTTTTAATGAAAGCGATCGTCCAGTGCCTTCATATCCATTGATTGTCGATGAAAGAAATACTAAATAATTTGCTCCAGTTAACAATTGTTTGACTAGTGGAAGTGGTATGGCTGCAGCTTCATCGATTATTAATAATTCACATTGACTAAGACGTGTTGATTCGTTTGGTTGAATGTACTATAGATAAAAATAAATGTGGAAATTTCGGATTTCATCCGAGTTATGTGTACTGCAAAAAGTGCATGGGACATATGAGTCATTCTAGAATGTCTGAACATGAAAATTATCATGAGAAACTAGGCAATTTGATTTCTGGATGCAGTTTTTGTGCATTTTGAGACGTTTTTCAGGCGATGTTTCGTTAGAAGGCTACGGTTTAGTTCAAAACTAATATCAGATTCGGAATCAGCGTTAAAAACCGAGTCGATTTATATATGTTGTGAATAATTCTGAGAAAAATTTGTTTTTTGAAAACAAATCCTTGTACTCCTCCTCAGGGATGGCCTGATCAAAAATGACAATTTTTTCGATAACTCAACCATTTCTTGAGGAATTTTTCTCATCTTCGAAATCGACCGAGATATTCATGAGATTGAACTGTGTGGAAAATTTCATCACCGTCTGGCTCTCTTTTCGAAGGTTATCGTGCCTACGGACGGCCGGATACACTGGCCCATTCTAGAGTGTACTCACTTTTTGAGTACACAAAAAGAGGAAATTTTCCTTTTCTGTCATATTCAAGCTTAACTTTTGTTTTCTCGCTGAATACTTTAATCTATAGAATGTTATCTATACAACTAATACGAACTCTAGTATTTTTTATATTGACTAAGTCTTGTAATACGCAAGGGTTTTTCTCTCTATTCTACTACAAGTATTTCCATTTCAAAAATCACTAGATGAAATATACCTGAATAACTTGTCGGTGTTGTTTCGGTCGATGAATAGTCAATTGAACAACATTCTTTTCTTTATGATCATTTGATGAATATTGAATATCATAATCCATATGATCTTGATACTCAAGTGTATTGAAGCCTTTTAAAATGAATTCAAATAAAATTTTTAAATTTTCCGGTGCTGGTGAAGTCACATAAATATTTGAATATCTAAATAAAATTCAATAGAATTATCTACTAAAACTTTGTTTTCGGATTCGTACCCAAATGCAATAGCACCAGCAACAGCTAAGCCAAGTGCTGCTGATTTTCCTCGACCACGCGAAGCAGTGATTGAGCATGTATGTCGAAATGCTTTATCAGTTATTGAATCGAGTAATTTCAATAAAACTTTTCCTTGATCTAATGTCTTACAACATTCAATTAAATGGCCAATAGGCTGAGTCTCTTTCAATGAATTGCATAATTTTTTCAATTCAATTTGTTCATGTGTTAAACTAGCTTCTTCAGTTTTCGATGCTATTGTTTGAATATTTAAACTTGCTTCGGATGAACACGGTAAAACATTAAGCTGATCATCAACAATTAAACATTGCTTGCATGATGATAAACTTAATATGAAACGTTCATTGAAACGTGGTTCAGTTTGTCGATGCATTTCAGTTCGATAACGGGAATGAACATCCATACTCAATGCATATAATTGTTTGAGTGAACGCATCGTTTGAAGAAGTAAAACAACTAAACCGCCACCTTCAACTGTTTCAATTGTACGTGCTAGAAGATTCGGTGTTAATGCTTCAAAATCTTGTAGAACACACATTCCGAATGTGCGACCAAGAATCTTCGGTGTGTCAGAATAGAATGTATAATGAATTTGAGTTGAAGAAAGGAAAACTTCAAATGGATTATCTTCATCACCACCACCAGTACCGGTTGAACCTGTGGCTTGTTGACGCTTACGCATTTGTTTCATACGCTTTTTGCGATGACTAAAAGTAAGACGAAAATATATTTCCATTCTCATTTCATTTCATTACGTACGTTGAAAAATCAAGTTCTTTTTTGTAACACCATAATACAGTTGGCCGTGCTTTGATTTGAGCTTTCGAAAGCATATGATGAAGAATAACAACCTAAATGAAATAGAATGAACGAAATAGAAAAAAAGAAATTGCAAAAGAATTATTACTTGATCACGACCTTTATCGCCAACAACGACGATTAAAGAACGATGGAATGTTTTTAATCCATTTTCAATTAAGATACGAATACGATTGTCGATTTTCTTTTTCACCATCTAAAATAAAGAGTATTCTAATAATAATCGAGTGGCCATAGTCAACAAATGTGCTTTCAAGTCAATGCGAGCCCGAAAGATAGTTTTGAAATCGAATAGTTCGAAATAATGACAAGAATAAAAAAATTATGCGTCATAGTTATGTTTGCATCATGAATTTCATTCAAAAGCCTTTTAATTAGAGAAAACCAGAGAAAATTTTCAGGCATTAAATCATAAATAACATGAAGTTTAACGCGATTCATTCTCTTGAAGCATCATTTTTCTTTACAAATAGAAACAAATTTAAGTCTAAGAACATCCAAGCTTCAAATGTTTCTTCGATTAGGCAAGGAATATCACACAATCGTAGGAAAATTGAAAATCAGTATTATCTCATTGGCTCAAAGGTTTTTCAAATAGTGGTGTTTAATCCGACCCTTCTATGTGATGCTACTTGTTTTAGTAGTACATCTATAGTATTTACATTTATTTTGATGGCATAAATATAAATGAACGCATTGATAGAAATCTGTAGAGTTCTCATGACTGCATAGATGTCACCAGGTGTATTTTAAATTAAAGGTAAATTTTTTTTATTTAAAAAAATTACCTAACTTATAGAATTATTATGATATAAAAATTCAAGACTAGTTTTATTGTTGTGACCAATCATAAAAACATTTTGTAAAAGAAACGGATTCAGCCAGTTAGAAGCTTTCTATTTTCATTTATTCATTTGTTTTCGTATTCTATTTAATTTTACCTGGATTTTAATTTTAGATCTACTGTTTTTTTTTTGAGTGTATGCCCGTGTGTTTTCCTATATATTTTTATTATTATATTATCCATTGCATATAAGTAAACCGTGATATATTATCATAATACAATCCGGTGGTGCTTCCAAAGTACGAATATCAAAGATGAATCTTGATAGTGATAGTTTCGGTATGGCATTGAGGGGAATACCAATACCAGAGGATTCAGAAGCCGACGTACTTAATGATGAAACATTCGGTGATTGTGATTTAGAAGCTATTAAAATCAAATCAGATTTTGGAGAAAATGGGGAATTTCTAGGTGATAATCCATCAGACAGTTTACCAGCATTTTTCGATACGGATGTACCTGATACCGGTGGTATTTCTCTTGATGATGATGACGACGATCAATCTCAACAGCCGTCCATTGATGCTTTATTAGGCGAAGATCCAATGCGATTTTCAACATCATCAATGAACCGGCGGCCAGGACCATTTGTTCAACAAACATCTATAAACCCATTATTTAATATGGCTATATCACAAGCACAAACGCAAGAAACCAATCGTGTGAACTTATTTCCTCAATCGCAACAACAGCAGCCACCACTACCACCACCACCGCCGCCACTGCCACAACAACAACCGCAACACCAAGTTCCACGTATATCACCAATGACATTACCACAACAACAAATGAACTATCAATTGTTAAAACAATTTGAACAGATGTTAATTAATAAACAAGTACCACCACAAGAAAGACTTGTTTATATTCAAGCTATGATGGAAAAAATGCAGCGTGAGACTCTTAATGCACAACAACAACAACAACAACAACAGCAGATTCAATTACAACAGCAACAATTACAACAGCAACAATTGCAACAACAGCAACAATTGCAACAACAACAACAAGCAGCAAGAGTAAGAAATCATCTAGATGGTCTGAGTTATTCAATTTTCTTTTCTGTACAAAAAAAAACTCAATTGCCTAATCCATCTGAAAAGAATCACATCTTATTAACTTAAAACCTTATTTTTTCTCTCTCTATATATATTTAGCGTATGAACATGAATGTCAATGGTCACGATCGTTATCATGATTCAAATCCAAGTCGAGTTTTAAATAATCCTATGTTATATGCTCAACGCCAGCAACAGCAACGAGAGGCATCCATGCGTTCAATGGCAATAGGTGAAATGTTGGAACGCGCTCGTTTAACTGCTGGAAATGCAACAAATACCAATCCTGCGCGATCTCAATCACCAGGTCTTACCAGTAACACGGGAATGTCATCTCAATTCATGGACGCAATTCAAAGATCTGATCAAATACCTATTGCTGAAAACAATCGACCTGCCGAATCTCCAGCATCATCACTTGATAACATTGTTAGTCCATCTTCATCATCACGTCATTCGCGACAAAATCGCCCAGCCAAGCATTATCCTCGGCCACCCCTTCTCAATACATGGCAGGGACGTGGTCCTGGCCATGATGAATTCTCTGGTTTAATGACTGACCGTGAAAAACAATGGGTTGTAAAAATTCAACTTCATCAAGTATCGCAAACACAAGAAGAAGTAAGAAACAGAAATCGTGCTTTTTTTAAATTTATTTCTAAACGTATCGATTGTTTAGGACTATTATTTTCATAAATGGTCACAACAAAAACGTCATATGCAACAAGTACATGGTAATCAATCGAATCGTCATGAACATCGAGGACAATTTATTAGTTATCCTGTATTGCAATTATTAAAATCAATTCAACAAGAGAAAGAGTTAGGATTTGAAGAAAAAAAAAAGAAACTTCAAATTAATTTATTCTTCTGTTTTTATTAAGGCTTTCACAACGATTATCGCAATCATCGATTCAGGCATCATTTAGTAATGTAAATCCAACACAAGCATTACCATATGCACCATCTATGCCAACACAACTCGGTAAACAATCAACAGCAACTCCTCGACATCCAAAATGCATTCTTGATCTCGATGGTATGTTTCAAATAGGCAGAGATTTCTAGGCTCGAATCATAAATACAGTTATATTTTCTCGTTCTAAATTACGCGCCATAGATGTATAATTTGATCTCAATCAGAAGTTTCTTTATAGGTCAATTTACATTGGGTGTACGAAAAAATGCTATAACACATGATAAATATACATTGGGTTTATTATTGAATATTGAAAATATTCATCGTGATATATTACGTCTTGACGATGACGATGATGATACACCAGCAACATCAAGTAAATCGCCATCTGAAGTCAATCCAACTGATGGTACATCGACAGCAAAAACAGCTACGCCACCATCAAAAGTTCTCAATACAATAATAGATCGTTATTTAAATCATCCTAATTATTTATTCGCCGATATGTTTGCTCAATTTAGTAAAGGACAAATATTACTCGAACGTTTATACCCATATTTAATAACAACCACATCAATAACGAATCATCTTGAATTAATGCTTATACGTTTATATGGTTCATTGAATTATATGATACGCTGTTGGCCAACAACATTTCATATTGAGTCAATTGTTATGAATATGATAAGTCTAATGCAACAACAAGTTAACATAAAGAAAACTACCTTTGAGCAATTATTATCACAAGTCTACATTTATTATGATCAAAAAATTAAGCCAAAACTTTTAGAATTAAATTCAACTGTTTCGTCAAGTCCATTTTCTGATCCAGTTTTATTTACAAATTCTCATACAGTGACAATTTTAATTGAACTTTTATTGACATTAGAACGTCGATGCTATCTATTACCCGGTATGAATTCATCGACATTACCTGTTCAATTAATGCAACAATTGCAACCGCAATTACAGTATCAATTATCTGAACATGTTCGTTTACTTGTTACTGATCTATGTCAAGCACTTGTTTCATGTTCATCGCCAACATATACACCGAAGAAAATGCTTAAACCGTTTGCGCAAGTTCAACAACAACAATTTACTTTACTGTGCAAATTTCTTCGAATACAAATACCACCGCAAATATATCCTGCACTTGAATCAAAACTTGTTTTTTGTTGTATTAAGGATACTTAAGTTGTTTGTAAATATGTTCTTCACTTATTCTTGGTTCTAGAACAAAAGTTATCGCATATAAAGGAATGCTTACGTGAAAAACAGAGAGGAGGAAGGAGAGTTTTTTTTATTATCTTTAATTTATTTCTATTTTTTTGTTGTTGTTGTTGTTGTTGTGTGTAAAAACGCACACGATCAGAAAAGTAGAGATAAATAACTTTGAAAGTAAAATAAAGAAGAACAGCAGATGATGTTTGTTTTTAAAATTAAATGACGAATTTTTCATTCTATGCTGTTAACGCCACGGTACACGATTGAATCTTGGGCTATGGTGAGTTTTAGCGGACGAAGAAGAATTTATTGGTGGTAAATGAAAGGTTGATTGGGCGGGTATTCGAGGAGATTGATTTCGGAGAAATCTTGTTAAATAACGAGCTTTTGGAACTGAAACAAGAAATTATTGAAATTTTTCAAAGAAAACAAAAAAATTAATATTTAGATCAATATTGGAATAAGAATATGTGATGTTTCGAATATCTATCAACACACTCTAAAATTACAGAAAGACAAAGTTGGCAGTAGGATTTATAAGTTGTGTAGACTATCTCGACGGTAAAGATAGTATTCATCCTCCATTCGATCCATGAAGAGAATTTCTGATCCTTACTAATCAATTTTTCTAGGGTTCAGAATGTCAAGGTACTCTTTCTAAATAAATGGAAGAGTTTTTGAATAAAAGGAACGAAAAGTCAGAAACAAATACTCATTAAATATTATACGAACGAAATTTTTCTACCAATCGAATTTCAATCAGTGAAATTTTCAAGCCCGAACTACACAGTAGACTATAGACATCTAAATAATGTTTAGAATTTCAGAACGAACGATTATAAAAGCTCTAGGTGACTATTCTATTCCGGTAAGCAAACGCCAGACTTTAGTGATAAAACTCTTTAACTGAGAATTTTGATAATATTATTAACTGGTACCTATTTAAACTCGGTGTTCTCTTCTGACATAACAAGAATTTAAAATAGTGGTCATCGGTTTGAAAGAATCCGACACGAACTTAAAATCTGAACTGATTGTTACACAACTAGTAAATGAGTAACTCTTTTGTACGAATACTTTAGTCGCCTTTTGAAATAAGTACTTTTTTTTTTAATGTTGATAAAAAGTCATGATAGTTTTATCTTAAGTATTTCATATCACTTACTATCATTTTTTTGTTGTCTTTCGAATCTTTCTACTTTTTTATAGGTAACCGGCCGTATAAATGTGTGTTGTTCATCAAGAGTAAAATTTTGTTTAACAGACGATGGAATCGCTTTTATTTCTTTTCTATCGTGTTGATATTTCGGTGTTGATGGTGGTGTTGGACTATAGATTTCGAATTCATCGTCAATATCCTCATAATTTTGATTGGCAGGCATTATTACGGAATCATGAAAAGGACCTGCTGATGAATCTCGAAACGTTGGAATTCGAATAGGTGATATAGCATCACGAGGCGATGGTTGTTTTGATGAACGTGTCCAAGTATTGGCTTTTCGCATCGATTGATGACCCGAATTAATTGGTTCATGCGAAAAAGTTTGATCCATTCCAGGAAGTTGGTAATGTTGAATTTTAGATGCAGTCAATACTTGAGGTATTCGTATTTTAGGAGAATGAGTTAAAACAGGTTGTTGACAAGGTATATGATGATAATCATGTTGAGAGCGACCCGAGACTGAAATAGTTAGTGTTTTTTTTCTTAATTTTTTTTATAGAAATTTTTTTTCTCAATTACCTTTGATTGGTAATGCATCGTGTTTAAATTTAGTCGTTGGTGGAGATGGTCGCGTACGAGAATACAAGTTTTCTTTGGATTTTCTTGGTGATAGAGATCGATTTTTAATTTTATTCGAGATATCTTTTGTTTGAAAAAGAGATGTACTAGTACGATTTGGCTTCAATTGAAGATCATTTATAAAATTGTTCTGTTTTAAAATCCATGGTGGTTTATATTTAGTGCGTCGTTCTAGTAATTGTTTAGCGTGTTCGAGCCTGTGCCGATGATTATTAGATGGTAGAATTCGTTGAAATTTTTCTTGATATTGTTTATTATTATTGTTATTATTAATATTAGGTAATGGTTGCTTTTTTTTCTCTCGACTATTAGATATTTGCGCATCGTTATTTGTCTGTTGCTGCTGTTGCGTTTGTTCTTGTATCGAAAATATTTTATCTCCAATACGAATAGATCGTTGTTTGATTGATTCGAATGGCAATCGACGTTGATTTCGTTTGGTGCATTGATTTTCATTTATATGACGTTTATAAACATCGATATTATAACGTCGTTTACATAATTCACAAGTAAGAAATTCAGCATGCTGAGGATTTGTAGTTGACATAGAAATAAGTTAATTAGATAGTTTGAATCGCATGTGAAGAATATATATTAATAAGGGTTGCATTAGTAAATTTAATATGTATGATCATTAGAAATCCGGTGTTTTTTCTTTTGATTTTTTAAGGTTTTATTGACATTCATAGTTCTATATTTATATATATATAAGAATTTTTTTTCTCATTTATGATTTTATATCACAAACAGTGTGAGAAATAATTAATAAAAAGCAATTTACTGTTTACTAGCGACCCCATATTTGTCAAAGTCATGTATCAAATATAATATGTGTAATTCACAGACCAATGCTGACTTTCGCTTCTCATATATCATTGCTACTACGCAAAATGACTTCGAATCCTCATGTGCTGTATATAAATAATATTTTATGTTTAAAATATGCGTATCACTGCAGTGTTACGTGCTATAATGTACTTTGATTCGCATGTTATCAAGGGTAAAAACGAAAAGAATATTTGTTCTTCATTTTTATTGTTAGCATGTAGTCATTTATGCTATTTTCACATGAATCACTCTGTTCTTAGATAACATACACCTGCCGATTGTTTCAGCGAGTCTACTTTTTTAAAATGTGTAATTATGCTTGAAGATCGAAAACAACATTTTATCTTCTCATATTTATGGTGTGCTTTACTTCTAGATAAGACGCACTAGTTTTAAGAAAACAGACATCGTTAGTGATGGCTACTGGTCAATCGTTCTATTCAGTAATTATCAGTTTTGACGTTTGATTAATGCTATAAAATATCTTTCTTTAGAAATTATTGGGTGATTTCGAACCACAATTAGGTTATTTATATGAAAAAACGAATTCATTAAATCGAGCACTAACAGATTCGTATACACCATTACAATTAGTTGCAATAGCATCAGTCCTTACTGCATGCGGTATAAGCATCTATCAGTTTTTATTCAGCAATGATGAAGGTAAGCTACCGTAGAAATTATCATTCGATTTAATGTCACATACAGATTGATATTTTACTCGCTGACCGTGAGAGAAAGCTCCAGCGAACCTTTATAGATCGGGAACAATTCAGCTCTTGTTATTGAAATTTTTTCTGAAGAATTTTTCATCATAATAGATTTGTCGTTATAGTATTACTCGGATAGTTTTCGAAAAGTAGCAATCGATATCAATTTTCTTAGATATTCAAACGCGTGTTAAACAAACAATATTTCGTTTGGCTCGCCGTTTGCCTATTGTGCAACGTGAAATCGCCAAAGCACGAAGTAATACATTAAAAACAGTCTGTGGTGATATGGAAAAAAGTATTGAAGGACATCAATTTGCTCAAGCTCTACCAGAAAGACCAATTTCAAAAGTAAATGATTGATTTTGATTTTCTTATTTTAAATTTTTGTTTTAGGATGAAATTATTAGAAAACTTCATACCTATCGAAATTTCGAAAAGATCAATTATTCATCGGGTCACGTTTCTGGTTGTGTTTATAAAATAACAAAAACAGATTTAACAGAAATCTATAATACCGTAAATGACTTATTTATTCAGCGAAACAAATTTTTATACGCATCTGTACGTTTTTCTATTTTAAGATTTTTGATTTATTCGGTGAAGCAAATCCGCTTCATGCCGACGTATTTCCTGATATTCGAACGATGGAAGCTGAAGTTGTTCGATGCGTAGCAACGATGTTTCACGGCGATGAAAATGTTTGCGGAACGGTAATTGTATTTTAATAAAGTAATTGACAATGTCATTTTTTTCCCTTTATATAGATGACATCTGGTGGTACAGAATCACTACTAATGGCCTGCAAAACCTACCGTGATATGGCGATAGCGAAAGGAATTAAACGGCCTGAAATGTAAGTACATGCGCGTATCACATTATATTAAGCGCACATCAGGTGATTTGTATACGCCCTTATAAAGTGATCCTAATGAATTGATATATACATAGTACATCTAGTCATTTACATATCTGTTGACGTATTGTAAAGAAAAGACGAGCATACGATTGGCGGCGAGTTCTGACAATAGACACATCAGTAATGATGATAATTATTATTATATTTGTGTATGCGCTCGCTCTCGTCTAGAGCACAAAGCTCAATCATGAATGCATTCAAGCTTTTCTTCTGTCTCTATTTGAAAAGAAATGCCAAAAGGAAACCCTATATATAAGCGTTCATTTTTTTTCTTCATCTTAAAACATGCTCATAAAATAAAAAATAATCATAAACAAAACAAACAGAAGTGGAAATGATATTCGCCGATATGATGAACCTAGGCTGTATAGAAAATCGTTCGACTCTAAATAAAACTCGTTATTACACTGTTCACTGTTGCATCGTTTTATGGTTATTATATCGATATGAGAAGGAGGAGACGAAGACGTCGACGATAATGATGAAGATGATAATGAGCCGACTTTGGATTCAAGTAGAATATTTCCTTCAATTGACATATCATCATATGGTGAACAATCTCGTATAGCTCGTATTAATTTCATCGGAAGTACTTGACGTTTAGATTCGGATGATGATAATAACGAACGATTATATATAATAGCAAAATAACAAAATGTTCTACATGCTCGTACGGGTATTTGTTTAGTAAATTCTCCGCAGCCCGGTCCATCAATAAAATTGTCACATGTTAAACATTGAAAATCGTATGCATTGACTACTGATGAATAATCAAATAACATTAAAAACAGACTGAACAGTAAATTTAAACAATATAAGTCCATTCCATCGAATATCTAAAATAGAGATAATAGATCAATTGGCCTTGAACAAAACATCTAAAACATTTTTTTAGTTTACATCGCTTCCTTTTATCTCTATCTTATATATATATTTGTAAATTTATTCACAAAGCATCACACATACACACATATCTCGTTTTGTCGCTCGAATGATCTGAATGCGACACGCCGCTTTTTCGATTACATCATTACTTACGCTAGTGTTATATATATATAAATACACTTGTTGTTTCGTCACTCATTTTCGATAGGAGATCTACAATGAATTAATGTTTCTTTTTTTTTAATGTTATTCGGTTCATGCTCGACTGAACCGGTAAAGAAATATACACCCCGCACACATGAATATTATTTGTAAAACAAAAAGAAAAATTTCTTCTACATGCTTTATCTACATTGCAAAAATACAATGGGTTCGGAGATTGGATAGTAATGATCGATGTAGCATTGTATGCCTTGTCATCGATCAAAGTACAGTTATCTTTGATTTAATATAGTTTGCAGAATAAGACGACGAGGACGAGAGAAAAAAATTGCATCACGTACATTTCGAAAACGAACAATTCTCTCGAAGACGAGAAGAAAAACTTGCAAGAATGAAATTTCCTCCTATAATCCTATTTACTAAAATCGAAGATGAGACTAGCGAGAAATATGAGTAGGGGGAGGAGAAGAAGAAAAATCGATGCTAACAGGATGAATTTATCTATGGTCAATTAGACTATAGGGGTATAGTAGTATGTGTTTGATCGAGGCGACGTGTATATGTTAGTATCATTATCGAAGCTTGAATGCTCATGTTGACCGTTCAATATAAATAAACAATAGAGAAAATGAGAGTCGCCTATAAGCTATGATTGATTCGATTAGCAAAGGTGTTGTTGTTATTCTTTCTATCAACTCGCATATGAATGTAATGGAATGTATAATAAAATAAAACCATGATGAAAAGGAAGGGCAATTCAGTTTGTTCTCATCAAGAAAACTATTGCATTGTTTTGTTACTCACGTTCTCATTTTTTTCTCCTTCTCTTCGCCTTCATCTTACTCTCTCATCGCGGACACAAACATACATATCGATTGACCTCAATCAAAGAAGAAGAAAAAAAGGAATAGTACAGTTTTTTCTTCTTCTACCTTTAAGGTTCAACTCAACAAGACAGTATATAACTTTGACATTTTCTTTTACTTTAGTTCCTATGAGTCACTGCTGCGTACAGGTGTATATAAATACAGCCTGTTTGATGCCTGTTCTTATTTTAATCATTGAGTCTTAGGCAGAGACCAGCCGAACGACAAGGAAATAGAATTTCTAGTGTGTATTGCCTCGCGATAGAAAATAAAGTGACCAGTAAATAGAATATCGATGTACTACATTTCCGCTCTGAGCTTGAAAAAGAAAAAAGAACGTACAGAGATCGGTGAGATTTATACCGTATGTTGTTTATCTCAATGATTATATGTTGAAAGTATGTGTGCTTAACTCGATTTTACGTCTTTCTGATTTGATCTGTTTATCAGATCATTTAGAAGCACTTGACTTACAAATAGTTTATGTACGAAGTCAGTCACTTTAAAAATCAGGGTGACTTCAATGTAACCCTCTATCACTCCTTCGCTTTCGTATCAATCTTTGACTGATGATTGATGATCTCAATAGGAGCGAATATCGATATATTAGACCATTATCATTAGCAATCGCGTATCATTTGAAACACACCCGTAAACCATGGATTGATACTATTGTAATTAACTCCTTTGAATGTTACTGCACTCGTTTTTTTGCTTCTTTTTAACGAAGAACAGACTCTGTCTATCAGAAGAAGAACAAGAAGAAGAAAAAAAAAAGGAAGACTAGGAAGCATGATGACATGCCCAGTTGATTGAAGAGACGGAAAAGAGAATGGTCACTTCACTTTCTCTTGTCATCAAGCGAAGAACGACATCTAATTTTGAATCATGATGAAACCAGACGGCAAAGAAAATGCAAAAGGAAAAGAAAGCTAGATAGAGAGAGAGAGAGAGAGATTTCTCTACTATTGTTATGCTGTCAAGATATATCAATAGATTAATCGACATAAATCAGTAGTAGACAATGCAAGCGTATTAGTTTTCTGATTCTTATGTGCGTCTGTATAATTAATTAATAATGACAAGAACAGAAGAAAGTGAACAATTATACCAGATAGACATTCAATATTTCGAGCAAATACATCATATTTACAAGAGTTTCCGAGTGTCTTTCTCGATTAATACTTGAAAAGAAGCGAAGCGAACTCAAGTGATACTCTGCTACCGATTCTTCATCGTAGTTGACACTAAAATAAATAAAATGTTACACATCTAGAAAAAGAGATGATACCTGTCAAGAGCATTCTAGTGACGAAAAAGCGAGGTGTAAAAGAGAAGAGCTTCTTCTATTTTTTGTGCGTGCTGTTCAATCTAATTACGGATAGATTTTCTAGTATGCTTTCTTCTTCTTCTTTTTTCCGACAATGCCGACTAGAAAATGTTTGTGTGACAAACATAAGCAAGAGACTTGCTTACATGTTTGTAAGATCGATTAAATCTAACACAACATGCGTTATAAGCATGAAATCTCGCCGGAACTTGTCCTATCTCGTTCATCGAACTAATGTGTTTGATTCAAGCCGATTTATAGGAGAGGGAAAAAACGAGAAGAAATGAGGCTTGCCTTTCTTTTTCTCTCTCTCGGTCTTACTATTATAATATTAATCGTGTTGGAATAACGATGCATATGTGAGCAAGATCTCTTGCCTTGACAAGATGCAGTCACGCGGTCAGGAACAACTAATGAGACTGCAATTAAATGTACATGTTCTTATTTCCGCCGGCAGAGTTCGCACTCGTGCATACATTCGTATCTATAGTTTTTACGTAAATTACAACAAGAAAAGAAAAGAAAAACTTCAAATCGGACCTGGCTTCCGTTGCAAAGAAAAGAACGTATCATTTTTTTCTTTACTAAAGAAAGAAGTAAATGAATGAATGAATGTGTCATAATCAGCCTTCGATCGTATATGTGAATAATATATACAAGCGCGAACTGATATATTAAACAATCCGGCTGACACCTAATTCTCTTGTTGCTCCTACGAGATGCATTACTACTATTCTATTTTCTCATCATCTTTATAATCCTTTTGATGATTATTTTCATAACACATCAATTTAGTTGCTAGTATTTAACGAGATTGTCAAACCCATCTGTTTCACCTACAACTCGTTCAATCGATGTAGTTTGTGATTCTCTATTTCTAACACATCTGATTGAGATCAACATTTGTTCTTTTAATCGGATCATATAAAAGCAAATTTTTATACATCTGACTAACACCTGTGTCTTTTATACGGCCTAATGGATATAAAGTCAGTAATACGATGAACAAATATTACCATCGTATCTCGATATCTTCTCTGATGATGCAGCACATATACATATCACTATTGATTGTTCACAGTAATTCACAGCATCTATCGGAAAGAAACAGGTTATGGCAACGATGCACTCATATTAATCAAAGATACATGTATGAAGAGTGAATGCATGAAAGAAAAAATGATGTACGCATGCTGAGAAGCCCTATTTTTTTCTCATCTATTTGTTTCGAAAAATCGAAGAGGCAGTTAATAGAAGCGCGTCCATTTCTCCACCCATCACTTACCCTTCGTATTTCTGTCGTCGTTTTCCTTGTTATTATCACAAACGCACGAGGACTCCCCTGTGTGAGAACGACCGGACAATCAAGAATGCTATGCAGTCAGGCAGTCATGAAGTGGCTTTGCCTTCTGTCTCTGTCTTTCTCTCTCTCTCTCTCTCTCTCTCTATTTCTCTCGTTTCAGAAAGAGAGAATATTTAATGTCTATTCTTTCTGTTTTTTATTGAATTTTTCTTCTACTGATGTATATATATATATCTTGCTAGAGGGAGAACATACACCACGAAGAGAATACCTTGAAAAAAGGATGTGGTTACGTATGTTAAAATTGTTTGAATCAATCAGGTTAACGTTTATACGTATGCACGTTAATGGCTATTGGGCTTTGTCAACATCAGATGCCCGTACATGTGCTAAAGTTTTGTATCGATTATTTATGTCTGCCGGTCAATTCTATAATATAGATGTAAGAAAAAAAAAACAATTACTACTAGGCGAACAGATGAGACCTTAGAAAGAGTGACCAAGTATGACGATGAACTGTTGATTACTTTGCTGAGACAAATGATAGAAGTGATTCCTATGGGATTCGATTGAATAAGAAATTGTTATCAATTAAAGAAAAAGAAAAGAAGATATACTACGACTCGATGTTCATCAATTAATCGATTGTAAAAATTGACAAATGAAATAGTTTTTCTACAAGAATACATTTATTTTATATATATAAGAAAAAAAAATGAGTTGCTTCGCATATTTTCATGGTTACTTAAAAATAGACACTTACATTTTCCGACAGAAATGACTTATATTTCAAATGGATTTTATGATAAAAATGTTGTGCGTACTTATGACAAGAAAGTCAATATTGATTGCATTTATAAGGTCTCTATTTCTCGGCATTGTTTGGATTGGAGAGAAGAACAGCAAAACGCTTGAAAATCGATCTCAAAATTATCGTTCGAGATATATCAATTATTCCTTAACACAATAAGACTTCTATCATTTCGATATGTAAACTGAAGCAATAGAAATAATAAAGCAATTTTCTTTTCATTACGATAATTTCTGGAAGAAATAAATCAAACGGTGTTATTTGACCTTATAAATAAACATCAATTATTTAAATCTATTGTATTCTTCTTTTCTAGTGTTATGCCTGTAACAGCTCATCCAGCTTTCAATAAAGTATCAATCAGTCTATTGATTGAGTTACGCATGTATATATCTATATATAAATAATTATTCTAGGCTGGTTCTTATTTTAAAATGAAACTAATACGTATACCAGTTGATCCTAATACACTCGAAGTTGATGTTAAACAAATGCGTCGAGCAATAACGAAAAATACTTGCATGGTAAAAAACAAAGAGTCGATGAAATCTTGTTGAAATTCTTGTTTTAGATTATTGCTTCGGCACCCTGTTTTCCACATGGCACGATTGATCCCATACAAGATATTTCTAAAGTATATAAAATTGGAGATTTTTATTAAGACAATTCCAAATTCTCTAGATTGCACTTGAATATGGCGTTCCTTTGCATGTTGATGGTTGTTTAGGTGGTTTTCTTATTGCTTTTATGGACAAAGCTGGTTTTCCATTGAAACCGTTTGATTTTCGTGTACCTGGTGTAATGAGTATTAGCTGTGATTCACATAAAGTATGATTTTACTTTCACTTGTTGAAATAAGTAAAACTGCTGATTTTAGTATGGTTTTACGCCGAAAGGAGCTTCAGTTATTCTTTATCGAACTCCTGAAATTCGTTCGCATCAATTTTATGCCTTAGCCGATTGGCCAGGTGGTATCTATGCATCGCCATCGATTGCTGGTAGTCGTTCCGGATTTTTAATTGCTTGTTGTTGGGCAACACTTATGTATTATGGAGTTGATGGTTATGTTGAAGAAACGCGAAAAATTATTCAAACAACACGAGCTCTTGCTCAGGGGTAAAATAGGTTTACTGGTTTTATAGTGCTGATTTTTTGATTTTCTATATATATATATATACATTAGTTGGAGTAAAATTGATGGTCTATATCTTTTGCATAATCCTGATGTATCCGTTGTAGCTGTTGGCTCAAAAGTTTTCAATATTTATTACGTACTTGATGGATTACGTGATCGAGGATGGCATTTAAATGGTATACAAAATCCAGCTGGGTATTTCGATGAGTTCCTATGCACTTGATTTATCTATTGCTGTATTTAAATTCTAGTTTACAGATTGCCTTAACTCAACTTCATGCACAACCAGGTGTTATTGAAAAACTTATAGAAGAAACACGAGAATGTGTTGCAGAAGTCATGAAAAGAGAAAATGCCAACGATACACCGACGGTATGAATCGACGAACTCCTATCCTATTTATTTTTCTATTGTTTACTAGGCTGTCATTTATGGTACAAATCAAAAAGTACCAGATAAATCTCTTGTCTGTGATATGGCAAAATTGTATATCAGTGCATGTTATAATACAACTATGTCACCATCATCAGCAGCAGCAGCAAAAAACGCTCATTAAACGACGACAATAAAACGAATAATATAATTATGATTTTTTTCTTCTAAGCAACACTTTCATTGTCAAACGAACAAACATCTATTATTTTAGTCATCAAAAAGCAATTATTCTTATACATATGAATATTTTTTTTTATAACACACTATTTTTGTCCTTAAGAAAGCATAATTTTTTTTCCTACTTACAGTAAAATTGTTGTGGACCAGTATTGATTGTTGTAGAGAAAAAAATAATTTCAATATATTCTATCATAGATCGTACAAATCGACAGGTAGTGATTTTTTTGTATTATCGATAATAACACAAGCAAAACGGGGACGCATCACTTATGGTATTAAATATTATTTAATTATCTTACTAATGCTATTCTTGTGTGCCATGCAAATTGCTTAAAAACAAGAGATTTCATTATAGAATAAATTCATGGATAAAGAGAACGTGAAAGTTGTACTCGATCAACCATCTCATAATAGAGGTTTGTTAGAATTTTGTGGCGTGCTAATTTTTAATTCTATTACATATTTTATGATAGTCTCATCATCATACAACCAATCTTTACAACGATCAGGCCCTACAGGTATTCGTGGAGGAGGTGGTTCATACTTCCACTTGTAAGTTTCAGTTTTGTTCTTTTATTTTATGTGCAACTTCACTAAACTGCTGTTTCTCTCGATAAATTAGGATCTATGGCTGTTTGTCTGCTGTTTGTATTTGGTGTATCATGGAAGAATGTTGTTAATAGGTTTTATTTTCATATTCAGATGTTGTAATATCATGAAATTTTTAATGTTGTCGTGAAAATAAACAACGATTTAATTTTTATAGATGTCTCCTCGAAAAAATTATTTTCTGGTTTTATAGTTCTGAGAGCACACCCTCAAATGAGCCTTATTATAAGTAGCTCAGCTTTTCCTTTGAAACACATGTCAAATGTGAGGCATGACATAGAACATTTCTTGAATTGGGCTTTATTATTATTGTTTTTTCTTAAATAGAAAACAGAAGCTTTCCCATAAGTACACGACCGTTTTCTGCCCTATTGAACTTTTAACAGTTTTTTTCTGGAAAAAATCTAAAAATTCAAAACAAAAAAGGAAATCTTTACGTAACTAAATGAACTATTTCACATCTAATATCTCAAAACATGAAGACATAAGATTAAAAATTTTACTATAGTCTCTTCCCTACAGTTGCAACATATTTTACACAATATGAATGTTCTTAGCTCTGAATAAATTTGTTAAACGAAAGATTAATAGTACACTTCTCATTTTCTTCTAAGAATACTTCTGAAAAATAAACTTCATTTCATGGTTTTATTCAAATATAAAAAAATACCTGTATATTTCAAGTTTTATGAGTCATAACGATTGCTCACTCAAGTCATCGGTGTGCCGTAGAAAGACCGAAAGGAAAAATGTCGAAAGAAAAAATATCGAAAATTTGCACTAAAATGTTTTTATTCTTGAAATCATAATAGCATCATAGCATAAATCATAGATAAATAAGAGTTATAAAGAAAAATACGCATATCCAATATTTACTAGTTGTTATTGTTTTATTCAGTTTGAAAATATATCTATCTGATACAAGGAAAGATTTTTCTTTTTACGACTGAATAAATGAAATAACTGGAGTTGGCGGATGATTCTCACCAGATAAAAATGAGCAAGCTGTAGTCATCATGATAGAATTTTAATCGTTGTATACTATTTTACGCCCATTTTAGCTAGTTTTCATAAGATATTACTTATCAATAGTATCAATGGTTAACAGTGTCAAACCAATGGAATAATCAGATTAACAACAATGAATAATAAACTATTAGAACCTTCATTTAGTAGGGACGTCGCTTTTTTCTATCTTTTCTGTTTTCGACATTTTTCCTTTTTGGATATTTTTCTCTTCGACATTTTCCCCTTTCGATATTTTTCTTTCTGTATTTTTCCATTTCGACATTTTTCCTTTCGGCCTTTCTACGGCCAACCATCCATTCTAGTTCAGTCTACTTTCAATGAATATTGATACCAGCCAGAATATGTCGATGAATATAGCCAGCTGTAAATGAAAAATACGCTGTCATGAAACATCCAATAACACAAGTCGCAATCATCAGTATCATACTGTAGCCCAAATGCAATTTCTTTATTGATAATGCGCCATTTCTATCGACCACATATTGAATGTAAAAAATAAGACCGAGAAAAATCATAACAGTGCCAATCATAAGAATAACTGGCGGAATAAAATGAACACTCCGTTTATTAATTAAAGCAGTACATAGAACGCCAACAACCAGACCAACTTGTAATATGATACAGCCAATAATTTCGAAATATTGTGGTATTTGAAAAGTGTCCGTCGTTGCATCTTTGTTGGTACTACTTTGGTTAAATTGCGCGAAAAGGTCACAGACTATTGTTTGTGATGATTTCTCATCAAATACACGTATCCAAGTTGACGTGGTAAGCGCAATGATACCAAAAATAATAGGAAAAATGCCAACAATTAAACCTATAATTGCAAATTTGTGATAATAACGCATTGTTAGCATATCCAAATGTTCACTTCGATGACAATTTTATTAATAAAACAAAAGACAGACAAAAATAAAACTAGAGAAATGAATATGATAGAAAGATAAAAAAAAAAGAAAATGTTTTGTTTTTTGTTGAACAGTCTGTCATAAAAATTATGATTATACACGTCAGTGATAAATCATTTTCATCATTTGAGAACTATACTTGTTTTGTTGCACGATTGAACTCTATCTTGATTATTTGTTACTACAATAATCTAGACTGATAACGAATCTAAATATTAGTTGTAAATATTTGAACTGTTTTTATGAACTTATTAGAAAGCAATGTTTAGCGAGAAAGAAAAGTCATTTGGTTCATTGCTGTTTCGCATTTGTAACAGCGATTAAGCTGCTATCTGTATCGAAAGTTGCTATCCGTTTCGTAGTCGACGGACATCTAAATAGAATTGTTAAAAATTTCGATCACTAAAATTTTAATTTACAAAATGATTTTCTTTATTAAGAACTTGAAAAGGTAAAGTCAAACAATATCGTTTTGATCAATATTAAAAATAGACAAAGTTTCGTTTATCAAATGATTTATAGACATATTCTTCATTTGCTTTTTGCTTGTTGCTACGCGAAATATTTTCAGATACAAGACAATTTAAAAAGTAAAGCTCGAACAGATTTATTTCATAGTAGTTAAGGTGCTTCGATTTCATTAAAATCGTTGACTATAAACAACACTAACACTTTTTGAATTACGAGAATCATAACTGTCAGTATCGCTATAGTTTTCATTTCGAGAACGAGAAGAGCCAGCAACAAATGCAAAGTATATGGCCGTAATGAAACCAACAATACAAGCGGCGATCATCAATATGAAACTATAGCCCAAATCCACTGAAGTTTGCATGATCATTCCGAATAGATATTTCGCATACAAAAGAAAGCCAATAAGAATTAGAATCGGTCCCGCAATCAGAAAAATCTGTGGTAACAGTAACAGCAATACATTTTCCGTCCACATGCCAAGTATAACTGAAAGAATCACGCCAACTACTATTGCACCAACGCCAGCTATTTCTATACCTTTCGTTATTGTAGCTTCGGGTGCTTGTAGACATAGGCTCTCTTCGCTACATATGATAATACTGGAGGTAAGACCCGATGGACTTGAGATCCATTTAGTAGTAACGAGCGCCACAATCCCCAAAGCGATTGGAATAACACCTAATACAGCACCAATTAGAACTAAGATACGGATTGAAACCATGGGTAAATAATGAAATTGCACCGAGCACGCTTTTTCTTACAGCAGTAATCAATAGTATGCTTGCTGTGACTATACAACACGGTTGTAAACGAAAATTGACACCCACTCCATTTCTTTACGATTGCTTTACTAGTATACCAGAGTTTTATATCATAAAATATTTGAAGTCTTATCGAAAAAAATTATCTAGTGTTTGAATTGCAACAAAGTATGCCAGTTGTATTTTTCTATCATAAAATATGCTTGTTCTTTATCAAGTCATAGAAGTAAATCATTTTGTATTATTCCTGAAGATTTTACTACATTTTGCCACTCTTATGCGCTTACTGTTCGTATATTCTGATATGTAGATAACCTACTCTTTTATACATCGTACATAGAGGCAACTATTTTACCTTCAAAAATTAATACTGGGTTGTAGGTTTTATCCGTTTGGAGTAAGAAATTTTTATTCAAACACATCCATGGTTATAGATAATCTAAAAACGATCAATAAACAATCTTAGCTTGAAGTCATAGCATCTTACGAATTTCTTTTTGTAATGCTAATACGCCATTAAGAGTCCAACAGTTTTACTTTTTGTAGGCGTACGATGCTTGTAGTATGTTGTGAATTTTCTCAACTTATTTGCGGTTGTGCTTGTTTCTGATTGACTTGACGTATTTACCGTATATTGCGGTCTATAAATTACCTTATGTTATAATAATATACTGATTGAAAAAGCAAGATAGGAACGAAGTCATGCATATTGAAATAACGATTTTTCGCTCTATGATTTCATGGAAAATAATCATAGGCACTATTTACAAAGTGCAAATAGTAACATACTGAAATGAACACATAAACTAGATCAGTACTGTTGTGATAATTAATTGTCCTAACGAAAATAACACAATGAACACATGATTTATAACCTCCGAAACACAGAGATAATGTTTTCTATATTTTAATGAATATAAAACTGTAGCTGGAGAGGTAACAAGTCAAGAAAGACTTCTGATATGAAGCTGAAGTCTTTTCTTATTTGAAATAATGATTAACTATCATCCTTAAAATTGAACGCGAACACGAATCAACGCGGAGAATCGCTGCTTATGGGTTGAGAGTTAATTTTACATGCTATCAATATATCAAGTTCGGAAAATTTTTGCATTTTTATTTGAATTTTATTTCATCATTAGAAGGAATGATTTTTGTGCAATCTGCGAATTCTTTATTGGTTAATGTTTTGAGATGCATTGATAATTAATTATAAACTAGTTTAAGTCAATACTATGGTAAAACTTTATTTTTAGCTCATGATCGCAGTAAATCCACAAGAGACTAGAAATCTTTTCGATAGAAATCAAAGACATCTTATCCTTCATTGATTCGATGAGTTCGAGAACATTCTATTGCGCCAGACATAGTAGCTGTATTTTTAACAATTATTCATCAAACAAAAGGAATAGGAAATTCTTTTGTTCGTCATGGATAGACATTGCAATGATGGTAATTTTATAGAGAATTTTATTCGAAAAGTTAACAAATGACAGCGATATTGAGAAAGTAATTCACGATTCATTAATTTTTTTCCGTGTACGTTATCTGTATTGTACATAAAAGACGTCTTGAATTCAAACATCAGCTATTCAGTTAATTATCTTCTTCTTCACATTGAAAAACACAAACACTTGTGTTAAGGATAAATGTTCACAATTGATTTTCCGATAAAAACGTAACATCACTGCTTGTCTTCAAGTGACTTTATCTTGATGAATTCTTTTCTTCTTCTTCTTTTTTTATTTATACATACATATATGTTCGGGTCAGTTTTGCTTTTCCTTCCTAAACCATCTTGATTCATTCTATAGACAACGATTTTTCTTCTTGCGTTTTTCTCTTTTCTTTTGCTCGTTATAACTTATGCTCGGTGGCTTGCATACATTGGCTGATATTCGCATTATCGCTAGCACTGACGCATCCGCTGAATATCAACTAGGACCATGATAAAATACATGCGCGTTCTACTCATTTATACATAAGAGAAAAGGGACGGAGAATTTTTTTTCTTCTGCACGCATATATTATTCTAGTGTTGATCATTCTTCTTTCTCTTGTGTTCATCATCAGCATGACTTCGTTCATTATCATATGTTTTCTACTATTTTTACCCGCTTATTCATTAGATGCAGGTAGGAAAGATAAATTTAAAAACAAATTCCATCAAATATCTATTTTTTACGGTTTCATCTAAAAAGAAAAACCAAAAGAAAATGTTACAAACGCGTATGAATTTCAATCAAATATTGATTACATATATCACTATGCAACTGACGTTCATATGGATCATAAAATTTGGGCTGGTCCTGAAGAAAGCCATACGAAACGTAATTCTGATGCCGCATTTCATTTATACGCTCGGATTAATTTGACCAGTGTTTGGCACAGTGCAGATGAAAAACAGCATTTATTAAAACTCGAAGTAAATATAAGAAAAAAATTCATATCAAGTCTGTGTATTTATTTATTTTTTGTAAATTTTAGTTAAGCGATGCTCGTTTTATCAATCGGACGCATTCACATAGTATGATCGATTGTTTAGCATTAAGTACTCTTACAAGATATCCATCCATGTTTATGTGGGATCAAGGCATCGTATCATTAAGTTATTTTAATGAAAATGATAATTTAGCGGCGATCAATTTAAAAAAAGGCATTAGTTCTCTATTTCAATACAAACAAGATAACAAAACAGAAACTGATACACTAGGAAAATGTAATACGGAATATAGAATTTATGAAGATCGTCTTGTTAAAGATAAAACAGATTGCTCAAATGTTCAATATAATGATGAATATAGTAGTGCGAAACAGGTAAGAATACGTCTATCTAATATTTTCGTTCTCAGAAATTCCCGGAGAAAATAAAACATTATCTACTATTGTTGAGAGATATTTCATTTTGAATAGGCGTTTAATTATTCGATGGATTTTCAATCCACATGTGTTTATCAATTTGAAAATGGAACAATCAAATCTGCGTCATGTTCGGATATGGCTTTTCCAAGATTAGTTATTCCTGAAGTAGCTGGATTTCGTATTATGTCAAGGTAGATTTTATTTTTATTGAATTTTCTGTTTAAATATTCTCTTTTGTTCTATTAGATTAAGTGTTGATCTTATTGATAAGGCCGATAATGATAAACATCAAGTATTTTCAAGTTCAGATGCAGCATTGAAATCAATATTAAGTGAATATTTATTATCGTGGTTGATATTTGAATTATTTTATGTTTTGTTTTTTCGCCATGAGGTATTACATCGGATCAATATCATCCACTTGAAACAGAAAAACAAAATCACCCATGTGATGATTATTGTGAAAGAGTAATGAATTGATTTAGATTCGTTTCGTTTTTATTTGCATAATTTCTCTATGTTTAGTACGAAGAATTTATTCAAGATCATAGTAAAGACTTATCACGTATAGCTGTTGGTAATCGAACAGCAAGCGATGTATTTTTACATTTAATTGCACTTACAAAAAGACAAGGTGAACCAATGTTAAATAAAGTACTGGAAAAAGCATCGAAAACGATTAAGTAAAAGACTGTTGTGATTTTCCTAAAACATAAAATATCGTTTTTTTTTTGATAGATTTACAATTATCGAAGCATTTGTATCAGCACAAACGCCAGCTTCGTTGAATGCAGTTTTTAAAAGTTTAGACAGCTCCAAGAATAAAGGTGAATTAACTGAAGTATTTCTTATGGCGAGTGCATTTGCACCAAGACCATCAGAATTGTTACTTGAGAAAGTTTTGGTATTTAAATAATATCATTTTTGAAATAGATTCTTTTAATTCGTATGTTCTTCTTCTAAGGAACGATTGCCAAAATTCGCATCCATGGATAGTCAAATTGAACAAAGCGCTTATTTAGCATTGGGAGCAATTGTCAATAGATTGTTTGATGCAAATAAAAAATCAGCTGTAAGTATTGAGCACAAGTTATTATTTCGACGATTCCATCGACCAATAGTCAAATGAAAGAAAAAACATCTTTTACAAATAATAATCAACGTTTTTTGTGGCAATGTCAGACATAAGCGAATCAGCAATGCTCTAATTACCTATCTTAGAAATACAGCAGAGTTTTACTTAAGCTATTTTTATACCAACTTTGTGAGTCTAACGCATATATATGCCGTAACAAAGTCTTCTTTTGGAAATCACCATTAACTTATTCATAGAAAGATTGACTTCTGATATCATGAAATTCGTTTTTAGGCTATTGAAAAATATACAACACTTCTTCATAATACTAAGAAAAAATCGTTAGTTTATTTATCGTTATATAATGCTAAACTTGAATTGTACGAATCAATGATTGTCGATGAAATTCGTCGTTGTAATGATACAGCTGTTTGTTGGTTAGCATTGAACGCGTTAAGTCAATATAATCCAGAAAAAATTTCCAAACATATTATTGATATTCTTCGCTCAATTTATCATGAACAAGCAGGAAGACCAAAAACAAATTTACAAATTCGACAGATTTGCGGTCAACTTTTACTTCGAACAGATATTTCAATTGGTGATCTTGTTAATCTTATCGTAAGAAATTGAAGATCTCAATAGTCATTCAATTTAAAAGTATTTTCTTGTTTTAGCTTTCGGCTCTTGATAAAACAAATCATCAATTGGGCGCCTATATGTGGCGTTTGATTTCTTCAACGGCTGAACATAATGAATTACTTTTTCGAAAAATGAAATATATATCTAACGGTGGTTTAATTGATATGACATATGATAGTATAGCTTATAAAGGCCAATCAGACTTTTATCGTCGACCATTTGTAGAAACATTTGGGTTTGGTGTTTATTATACAGTATCACAGCTAATGAGTCGTTTGGGAGCTTTACGTGAAAGTGATTTTGATCTTCATATTCAACAACATGAGAAAAATGAGAAATTTAATCTTCTATCAGTAAGTTTTCAAGAAGATACCGAAAGTTATTCATTATTGTTTCGGTTTTTTTAAAGTTTGGTGTAAGTGCCTCAGGACTTGAAGCTTATGTTAGTGATGATGGAAAAGCAAGTGATACAGGAGATGAAAATCTTCAAGCAGAATTAAGAATTTCACTTTTAAACATGCAATTACGACCTGTTGTATTGTTCAATGGAGTTACAGGATTAATGTCTGCTGTTTGGAGTGCACCATCAGAACTTACATCAGCATTTAAAGTAAACTATAATCATAGATTTTTGATAATTAAACAGTTTATTTGACTCTAGAGTAATGTAATGGTTCATGATTTATCTCGTTATATTCATCTTCACAATGGTTTTGTTGTTCATTATGAAGCTCAAAGTGCGGCTTCACTGGACTTATCTGGCATGGCCTCGATCAGTTTATGGAATAAAAATTCGCATTCAGTTATTCGCATCAGGTTTGTTTTTCGTAATAACTATTCGACTATCGACATATTTATTTGTTTTAGCTCGGGCCTAAGTGTTCATAGTCATGTTGATATTTTAAACGATTTCGTCATAACTGGTATTAATGTAACGATCAATACTAATGCTGTGGTGGATTATACAACGGATGTTGATTATTCCGAGGCACCGATTAGTGTTTGCATGCAAATGAGTGTACATCCAACGAAAGTTTAGTAAGTTACATTTAAAATTGGATTTGAGAAAGCATTCTATGCGTTATTTTCATTAGTGATCACGTGGAAAATTTCTATTCATTGAAACGAACAAAAGCTTTGCGATGGTCTGCAAATCGTACACGTCATGTACTTGGTCAAGATTATAAATTTACGCCGAAAAATGATGCCATGTGTCGACAAATTCATTTGATTAAATAATTTGGTTTCCGTCTTTTTCTTTTTTAGAATAAAAAAACAAATTCATTATGTTAGGCTCGAACATTATTGAAAAAGTTTCTTTCTTTTTATCTAGACGAAGTCAGTACAAGTTTTATAGGTTTCTTCTTTTTACAGACGAGATACTGCATTTGTTTAATGTGTGAAACAAAATGATTATGTCGTAGTTACATTTCTTTCAAATCATAATAAAAGCTGATAGACGACAGTCACTCTATGAAGACTTGTATGGTGAAGCTATGGAAGAAAGATTCTTTTCTATCAGAAAGGAGTGCGAAAACGTTTCTAGGACACGAACATCGCTATGGCGAAAAAACACTTGAATTGGCTTTTCTCTGCTCAATCATCGTTTTTATTAAGATTACACCTCAGAATGTGTTGTTTTTACTCTGGCACTTAGCGAATGAATGAGTTTCGAGGTATCTTAATGAAAGAAGCTATAGATACAAGTTAGATATTTTTGTTGTGCAGTTTATTTGATGAAATTTGAACACTTAATTCAATAAACACATTTGCATATCTAATACTGGACGACAATTTTTCAATGAACAATTATCTCAATCCTGAAAGGATGAGTCTTCACAACGGAAATTCGTCTGTTTGTCCGGTGTCTGATTGGTGGGTCAGGGAACCAATAGAAATCGAGTTTTCTGGAAAACAACCAATGTGAGAAAAAGTGAAAAAGTGCATTACTTTCGATAGATAGCGTGAGTTTCTCATATCATATCAACTTAATTATTCAATTTCAATTGGCATGAACATCTTGTGTATGTGTAAAACAATACCTTTGTTCTTGATTGGTTATTGATATAGTTGAGAACGTTCGCTTTGCTTAATCACTAATATATATTAAAGAATAACTGTGTTCGTTTTCCATTTTTGACGAAATTGATCAACCTATTTGAACAAAATCATTACTTGTGATTATAAAACTATTCTGTGAATTATTTTTATAGATTAAGATTCCATATTTAAACAAATTAACTACCATTATGTCAGAAGTGCACAATCATTATTATTTTGATTTTACAATAAACGTAAGTTTTCATTTATGAAAAGTGTTTTTAATATTTAAAGGTACGCAACAAGAAGAAAAGTTAAGATACCTTAATGAAATTCAATTTACATATCGATTTGACATTTGGAATGAAAAAAAATAATTTGTAGGTTGTACAAAATTGAGTTTCTTTTCCACCTGTGAGAGAAATTGGGTACCTTTATAACTAAAGGATCTTTCTTCTCCTCATGAATACCAAAATTTTGTTTCTCGTCTCATAAATAAATAGGTATAGATATTATAAGATCTTTGGCATTCCTATTCAAATGTAATATGGGATGAACTCTAGCATGAAAGTTGGATAACTTGTCTTTGTATGATCGCATGAATTTTAGTACATCATTTGTTGATTGTCTGACGGTATTGATGGGAAACTATAGTGGTTTTCTTTTTATAAAAATGATAAAAGAAAAGATATTGCGGTGTCTCTTTTCTTTACTTTGACAATCTTATTTGGCTATTCATGTAAATGCAGAAATATAAAAATAGTGTACAGTTATGTGAAAATTTCAACTTATATTTCTAATTGTCGTTAAAAAATTGTTAGTCTTCTGTCTTGAATTTACATACTAATTGTCTTTCTGTAAATTTAACATTCATGAAGTGAAAAACATCAGAAATCGAACGTCATTTTTTCAACCGTTTCTTTTCTTGAAAGAAAAGAGATTTGACTTCGAGTTCGTGATACATTTTGTAGATTTCGGAGTCCAAAACAATATATGGGAATATATAGTGTCCGGTAATACACAATATCTTCACACAGCATTTCTAATTTGTATTGAAAAGAGGTAACGAATGAAAAACGTTCCATTTTGCGAAAAGAGAAAGCAGAAGTTTCGAAGTTCAACACCAAACATATTAATTTTTCAAAGACTAGAAAGAAAATAGTTTATAAATTTATTCAGCATCATGACTGGTTTGAATCTGTGCACTCTGCAATATTACAGAAATTTCCGTAATCTATCCATTGATACCGGAGCTTGTGCACTATTTGTATTTCTGAAAATCTTTTTTTCTAACTAAACAAAGTATAACACTATATTCTAATGCATATTTTTCAGCTTTGGGAAAATATACAATATACTTTATTTTGCTGTAGGATAAATTTCCATGTTTTAAGACACGAATAATATCATATAATACTTTTCAATATTTCTTACTCCGTCAGATACATGTACATACTTGAATCTATTTTACAATGTTCAAGTGAAATACATATTTTTGCAAGTTATTTCTCTCGATAAACTCCCAAATGAATTGATCAAAGTCTCTCACATTTGATTTAAGTTTATAAAAATATTTTCAAATATTTGAATAGAAGACATAATTTCTAATATTTCTAATTTATTCACATTGTCTTATTCCACAAATAAAAGAAACAATTTCACTAATCTTCTCGACGCATTTTATAGAGATTCAATTTTTTTCCATGCATATAATACTAACGAAAAATAAAAATTAATCCTAGAATTTTCATAAAAGAAATAAGTTCGAGATTTTTATCAGAAACATTCGACCGCTTCATATGATTCACCGATATTCGAATACAGACAAAGAATTGTTTTAGTCATCATATTCGCCAGATAGATATTCTCTTTATTGATCATTCTTGTCGCAGTGATTTTTCTTTCAATAATATATCAAGACGATACGTCAGTAGACATAGTGTCATTTGTTCATATATGACTATGCATCACTAAGGCGTACATCACTGAAGAAACATACTTGATTTTAACACTACTTTTTAAATTTAGATTAGCGGCAATTGTTGCTCGTGTTGTCTTTACTGCTGCTGCCAAAATATCTCCTCACCCAGGTCGTGGACGTACGGCGGGAAACGGCCGGAAAGCACAGGAAAGCGCTGGGGAGTGGAAGCAGTATTCCAGTTGGAAGTTACCGGATTTTTTTCTTGTAGATTCCGATCAACTTCCAGATGTAAAACACAGAAAACTGACCGGAAAACACAGGAAACTGACCGGAATCCACAGGAAAAAAATCCGGTAACTTCCAACTGGAATACTGCTTCCAGTTTCCAGTGCTTTCCCGTGCTTTCCGGCCAGATACGGTGATTTTTCCGCATCTTTCCGGCCGGTGTCTACAGTATCCGTCCTCCGGAATCATTGACCTGGGTCGTCTCAACTTTCAAACAGAAAATTCCTGCACCTTTGAAAAATGTCGAAATATGATGTACCAAGAGGAAGTTTAACGTTGAAGTATTATTATTAAATCATATTCACAAAAATACGTTTTTGACAGTAAAAAATTGAAAAAGAAAACCTTGACAGAATACGTATACGTATTTCATGACATCTCCAACGAGAGAATAATAGTCTACAAGAGGTTGAATCGCAGCTGTTATAGCACGCTGATCTTCCTCCTTAATCGGGACTAAATTGAATACGTATATGGCGAATTATTAGTGACTTAAGCTATTGAAACTGCAATAGTTGCAGCCATGAGAGTATAGGTTTTTAGTCACATAACATTCCTTTATAAAGCTCTTTCAGTTAATCCAGACTATTAATAGATATTGCTCGTCACCATAATAACTGATTAAAACTCTAGACGAGTTGAGTTATACGAAAACCAATGAATTATACTAATTGACGGTCATCATTTATGGAAAATATAACTGTTTTTTTAGTATTTATTTTTCATTTCAATATTGCATGTGATATTTTTCTATTACGGTAAATGTTATTTTTTCATTTTTGGCAACATGGCATTGCCTCCAAATTTTTATCTAACGAACAGTTGTAAACAAGCTGTACTGATTGTTCTCTCTCATCTTTCGGAGGGAGCCAACAAAATCTGTCAGAGAGCCCGGTCCCTCCTGCTCCTACGCTAGATAAAACATTGGTTCTATTTTAATAACATTATATTTATTAACAGTTCTAAAAATCTACCAGAAGCAAAACGTCCCAGGGGGGGGGGGGGGGGGGGGGGGGGGGGGGGGGGGGGGGGGGGGGGGGGGGGGGGGGGGGGGGGGGGGGGGGGGGGGGGGGGGGGGGGGGGGGGGGGGGGGGGGGGGGGNCATTATATTTATTAAAAGTTCTAAAAATCTACCACAAGCAAAACGGCCCATGCCCCCCCCCCCACTCACTGGATAAAACACTGTAGATAAGAGACTTACCTCGAGAGTTCAATGGCATACCATTAATATATACTTCTGTGCCATCATCATCATTTTCCGACGTTGTCGAGTTTGGAGTACGGGAAATGAAACCTGGAGGAGGCAACTAGTATGGTGGACACAAAACATTTGAATCGATATTATGTAAATCATCTGAATTAATGGAGGATGTGCTACTGGTGAGGCTACTTGACACTAGTAGAGATAAGCAAAACTTTTAATTACATCTTATTTAAAGTAAGAATATTAACATAATGATGAATCCGAATCAGCTCGTCGAAGTTTTTGACGTGTTGAGCGAACTGGAACAGCATGACATATAGTTTTTGTTTGTTGATCAGGTTCAAGTGTACTATCCAATTTAATTTTCAGTTGACTAAGATCATCGATCACTAGATTTAATGAATAGACAATTGTAACCATAGCTACTCATCTGCTAATATTTACCTTTCAACTTATCGATATCAAACAATGTGTCAATAAAATTTAAATCAACAGTATATTTACTGGATGCAATCGATGATTTTTCATGTATATCTAGACGCAACCTGATGATTTGAAGCAAAAAATCATTTAAATCTATGAGCGTCGATAATGTACCTTGAATATTTTATCAATTGAATTATCTAATACAGGAAATAGTCGGCCACCTAAAAGAAGTTGTTCACCGCCATAACCCATATCATCAATTTCTTTTGTTGATTTATTGACTGTTCTTGTTTTAAAGACACCTACAAAAGAAGAGAATACAATAGGAACTTTACATCAAAATATTTTCAGAAGGCCAGATTCAAATAATAAATGAAATCAAACGCATAGAAAGTGAGCACCTATAGAGAGGTAAATAAATCTCAGTACAATCATGTTGTGTTTTGCATAATAGTGAGTTAGTTAAGTTTCTTCCTGTGTCATCGTCAACAGCCTGCTGCTCGACAAATTCTCACATCTATGTCAATTCAAGTCACCACGTTTCCGTTTAGATGCTAAAGCTTTGCGAGTAGGAGACGTCATAACAATCTTACGTCCAATATTTGGTGGTGTAACTTTGATCCTACAAAAAAGCAAGGTACATGAGTGTCCCTTATTTAAGAAAAGAACTCACGGTTTATTATCCGTATTAATCTGAGATGCAAATGCACAGAAAATCCTCGTGCAGCAGTGACAAACTTCATGGATCAGTTTGATGACGCCAAGAACAACATGAAATTTATATTCTTCAATGTGTGGTTCGATTGCCAAAATATATTAAATACCACTGCAACAAAGATGAATAGCATTGTATGAATAGAATTAGTTTTTTTTACTCACCAACTGACTAATGAATATTTGACACGGTTGACTTTCATTGTAATTGAATGTCTCACATTGCATAAGAACATTATCTACATTTAATTTATCAACACAAACTTGTAATTTCAGTTGAGTGCATTCTTCTTGAACAAATTGTTGTAATTCATTACAATCTCTTGTACGACTTTTGACAATTTCAGCACACAATTCATTTAGAACATGATGTTGAAACTGATCGTGATTGATAATGATTAACGCACGTGCAATGATATAATTTATAAATGGATATTGAGTAGCCAAATCTGACGAAAATCGATCGAGTGTTAGCTAAAATATAAAAACTCTCTTTTTAGTTAGTTCTCAAACAAATCACAATTACTTTAAACATTTCAGGATCAATAACTCATTTTGAATTATTGAGTTTTAAAATTTGAAAAAAATTATCGTTTTCAGTATTTCTTGCTTTATGGTATGTATACCAAGGATTGCAATGGAATTTCGAAACAAAATGTGTTTGTACGCTCTGGTTAACCAAGGAAAATGTACATGTACACTTTATTTTCACAAGCCAAGTGTATCAAGATGTACCCAGGACAATGATTCCTGAAGCAGTATTCCGTGAATTTCCGGAGAAAACCTGCAAGAAACTCGCTGTTTACGACCGGAACCCACCGGGAATTGTTCGGAATTCGATGCAGGTATACGGAAACCGTATCCGGCTACCAGTTTTGACAGGTTCCTGTCGATTCCGGCCGGAACCGGATAAATCCGGTCACCGGATCCTTTCACCGGAATACTGCTTCCATGAAATCTCCGGAATGCCACAGAACCGGCCGTTTCTGGGGTCGGAATATTCGACCTGGGTACACGCAGAAATTTATTATATAATCTACAAAAAACTAAATGTTCATTTTTTTATCTCATCAAAAATATATAACAAATATAGAAGATTGTATAAACAGCACATAAATTTTTCACATTTACTACTAAAATCATCATACACATAAGTTTTAAACTGTACTTCAGGTTTCTTTTCCCATTCATGCAAATATTGTGTACGATGTTTTGTTCGAGCAGATGGTAATGTTTGTTTTTTAACACCTGTATTAATAGAAGAAATGTAATTATGATAATTTACAAACTTGCGGATTTATGATCTTTACCTTCACTAATTATTTCATAATCAGGTTTATCTGATAATGTCGTCGATGATGATAAAGATATTGTCTACAATAAAATAATTTTTTTTCATGAGAATATAAATCAAGTTTGGTTCTTACTATAGAAGATGATGAACCATTTTGTGGTTCTATTGGGAATGATGATGATGATGATAAACCACGTTCTAGTTCTACTAAAAATAAAGACGGATCACGTTGTGGTTCTACTGAAGATGATGATGGACCATGTTCTAATTTTGCAATTGAAACTTCATTTTTATTTTTGCTTAGGGATGTGCAGTGTCGGTTTACTGAGCACCGACTACACCGACAGTGTGCTCAGTGGAGCACTGACTACACTGTCACCGATGCCACTGATACACTGATTTCACTGACACCGACTCCACTGAGAACACCGACAAATTCTAGTTGACTCAAGTTGTAATACAGCTACTGTGACATTTTTCGAAAGCAAAATGCGCCTGTGAAAGAAGTTTACATTAACTGACGGTATGCGCGTATGCGAGTAAAACAAAACGTAATGCAATCCATTAAAGCTTCTTGTATAATTTAAAAATACAGATTTTTCAATATTATTATATCCTTGACAAAGATAGAGATGCCTATTTCACTATAATGTATTGCAAACTACCATTAAGGTCACCCCCCCTCAAAAAAAGTCGATTTTCGTCAAAAAAATGAAAATTGAGATAACGCCATGGGGTGATAGCCCATGTTCTGCTCTTTCAGAATCACTATAGTTCTTTTCCAAAGACCATTTTTGACCGAAATTTTTAGTGATCTTTTAGAGGTCCTCTATGCCAAAAACGGCAGTATAATTAGGTCTTTGATCTCTAATGACTATTTAATTAACTAATTAAGCGCTCAGCATGTGCAGAATTAAAAGTTACGTAGAACAAGTTAGGTCAGTTTCCTCAAAAAAACGCGTGAAAATTGCAGAAAATTTAAAAAAACAGCAAAAATTTCGAAAAAATGTTTTTATGCTTTTCTCAAAATCATGTTTTTCCAATTTTCACCCTAGTTATTTTGCCTTCAACTATGCTTTTTCGAAATTTTTTTTCATTCGATAGAGCATGCAAAGACGCAGGGCATGATGTTCTCCGGTTTTTTAAAAAAGCTTTTTTTATGCCCAAAAAAGGTCGCCTACAAAAGTTGCATGCAGTTTTTTGGCCTTTTTTGAAGCACTTTTATTTATGCAAAATTTTTCGGCTTATAAATGGACTTTTGAAAAAATCGAAGAACGCTATGCCCTGCATCCATTTGCATGCTCTATCGAATGAAAAAGAAAATTTTTCGAAAAAACATAGTTGAAGGCAAGATAACTAGGATGGAAATGGACCATTTTTGACCAGTGTTCACTTTATAACTTCCTTAAACTTGCATATTTCGGGCTGAAATTTTTATCGTAGGCTACCCGATCCAGTCCTAACGTATCCTGAGAATTTCAGCCGATTTGAACTTTCTTTGGCGAAAATCGAGTTTTGAGGAGGGAGCTTAAAATCGGCAAAGATGTATACTTTGACGGGTGCAGTGACTCAGATCTCCACTGAGCACACTGTCGGTGATATCAACCCCAGTTTTTCGGTATTTACACCGACACTGCACATCTCTATTTTTGCTCTACAATTCATATAATTTTACTTGAGTTTTACTCATTCAAATCTAAAATAAAAATAATAAAAATGTTCATCATTGACGTAATTTAAAAAGTTCGATTAACAACAATCTACATCGATATTATATTATATTGCATTGCATTACATTTATTCATGGAGTCATGAACGCTTAAAATTAAAATTACAACAATCAAGTAGACGAGACAAAAAAAGAGAATATTTCTTGATGGAGAAAAGAAAAGGAGAATAGGACCAATAATAAAATTAATCAAAAGAGGCCATGCGATATATTTTATCGCCGATTCCTCTTAATGCTAATGTTATTTCAAATAAAAGTAGTGTTTTTATAAAAAGAAACAAAGTGTAAATTTTGTAGATCACATCCCAAGACACTCGATCCTGCCGGAGCCCATCGGAACCAGCACCGGATTACTCCAGAAGCTGGCATGTTTTCCACTCAAATTTGCCAGGATCCGACAGGGATTTCGCCGGAATCTCTGCTTCCGGAATCCGGACCGAAATTCAAAGGAAAGTGATCAGGTCGTTTCCTGCCGGATAACACAACCCAACATGGTCACAACCCATCGACCCGGACTACCGGATGATTCCAGCTCACAAGGGCTTCAGCACATATTTGACGGGATTCCATCAAATTCCGATGAGAAGGACCTCATAAAAAATCTCTGATACAATCGTTCTTTAATCACAAGATGAATCAATTGTAGTCTTCAGAAACACGCACACCAACCGAAACGACAACGGCTGATGAATAATGGCACATAATCCAAATCCTCACCGCTCAAACGGGTCCACCACAAACATTTCCCCCAACACCAATCGCCCTAAGAAACATTATAACCCGAAACCAACAACATCTGACTCACCAATACACACACTAAGAATGATCCAGAATCAACCTACTATACATCGTATTCATTAAACACATTATAAATCCGTTTACTGCGTCATTTTGTTGCATTTAAGTTCATGAAAACATCGCTCCCAACATCATTTTCCATCCATCGAAATCATTAATAATTCATAGAAAATCAATCCGAATATCATTCTGGAACATCACCGCTAACTTTTTCACCAATTATTATAATTCCAAACATCACTAAAGACTAATAATTGCGCACATTAATCAAGCGAAGATAGCTCCAATATCATTTTGCACCCATCGAAATAATTAATAAATCATAGAAAATGCATCAGAGTATCATTTCGGATCATCACCGCTTTCTTTTTCATCAATCATTACCATTGTAAACATCATTGAAGAGTTATCTTGTTGCATAAACACGAACGCAAAATCACTCCAAACATAATTTTCGAGGGATCGAAACATTCACTAAGACATAGAGAATCGTTCAGAAAATCATTCTCGATAGTTTCAACGTAGCTTTTCTTCGTGAAACAAGATTCTGAGTGTCATACGAAAACGATTTAATGGCATATGGAATTTTTAATATTATGTGTAAGCAACATTCGAGCGTCCGCAAAAACGTTTGTTGGTGATTTGAAATGATGCTTTTGGTATTGTCAGACCGAGGAAACACGTGTAACGCGTTTTAAATTTTGTCGAGTTGCATGGACGAACAAGATAGTATGAGTATATAGCAAGTTTATCTTACCCTGGGTAATCATTAATGGCTGTAGATTTCGGATTAGACCAGGAGTCGATCATAGAATTAAATTATATTAGCTGGAGTTATGATAAGCGAGTTGAGTGAGATTCATTCGGGTCGATAACTTCGCGCAGCATCAGTAAATACTTAATCATGTTGCTCATGTGGATTGATTTTTCATAAATAAGCTATTGGATGAGCCATAATTTTTAATTCATGCTTTTCATCGGTTGTGTGATCTGTTAACTAAGGGTCGGAATGCATCACAAGATTTTCCTTTAGCATCTAGTAATTAGTTACAGATGTTGTCGGTCAGATCTGTGTTGTAGTAAGTGGCTTAATCCGGTGAGTAGGACCGGTCGGTTCTGATATGATCCGATTGGTTCCGGTGAGGCTGATAAAGCCGGGTCTACCATGAAATCGAGCGGTCTTGCGGCACGGTGGATTCCGGTAAAGTTTCGTTACCGGATATTGTCGGATCACGTCGTATACGGCCCAATCGTATCATCTGACCTGATATTTTCCGGCAATGTAGATCTGGCTGGTTCTCGGAGAATCCGGTAACCAGATTTGATAAGAAAACAAAGAAAATCATTGGAATTCACCAGAAATTAACCGACCGAATCCGGTCACCATGTTACATCGGAATTATAACCTGTCCGACAAGAACCGACTGATCGATAATGTCCTATGGAGACTATCAAATTCGATACAATCCTTAGAAATCTCAACAGAAACCAGATAACATGATCATTATATCTCAGAGTGAATTGATTAACGAAGACAATAGCTGGAAATTTCAGTGATTTGTTTTTCAAATTTTTCTAAAAGAAAAACGAATGATTTTAATGAATTTATTCGATTACCGAATAATTTTAATCTCAATAATCACAAACCTCTAGTCTTTTCAGTTTTAATTCAAAACTAGAAATACATGAATCTTTTTTCCGACTTCTTGGCTCAATAAGTGATGAGTACAATGAATGGTGAACCAATCTATTATTCGCATGTCCTAGCTTGGAGTACTATATCAATTGATACTGACTCATATAGGAAAAAGTATCGATGGCATAAATGAAAATCAATCAAATGTTGATGAGGTTGACTGAAAACTCTCTGACTTTCCATTTAGGGGCCGTTTCTCGAAACAGCTCTATAGAAAGTTATGAAAACTTTCAGATAGACAGATATAGAAGTTGCAAAATAAAAAAAGGCCAAAAGTTTACATCTTTACAAATCGATGTCTTATTTTCCCGAGCTGAAGTTTATTTTATAGTAAGTACGATCAAAACTGAATGCATCTTTTTTTTTGTTCTTGAAAGATCATTTCTGTAACTCAGAAGATGGAATATACTGAAGATACGGTCAAAAAAATACGTTTTCGTGTAATCGTGCTAATTTGATAAAAGCTACGAAATATCCTAAAAATAACAAGTAGAAGACAAAACCTTCCACGTACCTCAATTTTATGAAATTACTTAAAATTAAAACTTCAGCTCAATCAGATGCACATTGCGGGAGAAAAGCGGAAAAGAACTTGTTTTTGTTGAAAAACTAATTCTGATAAAACGAGGAATAAAATGTCTTGTATATATTGGGTCATGTTTTTTCTGATTTGATTGATCGAAAACACAATTCGTTCAGTGATGTTACGGATTCCTTTACTAAAGATTTTGAAAGTTGGATTTAATACATGAACTAGCTAGCAATGAAGTCTCATTTCAATGGTAATCGAAAAGAGATACATTGGAGCCATGTTAGCGATGAGAAATAAAAAATTGAAAATGTTTTTATTTTCATTTGAGAAAATTGGAATGTTCTTACAATTAGACTTTCAGCCCTCGAGAAAAAATTTCATCTGATTTGAATCGATTACTAATAACAAAAAATTAATTGAAACCTCAGTTTTTCATTTCTACTTCAATAGAGACAAGTAAGTTTTTCTCAAAGTGTTACAACCGGCTGCAGCGTTCGCGTCTCATTCATCGACCCAAACATCTATTTGCCAGTATTCAGTCGGTAGTCATAGACAAATATGTATAATGGATCTCCTTTTCACGTAGGGTAGCATCAAGCACTTCAGAATCTTAGTATGATACTAATATCCATGTTTGCGTAACTATTATAATTATTTGCTTATATAGCAATAGATTTATTTCGTCAGTAACTATTTACGGTAGACTCTTCTAATACTGAGTGAATTTATAACAACGTTTTATGAAAATATCAATACTGTTATTTATAAGTTCGCAAATGATTAATGAAATAAAGAGAATTCCAAAGATTGTTTCCTGAAGTACGTATGAAATCAAATTTTAGCCAAATTTTAAAATTAAAATAGTGTACTGACAGACAACAGCTCCCTAACTTAATTCAGAAATGAATTATTTCAATTGATCATTTGATTTAAACTACTTAATGTAGCGAACTATGTACAACTCATTAAATAAAACAGAATAAATTCTATGGGATAGGCATTTCTTATTCAATGTACCTAAAAGTAAGAAACAAATTCAAGTATTTTTGGAAACAAAGAACAGGCGTTCTATTTTGATGTAGATGAATCGATCGTAAGAAATAAAATAAAAGGAGACCGCAGTCGATACCTGTTGACCAAAAAAATAGTGCCATGTACGAGTCGAGGAACGAGTGCCAATTGTAGCTAGAATACCAGGCATGGTGACAAACGCCATTATAATTTATTCGATCTGAAAGCATTTAAAAGTCGGATAAACTTCATGGATCTAGGTTATGTTATTTTAGGTAGTTTCATTCGGTTTCTGTATACCGATGAAACATTGGAGTCTTTTTATTTCAGTAAAATTTAACAAAGCATTAATTACGCTATGGAATCATTCACTTTTCATTTCATTTGTTGTGCCTCTTCAGAGAAAACTCGATTAAATTCAAGTAGCAAGAAACGAAACCTTTGCATGTTCATGATTCATCAACTTGTGAAAACTATATCCTTTGGTTAAGAAAGCTTTACATTGAAGAGAATCAATAAAACTAACCTTAGAAAAAAACATTCAGGAAACTACAGTAATTTGAATTTAATGAGAGAGTAAAATATTACTATTACAATTTAGTCCTTTATTGTCTTTATGAAAGTTCAAGTTAATATTATTTGTCACAAAATGTAACCGTAAGATCCGAGGAAACCAGATTAAACTGATACATATCTATAGAGAAACCAGGGATCTATCGAAAAACATATACTAATAAATAAAAAATTTCTATTAAGATGAGTAACATTTTCTCAGATATAACCTAAAGAATTTAATGAAAGATAGTTGCGAAAAAGCTTTAAAAAGTGATCAAGTTTTGAGTAAAAATAAAAAGTAAGTCCGAAGAGAAATACTTGATTTCGTAGAGAAACGAATGGTTTGGCTATCTATATAACAATGGAAAATGCTCAATACTCAATTAGAAATCAGTTGCTGGAATAAAACGATAAAACTAAGAAATTACCTAAATTATGAATGATGCAAAGATGCTTATGATATGATTTTCAGAATTTATCAGTTTTTATCAAGATATCGATTAAATAAAATGAAAACTATATGATTCCGTGTAATGATCAATGCTCTATGGAATTACATTAAAATAGAAAATCTATGAAGAGATGTACAAATATAGAAACTTAACCATAATTTGCTATAGACGTGATAAGTAAAAGTCACAAGATTTCAAAAAATATAACTGAATAAAAATGAGCTGTAACAACTAAGAGTAGACTATTTATATTAGTCTAATTTTCAGCATACAACGCATCGTTTAAGTATAAAAACCGAAGGTTTTAATAATGCTGATAATTCATTTTTTTAATAATGCAAGTAGTTAATATAAACTACTTCAATTGTGTGCTAATTGAATACTACTAGAAAAGGTATTCCTTCTTCTTCTCACAATGATAGGAGTGATGGCATAATCCCATTACAACGGGTAACGACTTTTCTAGTACAACGCGAGTCCTCACTGTGATTCCCTAAAATAATTCCCTCGCGCAGAAAACGCAGTGCCACTGCACTGCATTCCCTATGACTATATGATGGAAGTTGAGGAATGTGAGTGAATTTGGTGTAATGGCTTTTGGTACAATGACTATCGATATGACGGTGTGGGTGTGCTTGAGAAGATACGACACCATCACCTACTCCTACACCCTCAAGAAAAAAACTTGCTGGTAATGAAAAAGCATCTCATTCAATTGTATTCGATCTCAGCATTTTTGAATACGTTTAATATAAGACCAGGTCGTTGGGATCGTACTGATGTACGGTAGGCAAAGTCTAGTAATAAAGTGCTCACTAAAAGAAAATGTATCATATGGAATTATGAAAGGTTCTTGTTAGCCCACTGAAATTTTCAAGATTCCATCGAGTTATCACAAAATCGTCGAAGTTTCTAGACAATGAAAAGAACCATTGCACATAAAAGATTATATTCAAAAGAAAGGATTTGAAAACTGCCAATACTGTTAAAGTTATATTATTTTATTTTTAATTATACTAACAAATATTACAGAAGATACTGATCATGTCAAGTATTATTATTCCTTTGAATTTCTATTAAATTGATTATTGCACTAAGCGCAAAAATTTCTTATTCAGACCTAGATCTTATTAAAACAAATTTGCCATGAAATCCTATAGAAGATATTTCATTTAACAAATGTAAATCATTTTTAAATTATCTAACTATTGATGAAATCAGTAAGGCGACTGATAAGTACCATTTAAAGCCTAATTTTTTTTTTTTAGTAGATGTGAGTCAACTATAATTTTTATAGGTACTTTTTCCATCTTTGTCATCGTTGGCTCTAAAAAAATGATCGATATGAAAGTATGATGGTCAATAAAACTCCTTTATTCTATAATACAAATTTTATTTATTAATTAATACATATTTAATCAATTAACAATGAAAAATAAAATCGATTGAACTAGTAAATAGATAAAACATAAAAGAAAACTTAGAGGAAAGAAAAGAAAAGAAAAAGAATCGAAAAGTTCGTATGAACAAAAGAACGACTATAGACAAGAAAATGTATGATAAGAAAATTGGTCGACATGTCCGCCGAACTTATAGATTCTTCAATCGATTTAATTTGTTTATCGACACAAACAAAGTGACGTCACAAATGAACAAATGAATAATCGATGACAGAAGTTCATTGTTTTGTTATTGTTTCCTTTATTTAAATAATTCGATATCTCTGTAAATACGTATTTTCTAATAATCCTTTTTTATATTTCTAGTAAAAATCATAAAAAATGTTATCTGTTGTTTCTGCTCATTCAATAGCTGGTCTTACTGATGTTTGTTATACAAAAGATGGAAGGTGAAGATGATTTTTTTCCTATCCCTGTATTATTTGAAAAATTAAATTAAATTATTTTTAGTCATTTTTTAACATGTGGGCAAGATGGAGATATTCATGTTTTCGATACTAAAACCGATCAAATTGAACATATACGCTGTGCTGATCAATGTTTTTGTCTAGCTGTCCACGTAAGTCTTATAGAAAACTTTCAGAAATAAACCGAATTTGTTTTTCTTTAAATTTTCCAAAAATAAAAAGGAATATCATATTTTTGTTGGAACAAATCGAAATGAACTCGAAGTTCGCTCATATCCGCATGGTGATTCACTTCCAAGTCTTGCCCACTTTACTCAACCGGTATCGGCATTGGGTTTATCGAATTCGTTACTGTTTATTGGAACAAAGTATTGATGAAAATTTTGTTTTTTGTTTTTTAATATTTAACTAAATGAATTTTCTTAAGAGATTTTAAAGTATTAATGATGAATTTAAATGATGATTCAAATAAATTCAAATATTTTGATGGACATCAAGCACCAATACTTTCATTAAATGTTTATGAAGAAAAACGATGGATTGTAAGAAATATTTTCTTTTGTTTTTCTCGTGAAAATAAAAATCTGTTTAGGCAACATCATGTTGTGATGGTTCTGTTCGAATATTTAATATTGATAAACAAAATTTAATAAAACAATTAAATATTATTCATAAATCCAATGATATTGAGTAAATTTTTATTGGAGAAATTTTTTTTTATTAAATGAAGTGAATTTAGAACGGCTTCATCGTTGGTTAAAATTGATTGGGATAAAAATGATCAAGTATTTTTATTTTTTGTTTTTTTAATAAATATTTCATTGACAAAATATTTTCTTTAGACATTGGCTATTCCAGTAAAGAATACAGTTCATTTTTATGAAACAGATAAATGGACAAGAAAAAAAACCTACGAAAATGATTCAATGGATCAAGTTAGTTTTTATCTGTTTTTAATCGAAAATTTTCAAATATTATCTATTTTAAGATAATTAATTTGATTAGTTTTTCACTATGTGGAACATTATTTATTGTTTCTTATGTGAATGGTCAAATATCAATTGTTAATCGTCTTACTTTTGATATCTGTATGATGTAAGAAAAGCAGTTTTTCTCATTAATTTCTTTTTGTTTATAAAATCTTTTATTTAAAGTTACTCATCAAAAGATGCTGTTTGTTCATTAGCATGGAATCCAACTCAAACAAATCGATTTACTTGTTCTACAATGGCTGTAAGTTCACTGTTTATTCTATTGACTTAATCTATCATTCAATAAGAAATTGATCAATTCAAATTTTACATAAAACAGTTTTATTCAATTTTTTTCAATGAAAGAGAGAAGAAGAAAAACATCATCATCATCATCTGTACTATTACGTATATTGAGTTGAACAAAATTATTCTCAATGCTTTAATTACTTCTCAATAGTTTCAAATGTATTAATTGTCTATCTAGTTGACTAATAAATATGAATCTTGTCAGGAGTTAACTTAATCTAAGGAGAAAAAAATCTACAATTAATAAATCATTTTTCACTAGTCACTATATTTATGTTGTAGAATTTTATAAGTTGTCAAAACTTATACACACAATTCATTTAAAAAGACTCAGGCCCACGTACAATATCTTTTAAAAACAGAAATCAAGATTGAATGTATTTTCAAATAGATAGATAAACTTATAATTCGAAATACTTCTGTTTTTTGTTCTTTCTTAAATTGGCACATTACTTTTCTTTTTGATTGATTTAAGGGTGAATATGCTCATGTTGATATATCTGAATATATTTCAAAACCAACATCAACATTAAAGGAAGAAAATGAAGTTGAAAACATGACAACAATGAGTGAAGATAATGGTAAAATTAAGAAAACATTTTTTTTCGAGTTAAAAAAACTAGAATTTTTTCTGATTAGAATCTAAATCTGAATCTCTATCGGATGATGATGAAGTGATAAAAGAAGATAAAGAAATAATTCCAAAATGGTTTGAACGCGCATCATCAATGATAAATGAAACAAAAACAGTTGAACTACAAGAATCATTTCAATCAACATCAACATCGAAATATCTTGAAAGTCGTTATTTATTATGGAATAATATAGGTGCAATAACATGTTATAATGAACAAATTCAAATAGCATTTCACGATGTATCTTATCATCACTCAATAACAATTGATAATAAAACAGATAAATATGATCTTGGTGATTTATCATTATCAGCAATTCTACTTGCTTCTTCACAAACAGGAAAGCTTTTATGTATTTTATATCAATCATGGGATTCAAATATGCGCCAATGGACAATAAATACAGAAAATAATGATAAGATAGAAAATATTAATTTATCTGAAGATTTTATTTCTATTGGAACATCACAAAGATTAATACGTTTATTTAGTTTATCTGGTATTCAACAAAGAATAATTCGTCTTCAAGGTCCAATTATTTCAATGTCTTCTTATCAGAATCAATTATGGATTATTCATCATTCAACACAAGGTTTGAAATTTTAAATACAAATCAGTTAATTTTAATTTAATGAATTCTAGGTCTTCCAAAAGAACAAGCGATTTCATATGTTTATTTAGATATTGAAAATGATTCTTATTTAACAGGTTCATTACCATTGACACCAAAAACAAAATTAATTTGGATCGGGTTCAGTATTTTATCTGATTCTTTAGATTTTTAATAAAAATTTATTTTAGTTTTTCTGATAGTGGAAAATGTTTTTATTTGGAAAAATCCGGTTATTTAAGTATGCTTAGACGTACAAAAGGGAATCAATTTGAACCATCGTTAATTTGTAATCTTAAACAAGAGGTTTGTTCAGATTTTTTTTGTCCATTTAAAAAGAAAAAAGAAACCTTTTTCTATTATTAATTAGGCTGAAAAAAATAACTTAGCAAATTATTGGTTATTAGGCGTAAATGATTTTGACGGAAAATTTCTACTACGTGTTATTGAACTACGTGGTCAATCATTTCCTGATCTGGTTCCATGGCCACTTGTTTCAATTGTTTCTCTTCCATTATCTTTATATGAAATTAATACTGAAAAAAGTCAACTTGAAGTACGATTTTATTAGCATCTTCTTTTTTTTATTTTAATATTACTTTTATTTTTATTAGAGTGACTATCTTAAGATAAAATTATTTAATAGTTCAACAGATAATGAAGAATATCTAAATAATGAACGACAATGTTTAATTAAAATGTTTGCAGTAAGTTTAGAAAATAAAAAATTATGTAAAAAAATGAAATACAATTAATTTAGTTATCATGCAAATTGAATAGAGAATATCGTGCATTTGAAATTTGTCAATTAATGGATTCGACAGCACTTCAGTTAGCAATTAAATATTCAACTAAATCAGGAAAATTAACGTTAGCTCAAAAAATAATTGATGAATTAGTCGATCAAAAAAAAGATGAAGAACAAACAGAAAAAGAAATAAAATATTCATCATCTGAAATTATACCTCCGTCTTTAATTGCATCATCATCATTATCATCAACTATTTCATTTTCATCAACATTTGAAGAAATAAAATCAAAACGTGCAAAAGTTGAAACAACAAATGCACCGTTCAATAATCCATTTCGAAAAAAGAAATTAATAAATATTCCTAATGAAACATCAACAAACGATGAATTTAGTCAATGGAAACCATCCATTAATACAACTCGTCTTTCATCAACAAATAAAACAACTGTTCAAGTAACATATTAATTTGAGTTTTTTCATTGAAATTTCATTTTTTTATATTTCTTTAGACTGATGTTCATAATGAAATAACAACTGAAAATGAAGATAACTCATTAAATGCAAAAAGAAAAATCGATGAAACTGAAAATATTAATGAAGAAACTACAAAAAATAAACGAAATCGTCTTCAACAATTTGCTTGTAATCGTTAAATACTATTTGTTGTATGCAATATGTAGATTTATTATTCAATAGAATCATTAACTAATCATTCAAATATTAAATAAAACTCTATGTTGTGACTATTTTTTGAAAGTGATATTTTGCTTATTTCGAAGTCAATAGTCAATACAAGTAGAAAAAGGAAATCTTGCATCGTTCTTTTCACTATTTTATAGCAACCTGGCACGTTGCCACATATGAATGTGTACGTTGATCCTCGAAATCTAGAACTTTGAACATAGCAGTATCTTTTTTGATCATTCTTTAACAATTAAAAACAGCGCTGAATAGTTGTAGTGACATGAATCAACTTCTTCGAAAATATTCTAAAGTCTTTCATGAAATATAAATGTCTTAAACATGTTTGTTTATGCTTGAAGCGAAAGGATTTCTTATTTTCGCCTATGTAAACAATTCTGTTGAAGATTTTAGCAAAATGATAGATCATTTTCTTTGGATTTATCAGTCTTTCTATGATTAAAATACAAAGTTGCAAATGATCAAATAGCAATTTTGTAACATTATCTATACTTTTTGATTGACTAGTCAAAAAAGAAGATCTGTGGGCACTGTCTTATTACCAAAACCTAGAAATTCATAATCCAGATAGAGAACACGTTGTCGACTAACTTATTTGTCTACGAAACATGTCGACAAGGTATCTGTAGACTAAATGCCTGTCGCCGAACTACCGTGTCACCGAGCTATCATGCCGAAGAATGATATATGCAAGTCATTAACAGGACCACATTTCATATTTTTGTGTTTCTTACGTTACCAGTACTTTGTTGAATCAAAAAATATTGGGCCCATCATTTTTTTCTGAGACAAGAGAGGTTTGTCCATTGGTCTTAAAATTCTGGTTACATCACTGTCTCAAACTTGAACATAAAATTATGATCGATTGTTTTTTTTATTTTTTTGTAGGTCATATATTTTCATGCGCATCTCCTATTTTCATAAACTTTCTGTGATTTTATTTTGCTCAATATTTGAGATAAATTAATCTATTTTTGGAAAAACAAATTTTCATACCATTGCTTGGTTTGACTCAGGTGTGAGTTCAAAAAATTGAACTCGTACAGAACTCTACTGTCTACCACTGTATATTGTTTCATGTTATCCCGGAATGCGGTGAGCCGTTTACGGCCATCATTTCCAAGTCTCAAACTATCGTATTTTCAGCCGAATACAATCTTAGATGTACCATATTGGTCGACCTGGGAATCAGAAAAATCAACAAGATCTGATTTCAGCTGTTTTCTGGTTGAGAAAATCTCAATAAAATTTGATGTTGATTTTTTTTCTAATTTGAAGCTACTTGAGCACGCTAAGCACTTCTATTCCATAGACCTAACATTTCTGAATAATCCCTAGAACCAATAATATTTATATCATCACAAGATTGTGTAATGAACCAGCTTTATTGTAACTTTCTCTGATGATTATTTCTTTATTAAGCTTAAAGAATCAATATTCTTATGATTCCAAGACAGTGAGTTTGTCAATAGACAATGTAAACTTCCAATAATACTTGTTTCTTATTTTTCTTTTTAAGGTAATGAGACTATCGTGTTGTTCATGTACAATTATTCGATTTATTGTTCAAAGATATTAAGTAATCATATAAAATTGATTAGAACTATATTTTTATCAATTATTTATGCAGGAATTCTTTAGGGTGTTAGTTTTTTTTTAATAAATACAATTTTATCATACAGCTAATGTTGCTTCTACTCGAATTCGTCAAATTAATTTCATTGGCCAACATTGTTAAAAACAAATATTTCAATCAAACATCGAAAATATATATTCAAAACGTATGTGCATTTCAGTAAATATAAGAAAATACTATATGTACACAAATGACAAAAAAAAGAGAGGTGATTAAAGATAATCTGTTTAAATAAATATACGAGTAATACGGGAATCACTGGGAAATATAAACTATTAGATATATATCTCGACTATATGAATAAACAACTGTCAATGAGTACTGTTAAAATTGCTAATAAATGAATTCGATTCACTGTTCAATGATCTAAATAGAAAACAGTTTTCATCGAACAGAAATAAAACTAAGAAAGTATAACTAACCTTATTTTGTTCTTCATTGCATTCATTGAAATCTAATTGAATAAAATCATCATGAAGAATATTATTTGGAATAATTTCCATATCATCAGCAATATTTTCTTCTTTATCCTTTTGCTGTTCTTCGAAAAATATTGTCTGTGTTTCAGTTGAATTATAATATTTTTGTTTTTCAATATCAGTTGGTTGATTAACAACTAATTCTGGTACAACGTTTGTTTTTTGCTTAATATTTAAATTTGATCGTGTTGATGAACAAAGTTTTCGAACAACATCAATCTGATTTATATTTAAAATCAAATCAAATTTTAATTAAATATAAAAATAAATACTTGATGCGGAGTTCGAATTTTGGCCAAAACATGATGAGCATGAATCAATTGTCGGTCAGCGCATGATTCACATAAATCATAGTCGAAACATTCAAGACATTTATAACGAACACCGATTATTGGTGATCGGTTGCATCCTATTTTAAATTTCACGAAAATAAGATTAAGCGTAACAACAATAAAATACGAACCATCACAAATCACACCAACATGTTTTGGTGGCAGTAATTTCATCGGAGCACAATCTTCTTTCATGAATTTAACAAAAACTCGAAGAAGTTGTTGACGCGATGCTTGATCACGAGCAGCTTCATTGATTCCGTCAGATGTTGTTACTAATACAAGACCGCGAATATCATCTTTATCGATGATTACATTCAAATTAAATTTAAAAACAAATTCTTAATTTTTACCTTCATATTGAAATTCTAGATGAACTTCGTTTGTTGGAGACATTATTTCGGAGAAGAATTGTGTAAGCTTTTCACGTAGTATTGATAAAACATCTGTAGAAGCTGTTAAAACTGGAATACTTATTCGGCGATATTCACTCGTCCCATCCAATTTAATAATGCATAACTTTACTTCAACCATGTTTGTTTTTCTTCTTCTAAAAATAAAATAATTCTATAGACTAAATAGAATTTTTTCTCGATTATAGATTCGTCTTTTATTCATATTAATTATTAAACGAAGAACTCGTTAGAATTCTCTACTCCACAGTTTATTATTACAATGAATCATAGAAATGAATATATTCTTTTCTTAATAAACCATTCTTGTGATTCATGATTGTTCTTGTAAACGGCGTCTAGTCTAAAAAAAAGCACACACACACACATCAATTCAAGAAAATCAAATTGAAATAGATCTTTTCTTCATGATGCACCTTGTATATACGCACACATTGGCTGTTACAACACTGTTCGGCAATGAAGAGATATGTTTAACTTAAATAAGTACTAAAACATCCACTTGTATCTTATTCTTTTATGTAATAGTCAATCACTAATTTGACAAATCACCTTTCGAAATATGACGCAATTGCGAAAAGAAAATTTGAGCTTCATACTGGTTAATCAACTATGCTCACATGACATTTTCTTTTCCTTCGATAGAAACAAATTTTTCATTGATTATTTACCAATCATAATAGCGTCGTAAATAATATCTACATCGATGAGTCACATACCAGTATCTCTCTCCAATCAGGCTCAAAAGAGATTAATTTTTAATTAAATAGTTTAAATGATGTTTCTCTTTTCAATATTTATTATTTCTATACAATTAGAACTAATATTTTTAGCAATCACATAAAATACCTACTGAATAATAGCGGCATCTCTATTTCATTGCTTATCGTCTCGTCTTCACAGAAATTAATCATCAGACATATTCTCAAACATCTACACAACAAAGCATAATTAAATCATTGAAGTATTAAAAACTGTGTTGGATTTTGCAAATAATATTTTGCGGTCTCAATCAATTGAAGTTTAGGCATATCTTTAGTTCAAGTGTCCTTTCAACATTTGATTTATGTTAGGTTCAATCTTATTAATATCTCCCTCTTGACAATATATCAGACAAAAATCCGAACCGAAGAGAATTAAATCTTTTCTCTACATTCATTTCATAATGATTTTTAACTTGATTATATCGAGACACCGTTGTATCAGAGTTTTATTGACTTGCATTAATGATGATCGCTAAGCAAGAATACCAATTATTTGTTTCATTTTATGTTATTTTTTTGTTTTCGTCGATCGTGCATAGCTTTAGTAGTTTGTTGAACTTTGACGAATCTTCATTATCTGCTTTGATTTTGCATAAAATCTTCCAATATATTATCTTCTTTAGTTATAGTATCCTCAAATTTTACGATGCACGGTCCATTATTGGCGAATAATATTCGTTTTCAAATGGTGTATGGATCAAGTAATCATCAGTTAATCAGGTTTACCAGATGCCAGACTTGAAAATCCGGAATTCAAATCTCAAAATGCGGAACATTTCTAAACCCGAAAAATTCAGAAGAGCTGGTAATATTGCTGTCTTTCGAAAAATAGTTAACTTTTCTTGGGTATTATAGAATGAAAATTTGGTAAATTTCACATTCATACTGCGTTTTTTTCACTGAATTAAACAAGTATTATGACAGGTCCAGAGGTGCAGAATCAACCCGTGTGCGCCTACACGCGTAGGGGGAAATTTTAGGAAAATTATTGGCTGTAGCAAAGTTTTTTAATATGGAAAATGGGGGAAATTTCTGAAGATCTTTTTTGTGTAGGGGGAAATTTTTCATTTTTACGGCAGATTCTGCACCTCTGGACAGGTCCTATAAAAATTTTATTGTTTTCATCGCTAGTGTGAAACATATTCGAGTTATGGATAGCTTTGTTCGATTTGTATCTAAAATTTTTAGATTTACCTTCTCTTAGTTAGAATACAAAGCGGTGAACTAAATCCACAATGATATCGATAAACAACATCAGAAATAGTAATTTGTCCTCCAGTTAATATAACTTCTGATACGTTTCAAGATTTCATTATATATGATTGTATCGTATTTACTTAATAACCAATAAAATATCTTGTATAAAATTAAGTTCATTATTGGTTAATAATTTAATACATCTATTTTTCAAATATTCAATAAAATTATTATAACTCGAGATAAGAGTTACATATATTCGTTGTGCTTTAGACTCTACATAATCTCCATAGATCTTATATATAATAAAACCTATTCATATACATAATATGAGCATCATAGATCGTCATGTTGATAGGATTCACTAAGCGAAGAACTTAATAACTGATCTTGTATCCGTATCATTAAATAATTCCAAAAACTTTTTCTCGAATCTAAGAGTAGGAACAAACAATATAAACTAAACGTAAACAAACTAATTCAAGTATAAGCCAAGTTTTTAAATAATTCACTACTATTAAACATAATTTAAGAATTTTAGTTCGAAAAAAAAATTAAAAAGAAAACTAAGAAGAAAAAGTGTCATAAATAATATTAAAAACTTTTCATCATCATATTAAATTAGCTTTATAATTTTAACTTGTCTTTACGTAAATGTGTGATGAATCATTTAAAACAAGATAATTTAAAGAGCAAGAGTACGAGTAGGATATCAATTTAATTCACAAAGTGAGTAAGATCGTTGTCTTTTCGCAAACGTATACATTACTGCTCTATTCTAACACATTCTCATTCAATGTGTCACTGATAAATAGTATTTTAATTTTTAAATTTATTGATATAAATGTACAGATATATACAACATTTTAACATAAACGAACAAACCTAATTTTATTTACAATATCTTTAACATATCTTTTTTCACACAATGTCTCGTTTCAATAAATGAAAGCAAGTTGTAGACGACATCTTTTTAAGCGCCTGGGGCAAAACCTAAATGTAATAGAATAGAGCCAATAATAATTGATATTAGCAAAATAGCAAAAGTTATAATTATTTTTTCCTCTTCAATATTCCATTGTTTCTTCATTTTTTGTACCAATCGATAGAGACGTGAATATATTGAAGTGTCATTTTGAAGAAATTTAGAACGATCACTTGATGATACATGGCGCGCAAAAAGTATACTTAATTGATCATCGATAAAAGGAGGTGTAGCTGCTCTCAGAAAAGAAAATAACACAAGCAATACCATACAAACAACACAGGTAACAAAAAAAAATGTGATCAAAATAAAGAATTATATCAGTACCAAAAACAATCATTGTAATAACAAGTAAAGCAAAAATACACGATAATAAACGAATAGTTTGATGCCATATATATATCATTGCAATGATTATTGAGTAAACATAAATTAATGAAAGTTTGGTTCCAAAAAAATAAAAATTTATATTCATTTGAAGAGAACAAGGTAAATCTATATTATTAGAACAATCGTTAATTAAAGTTGTTCTGATTAAGAGTAAACGAGTATTTGTAAAAGAAAAAGATTTGTATTCTAAACGATAAGAATGAATATAAGATATTTCGAAGACCAAGCCAATTACTAATAAAAGAAAAAAGAGAATAAATTGAACGGTAAGAATGGCAACGAATCTTGCTTGACGTGGAGTCAAACGTCCTAAAAACAAAAAGAACAAAAGAATTTTTTGAAAATTGAAAAATTCTCTGAATTCCAATAATCGTTATGGGATGTGAAGAAAACTGTATTATAACAGTTTAAATATTCCCATATCGAAATCTCATACAAACGGTAATAAGAACGAAATGTAAAGAAAAAGTTAGGCAAGAGATGTTGAAAAGTCTTTTCCCTATCTTTCTGTGAAATTAGGTTTTCAAAGTTTAGTTCTGCAACGTAACGATGATGTATTTTAAGAAATCTTCATCAATATGACGAATTTACTCCTGATTTGGCAAGTTCGTACTCGTACTAGCGTCAGTTGAAGTCAATTCATCATGTTAATGAAGATTTCTGAAAATGCATTATCGTTACATTGCAGAACAATAGATTTTAGAAAACTAATTTCATTGAAAGATAGGAAAAAGATTTCTCAACATCTTTTGTGAAAAAACTTTCTTTTTAATATCAAAAGATAAAAAAGTTATCTTAGTTTTCAGAAACATCATAAATTTTCACTATGCATTGACTCCTTGCCTTATTCTATGTATTATTGTTTAAGATAAACTAAAAAAATAAATGAATTAATATTCTGGATAAATGAAACATACCCCAATCAGAATTCTTAAAAATCGGATCATAATCACTAAGTATAAGAATTTCTTTCATATTAGTTATATTCATTGTTTGACTTGATCGATTGACAAGAATAGTCGGTGGCCAAGTAGATGTTCTTCGTTTGAATATAAATGAGTTTCTTATATGTACTATTGGCCTGCCAAATGTATTACTAAGTTTACTCAGGCATCTAACTGATTGTTTAGAATGTACAACACCACTCCGATATTTAATTAACATATTATAATAACAGAAAGCGTTCAATTTGTGACCTATAAATAAAAAGAAAACATATTATCTATTAAATCATCTATTAATAAGTTTTCTCTAATATTTAATTCTCCTCAGAGATTGAAGAAAATTTTAAATGAGTATTAAAAAATCTCCAAACATTTTTAAAAGCTTGATAAAAAATTCGAAATAATTTCTAAAATGTCCCAAAATGACTCTAAAAAAAATTTGTAGAAAATAAGTTCTAAAAACAAAACGCAGTAATTTTCGAAAAATCATGAAAAAATTTTAAGTATTTCCTAAGAAATTCCAAAACATTTTCAAATATTCCTTAAAAGAATTTTGCAAGTGTTCAAAAAAAAATATTAACTCTGCCATTAAACTCAAAAAACTTTCTAGAAACAATTTTCAAATAATTTTTAAAAATTTCGGAAAAATTAAGACAAATGTTTAATTATGGTACATCCCGTATTGTCAAGTACGAATAGCGGTTTTAAATAGATACGCTTTAATAAAAGTATTGTTTGTCATAAACTTTCACAAGTTCGAAAAGTGAATGGCTCTCGACTATTTTTCGAAAATGTAAAAAAACCACTTGTTCATTTGCTGGAAAAAATAGTTTTTCTTACA